TGCATTTTCGAAAATACTCTTCTTCCTTCCTCTCCCCTTCCGATTTCACCTCCCCCTTTACCCACAAATAATACCGCCGTCGTTTCCCTCTTTGTTCTTCCTATCAGAAATTAGGAATAATTGTAGTAATGGTAAACCCTAACATTCTATTTGAAGCCATGGCTCGCTTAACTCTGGCAGATGATGTCGCTGAGGAAGAAGTTCCTGAGGAAGCTCTGGCTGTTGAAGTTACTGATGAAGATCATGGAGTTTCAAGAAAACGCAAGGCCGAAGAAGTCGCTGAGGAAGCTCTGGCTGTTGAAGTTACTGATGAAGATGATGGAGTTTCAAGAAAACGCAAGGCCGAAGATCTTGTCGAGGGAGAAAATGATGGAAAGCGAAGAGCGTTCGAGGAAGAGAATAGGAAGGACAGCATCAATCTAAATTCAGAATTGGCTGAGTCTAATCCACCAAGAAAACGAAAAGCGCAGCATCTGGCTGAGCAAGAAAATGGTAGAAAACGTAGAGCTCAAGGAGTGGACGAGGAAGAGAAGGGAAAGGAGGCTGAGATTTCACTGGGTAAGTTTTCAAAAGACCTTCCCAAGCTTCTTCTTTCCCCTCTTCGTCGAATTGGTAAGCTAAGGTTTCTTTTTCCTCCCTTCTTTCTGGTCTCTTTCAACTTCAACGGAATACCAGAAAAAGAAATGGAAGACACCCAAGGCTTGGCATCCATGGAAAGAGAGGCAGACGAGGGAGTTAACGGGACGTTTTGATCCTATGCGTAGAAATTCTCTGTATGCAAAAGTCATGAATTCTTATCGCTGCTGTGTAATTTCCCCCCATTCCATTGGAATTCCACGTTGTCGGACAGAGGTAAGGATTCTCTCTACCCACTCCTTTTCTTTTTCTTCTGTTAATTTGGTTTTGGGTTTGATGAAAAGGTGTTTGCTTACCTTTTAGATTGTCAATCAAAGCTACGCTCAATACCTCCCAATCAATAGACTCCAGTGAGCTTTCCTCGCACACAATTTCCTGTTTTTTTGCTTCTTTCCCTTCCAAGATAGATATTGAGTGACTGTTCATTTTTGCAGGCATGGCATTCGTGGAATCGACTTTGATCCCACGGTAAATAAGCCTCTGATGTTATTAGGTTAATTAGGCTAGTTGGTTACTAGATGCGTCTGTAGAAAAAGAGAGGGTTGATAATTGATTTTCAGGGGGAGCGCTTAGTATCTGTGAATAGTTAGAGATGAGTTTCACTTCTATATTGTGCATCGTATTTTTTAGAATTTGGATCACGTGAAGTAACAGTTAGAGATGCGTTTCACTTCTATTCAAGATACTCATTAGAGGCAGTTCGTTGGAACAAAGCCAAGTCCCAGCAGGTTAATTGCTAGTCAGTTTACATTTTGTTCATGCTTTCTTTTTTCTTGGTGTTGTGTTGTTACATTTTGTTCATGCTTTCCTTTAGGTTGCTTGCGCATCTACTCATCCTGGCAGTGTCCTCATATATGATATGAGTAACTACTCTTCTAATGCAACTATGGTAAGTGATCTGTCCCACATTCATCACAGCTATCCAGCTATCGAGGACTTTATGCATTTGTTTTTTACTGAGATAGGACTTGTTTTTTTATTATTATTATAGATCTTACGATCAAACAGGAATGCATCAAACAGGAATGCGTTCACTGGATATGATGATTCAAGGTTGGTTAAAACAGAACTTAATATCTAGCATTAGAGATATAATTACTGTTGCTCAAATTATAATTGTATCCCATGTATGTAGGTTATATGGAGCGGATTCCATAGGCATTGTCAATTTGTGGAATCTAAGGCAATGTAAGTTACCTTGTCTAGAGTTCAAAAGCCCTGGGCGCCTGTCTGAACTCCTAGGTCTCAGAAGCCTACAACTGGACGACCAGGTGAGGAACAAGAAATCTCTATATCTGATTTGAAAGTGATTCATCTTTAAATTTAGAGTATAAATGAATTCTTTATTGAACTAATGCATTAGATGTCGCTCATTCATTATATGAGAGTTTTCTGGCTGCACGTCAATTTTTTTTGAAGTTATGTGTTGTCGTAATTATTTCTTTCTAAGGGACTGCTTCAAGTAAGTTGACTATTAATATATAACCTTTCATTGTTCAGGTTGAGAAATATTGAAATTATATTAGTGAAAAAATCATTTATCGCGCACAATTCATGTTTGACAGATTTTTTAACAACCAAGTGAATGGTTCGAGTCATGAAAAGGTGGAGATTGTGAAGAGGTGTTCCCTTGGAGTTGCAGTTAAGTTGAGTGGGTTATATATTGAAATATGTGATCATCTTATTGATTATCCTTATGCGGCATTGTATAAGGACAACATTATCTATCAAAAGTTATTCGGAGTTCATACAAAAATAAGTTTTTTGAGAGTCGAATAATGAGCCCAATGGAAAATAGGGTCAACATTGTTACTCCATTTGACTATCTTCCGAGCTTGGTTGTGCAACAGTTTTCGGATTTTCTCATAATTATATGTCATGCATGATGCATGTATGAATAATTGTTTTCTAATTTTATTTGCAATAAAATTTATTGATTAATTAGTTAGCTAACAAAAAGGACATAACATCTTATATTTCTAGTTAGTTTGATTACTTATTTTTTTTAGTACAAATTTTTATTCCATCAAAGCTCAATCCAGTGTTGGTAAGAGTCTCCTAACCATATATTCAATTGACATATTAATTTTTGTACTAACTACTAACACACACTAAGACTATAAAGTATATAAACTCACCCCTACTAAAGTCACTACAATCTGCATGTTTCATTCTATCCTCGAGGATTTAATACATATTAACATGTGTTATGATATTCTTGGATGAATATTTTGAGATCGAAGATAATAATGAAAAAAGTAGAGGTGGATTACAATTATATTTAAACATAATTATTTATTTAGTATGCATGTTTTACAAAAATGTAAGTTAGAGATAATTGAAGAATGAATAATTATCATATATATGATCAAATAAACAGTTTAGTAAGTATATTATCATCCATCGATAAACATGAAACTTCTTATGTGATGACAAACCATCGAATTTTAATTGGAAAATTTTATATTTTTTAATAAGTCATTGTTTTGTTACCTTTTTCACGAAAACTTTTATACCTTAAAGATCTTTGATCGTCTTTTGAGATCATATCAAGAAAATACTATTTTACTCATTGACAATTTAGTATCCTTTGTTACTTGATATTCGTAATGCATGGTCACAGATTAACCCAAAAAAATATAAGTCATTGTTTTGTTACCTTTTTCACGAAAACTTTCATACCTTAAAGATCTTTGATCGTCTTTTGAGATCATATCAAGAAAATACTATTTTACTCATTGACAATTTAGTATCCTTCTCATATCGTATTCTATAGGGGTTTCAATCAACTAGTTCAGATCTGTAGTCGTTCGCATAAAAGTTGTAGTTGAGGTGCCACTTTGTTTTTTCAAAGCAATTCAACACAATAAAAGGTGAAACTAAGGAAATATGAAACATGATCTCAACTGGTGAAGGCATTATTATAACTTATTCTAACCTGTCATATTTCTAATGAAGATTATAGTTAAACACACTTGATTATTATATAATTCTCTCTTGAGTAATTAGGAGTTCTTGTGTTCGGTGATCGTAAGGTGTGAGAAGCTATTTATAGTCAATATCACACTCAACAACATTTAAACATAAGGTTTGCAACTCAGATTTAGAGAAAATGAGAAACAAACACATGAGAGGAGAATCATTCTAAAAACTAAAACAAATTCATTACTTCGTAGTCTGAAATCGCCAGAAAAACTGATGTTCCACCAATATGAATAACTAGGATTTAGTTCATATTATAAACACAAGAAGAGACATGATTCCAATGGAGAAAGATAAAATGGGAGAGAGTTACTTGTAATGGATGATCTTCTAGCTGCAGTAGGATCTTAAATGGTGTATAACTGTGTCCTAAGCTATCAACCACTCAAGAACATTTTCATAAGTGTATTTTCTTGTGTATATGAACCCCCTTTTTTTCTCTCTTCCAATCTTTTTTTATTCTTGTCATGCACGAAAATGACATTCAAAATTATTAAATTGGCGGACTAAACTCATAAATTTACTGCTAGACCCGCTAATCGATATGTCATTTTAACATCGAATTGGCGGTGATAACCTACTAATTATAATTTATACCCCTTCTATCAAAATACTCGATCTCTTTTATGCTAGTAATTGGTGATACAAACCCATAATTTTCTCGATTGATGCACGAGTCTATACCGCCAGTCTGATTAAGGACTAAAAAATCTATGTTTCTCCCATTCTTGCCATAAGAATTTATCCCGTTGGTTGCTCGAATTGTGGCTGACTGATAACAGGTGGCTGACCGGTAAATCCTTTGAAAAGCATTTTTGTTGGCGAATAAAGGGATGAGAGATCTGTTGATTATATGTGTTGCATGCATAACAAAAAAATCCCAAAAATGACTAGGAAGATTAGCTTGAAATAGTAAAGTTCTTGTGAGTTGTGACAACAAGAAGATGTGGCTTTTTCCAACAATATCATTCTTCCGTGAAGTATATACACAAGTAGTTTGATGAATAGTACCATTTTGTTGGAAGATATCTATCATTTGAAATCAGTGGTGGATCTCAAAAAATTTATATATTATGAAAAATGTTATTGATTAAGTTCTTATATGAAAATGTCATTTCGCATCTTGCAGGTGCAAGAGGTAAAGTCAACACTAACTAAAAGTGACAAATCTGGAATGTGGAATAGTGACAGAAGATTTCAACGTAAAAGTTTGAAAGGGAATGAGGATCACCGGCCCAATGCTGACAATTGGGGGATGCAACAGAGGTTAGAGAGATCTGCGAGATAGGAGTTGAGAATTTTCCCCCTCTCAACACTCAACACTCAAGATTTAACAACTAAAATTAAAAAAATTGAAAAGAACAAAAATGATTTTGAATAAATTAATTATAAAACAATAACTAAAGTAGAAAGCAACTTGAAATTTAACTTCAACAAAATCTTTGGAATAAAGTTATGAGAAAAGACTACTTGAAATCCACTCTACAATTACTTGCCTCAAGCCATTTATTAATCAATTTAATACATTCCTTTGTATCTATTACATATTTGTTTCACTTTAATATCAATCCCAACTAACCGACCTGTTACTGCAAACCCTAGCATCCGTATAAACCTTCCCAGACCTACAGAAATACCCTTTACTGGGCGCACAATGCCTATCTTCCGAACAAACACATAAACCTTCCAACCCACACCCATCCCTCAAAAACTCCTTACCACGTAGATACTTCCTTATCGCCCCATCAAACGCCACGTTACGATTCTTCCCCCAATGCGGCAATGCACCATACTTGAACACCGCCATCTGCTCGATCTCCTCAAGAACGTCCTCAAACATTCTTGGCATTGTACTGTCCTTGCTTCTGTAGTACGTTAGGTCGAAGTCTAGCCCATTTTCTTGTTTCCCAAGGTAGGCCATGGAAGGCGCCACGTAACGCATCAGGATGCCGTTGTACTGGTCCAAAATGCATAGCGACTTTGGGTCCATGGCGACGAGTGATTGGACGTCGTGGATGAAGTCTTTGACGACGGATAGACTGATGCTGAAGGTGGTCTGGTGGAAGAACTCTCCTTTGATCCTCGAGTCCCACGGGCAGGCAGTGGTTAGACCGTCATTTGGGCTGTCGAGGCAGGTTCCCGAGGCTTGGAGGCGGTTGTGGTAGCCTATTACAAGGTACCCAGTAAAGGTTAGACCATTGTTGGTTAGACCGAAGGCGGCTGAGTGAAGGACCGATGTACGGAGCATGCCGCTCAGGCATTTCCCGGTGGCATCATTGGTGGATTCTTGAGTTTCCTCTGTGGAGTGCATTTTGGTAAGTTTGGTTGTTGAAAGTGTGAGGTGGTGAAAGTATATATCGGTGGAGAGACTAACCGGCGGATCTAGCGACGGCCAAGACGAAAGAGAGTGTAGAACGGAAGGGGGCGTAATCGTAGACGCCGTTTCCCGAAGTGTTGGAAGGAACGCGGTCGTCGATTCTGTAGACGGCTTTCCCGAGGCAGATCACTAACCATAGTTGCATTAGAAGAGTAGTTACTCATATCATATATGAGCACACTGCCAGGATGAGTAGATGCACACGCAACCTAAAGGAAAGCATGAACAAAATGTATCAACACAACACCAAGAAAAAAGAAAGCATGAACAAAATGTAAACTCCAGAAACCCTAAATCTAAACACTGGAATCTTGAATTCCACCAAATACAATCCAAAATCAAAAGCAGAAATACTTTAGGAATCAGCCCTAAACAACTAGACATTAAAACATAGAACAGCCCATTAAAACAAACTACACTCTCTGTTTAAGCCCTCTCCCCTCCTCTGATCCTCCTGGCAAGCTGGATATCCTTGGGCATGATGGTGACCCTCCTGGCGTGAATCGCACAGAGGTTAGTGTCCTCGAACAATCCAACAAGGTACGCCTCGGTAGCCTCCTGGAGGGCCGACACGGCGTTGCTCTGGAACCTCAGATCCGTCTTGAAATCCTGGGCGATTTCCCTCACCAGCTTATGGAACGGAAACTTCCGAAACAGCAGCTCGGTGCTCTTCTGGTACTTCCGGATCTCCCTCAACGCAACGGTTCCAGGCCTGAATCGGTGAGGCTTCTTCACTCCTCCGGTCGCCGGGGCCGACTTGCGGGCCGCCTTGGTCGCCAGCTGCTTCCTCGGCGCCTTCCCGCCGGTGGATTTCCTAGCTGTCTGATTCGTGCGAGCTACCTTTTTTGTGGGAATCGGAGATAAGATTTGGGATCTGGGATTTGATGAAGCAAATTGGTTTGAGATGGAGGTTTGTGAATGGCGGATTTGTGGAGGGCGGATCCAGTGACTAGGGGGGGTGCTTAGTCACTTGACTAAGCCCCTCCCAGCCCTTAGATCTGGACACTTCAATCCAATGGTTAAAAAGTGGGAAGGGCTATTTAATTAATGGCGGGGGTAGTTTGAGTATTATAGAAAATTACGAAGTATACAAACCGGATTTACAATCAGTACAAACCATACAAACATACGAACAGTACAAACTAGAGCGACAAAACATACAAACAGATTTACAAACATTACAAACGTATGAACTGTATAAACAATACAAACTAGACCGACAAACAATACAAACCATACAAAAAGAAAAAACAACCGGGTTGACTTTGGAGGCTCCATCTCTATATAGAGGGGCTCCTTCCCAAAGTCAACCCGGGTGTTTTTTAGACATACAAATAGTACGAACATGGCGGACAAAAATGACAAACTAGACCGACAATCCATACGAACGGGAAAAAACACCCGGGTTGACTTTGGAGGCTCCATCCCTATGTAGAAGGGCTCCTTCCCAAAGTCAACCCGGGTGTTTTTTAGACATACAAACATTACGAACATGGTGGACAAAAATGACAAACTAGACCGACAATCCATACGAACTAGAAAAAACACCCGAGTTGACTTTGGAGGCTTCATCCCTATATAGAGGAGTTACATCCAAAAGTCAACCAGGTTGTTTTTTAGACATAAAAAACATTACAAACATGGTTGACAAAAATAACAAAGTTTACAAACATGGTGCACAAAAATAACAAAGTTTACAAACATTACAAAAAAACCCGACAAACATTACAAAATAACAAAGCATACAAACATTACAAAATATGTCAACAAACATCACAAAATTAGCACTGTCGCAGGGAAATTCTTCTCCAGCGACGATGTTCGACGGAAAAAAATTTCCGACCAGAAAAAATCTCTCTCTCTCTCTCTCTCTCTCTCTCTCTAATGGCGCCCCATGGAAATAATGGCGCCCCCAGGAATTCCCCTGGCCGCCGCGCAATTAACTAGGGTTGGCTATTTGGACCGGGACCGGATGAAAAACCGGAAACCGGACCGTATAACCCGGACCGAGACCTGACCGGGACCGGATAGTAAACAATCCAATCCATCTTTGGGCTTAGATTTGAGGTAAAAACCCGGATAAAGACCGGATAAGAGAGCTCAACACCCAAAACTTAAGGGTAATTTGCATAAACGGTCACAAACCTTTGCACTTAGTACAAAACTTAACCAACTCCTCACCCTTTTAGGCCTTAGGCGACTCAAATTCCCACAATCTCAATATAAAATCAAGACCGAATTGGGACCGGACCGGGTCAAGACCGGACCGGATCAAGACCGGACTGTATCCAATCCAATCTTCGGTCCTTATATTTTCAAAAAAACCAGACTGGACCGGATCAATTTGGGTCAATTTAACCGGACCGGACCGTATAGCCACCCCTACAATTAACAGAACGGAGACGGGACAGACGGACGGTCGGCGGTGGGTTTTTATTTTATTTCTTTTGTAATTAAAAATTAAAAATAAACTTGCAATTACTACATTGCCCTTCATTAATTAGATTAATAGGAGTCCTTGGATTTTAATGAGGTGTAAGGGTGGAGATTCACTTAGCCATGTGACTAAGGGAACCCCCTTAGTCACCAGATCTTAGCCCGGATTTGTGTATATAATTATATAGGGAGGCGGTTTTCAGGGGAGACGGAGGAGGGAAATTTTGAAAATTTTCGTTTGGTTCCGCCAGAAGTAGTGAAATTAAATCCTTGCCGTTGATTGAGGAGATGATTGGACGGCCTGAGATGGCGATCCTCGTGGTCTGTGTTGGTTTCCACTTTCCAGTTTCATCCAATGGGAGTGTCTTTCCCTTTCGCGGTTCCAGTAATCAATCTTGACTGTCAGTTGTTTGGGTGTATGAGCGGTTGAGATTAATTTCAATAAGAGCGACACGGATTGCCATATGTGGGCCTTAGGGTACCAGACGCGATAAGCTTTGGTGGGCTTCGTTCCATTGTAGCCCAGTATGTTCTGCCTCTGTATTGGACTATCAGTTGGGTTGGCCTTTATTTTGACCTCACAACTTCACAAGGTCCAACCCCTTCTCACTTCTGAGAGAGCCTGGTTTAATTATAATCTCAAGAATAAGTAATCCAAATCTAACACATAAAACTTAATTGTTGAGCCTTGTGTAAATTATCCAACTAGCCATGCATGCCCGAAACAAGGCTAGTGAGGTTAGTTAGAGAAACCAAATTCACGGGTAGTAGTTAAAAGGAACAAGAATAGTGAATTATTGCTAATCAAGACATGATTAGTTATTATCACTAGGCTTTTTAGTAATCACTAATCAGGGCCACAAAATTATAGCTACCGTGGGGCAACTAATTAGGGTCCGGATAGTATAACAACACCTCAAGTGTTGTTATAATAACAAGGGTATAATAGTAAAATAGCAATAAATAACAGATTATGAATAAATAAATAAACATAATCTAAATATCTAAACGTGTTTTATCTCCCTGTCTCTCCAGCAACAGCGGCGGCCGAATCTGTATCTCCGAACAACAATTTTCTCCGGCGCTAATCCTCTGCCATCGCCGTGCCAATCCGCATCTCTCCCATCGCTGGCGTCATCAGGAGCAAAATGCTCCGACGCGGCCTCCCTGGGCGGCGGCGCCGTCCGCGCAGTTGGAAATCTCCATTGCGGTCACGTCTCTCCGCCTCGTTCTTCTTCATCGACGGCAAATCATGGCTGAGATGACAGTGGTCTCCGAACAAGCTCTCTCTTCTTCCAATCCCATCCAACCGATCGAATCACAATAATACCTTTTTGTATATATACTTAGAAAACGTCTTAAAAGGCTCAAACCGATCGAATCACAATCAAACCATTATACCTCAAACCACTTGTCTGACCGACTCAATCACTTAGGAGCGACGCATTCACGCCTACACTCCGCTCCATCCACCACTTTCGCTTTATCCGCAGGAAACAAAATGGTTGATGAAAAGGGAGAGAGGAGCGTTTTTGGTGGCCCAGCTCATTTGTGGCGATGTTAACTAATTGATGATGATGTGTGGAAGACGAATTTTTCATTCAGAAAGTAACTACTCCAAGTCTCCAACAAATTACTTGCGTTGAGGATAACACAATTGGGTCTTAATCGAGCTTAGAAACAGTGATTAAACACTCTGAAAGTACAAAACAAAAGGAAGAAAATAGCGACCCAATGTTGATCAATCACGAGGATAGTGATCAACGCGGTAAATCCCTCATCAACTGAACTTGTGGACTTGTATATTTAATTTGGAGGTTGATAGTGAACGCGAAAATGAAACTATTATCGCCTCTTATGATTATATATATTTTTAGTTATTATCGACTCTGGAAAAATGTAGGTAGAACGTATTGACATTTCCGCTAATTCATCTTCTTAACGGTCTAATTCAATGATCACTACGTTGTTCAAGCAATACAGTAGCCTAAGCTCATTAGTCATTAGTAGTTCTATATTTTAATTTCTACATTTTATATGACAGTGACTTAATTGCATTAATAAATAAAGTTAATGACTTTATTTTTTGAACAAATAAAGTAAATGACACAGTCACACAGCCAGACTGACTAGTTGAGGTTAGGGATTTGAGGTTACCAAATACATAAAAAAAAAATCGAAACGGAAACGATCAACATCATTTCATGCTTGTTTACTAGTAAAATGGTTACATCGATGTAATTAAAAATACATGATCATGTAGGCAAATGGCAAGTAGAAGTAGTTCTTCTTGCTACGTGATAAGAGATTGGGTGTCGTATTTTCTCCAACAATAACAAACAGAAAGGATGTTATGTGTCTGGTTGTATCTGTATTGGTACCTTTCAATAGCTGATTTGTGGTGTTGTTATTTATTGCTAATTTGTAATTTTGTTTAAATAATACGTGATGACGTCCAAATATATTATTTAGTTCTCGAACAAAGATATTATTGAGTCATTTTATATGTCATCGCTATTTTGATATTATTAAGTACTTTTTAGAACATTTGCCATTCAAATTCGATTTCATTATGCCAAGAACATAGACACAATTTAATTAGTTAATCATATGAGTTTTTAGTATGCTATATAGGTTGGGATAAATGAATTGGCGTCTGACTATCATAAAATTAGTCTGAGTTGAACTATAAAGTAAAACAACGAGCAATTCACATTTCATGTTTCTTCCAATGTATAACTAAGTAACACCACACTCTTCTTATTGTAATGGTGGATAATCCAATTTACAATTCCTATACCATTTCAATTCATTTTGTGAAAGTGGTACTTCAAGCAATAGATTTTAGCTGAAATCCTGCTATAGTCCCTCACGGCGTAAACTCGATCTCTCATTAGAAAAACTAGGGACTATGTTCCTTTCACTCATAAGAAAGGGCAATAAATAGTTATATGGTGCCAATTTTTTATCATTCTTTATATATTTCCTGTTCGCTCCTTTCTTTATAACGGAACTTAAAAGCTACTACGTTTCTTTGTAATGCTACTTTTTTTTTGGAACATTTTATGCATAATAGAGTCATAGAGACTTGTCTAATGAAAGAAAAGCATGGTGCATAACAAGAGCTCAGTAAAACGTGATCAATCAACCCTTTTTATCCTTAAAAACAAAAAGCTAAAGCAGAACTGCAGAAAACGTATTCAGTCGTCCTTTTTGCTTTTTCCCGTTATACTGAGAGAAGCTGTGGCTCTCGCCGTAGGGTACAATTACAATAAGACTGTGGCTCTCGCCGTCGCCATCATTTCCTATTCTCCCCAAACGTTCCCTTCCGCCCACGTCCCACTCCCGTTGACGCCCTCCCCTTCAACACTGCCATCCAAACTACGACAATAGCTGAGGAAGGGTCAAGGGCTTCTGTACTACTAGTAGTATACTTATTCGAAAACGGCTACCCAAATCCAAGTCCAAGTCCAACAGCAAGCTGCAGCTCCACCTGTTCCTCCGCTGCTGTGGAGTGGGGTCGGTGAATTTTGGGTCCGTTTCTGGTTGGAGTGATTTGATTTCTGTCTGGTGGGCGGCAAAAGGGGTAAGTCATTGATTTCGATCTTTCCATTTTCAAATTAATTCGAAAGGGTAGGCGGTAAATGAGAGCAACTGAAAACTCCCCCTCCCGTGATTTATGTCGCGTGCTTAAATGGATTTTTGTGCGGGTCGGTTTCCCCTGATATTTGGATTTGTTCCCCGGAATTTGAATTCAGGGGAAGGTGGGGGTGGCTGTTTCTTTGCTGTTTAATGGCGTCTTTGGTTGTTGGCTTCTTCTGGGTGTAGGAAGAAGAAAACAAGAGGAAGAGGAGGTTTGTGTATTGGCCAAGTTCGGAAGGACAAGGGAGGAGAGATAGAGAGGAGCCAAAGGCGGGTGCTCTCTGAAGGTAAAGTAGGATTCTCGTTCTCTTCTTTTAGCTCTCTCTGTTTCTTTTTGGTGGATGATAACGTTTCTTTTCTCTGAAGTCTGAACTGATATCAGTTTGATTCTCTCTGAGTGGTCCTTTTCCCTTGATTTTCTTTGCAACCAAACGGGCGAGGTTTCATTTGGGGTTTATCAGCTCAAATCTACTTGATGCATTAGACATAATTGGAATATTTTCTTCTTCCTTTATCCGAATTCTGATTACATATACTTGAAAATTGATTTGGGTTTTCATGTGTTGCCCTCGATTCTCAAAGATTACTCTGCCGCAGCAATATGACGAAGTTGGTGAATCGGGGTAGTTCTTTCGTTTGTTTCTCCCCTTTTGCTAATGCTGCTTCTTTGGTGGAAGCTGGCTCTAGGGTTTTTCTTGATCGGAACTAGCTAGTGGAGTTGCTGGTAGTTTTTTTAAAGATCGAGCTGAGTGAGATTGAATCAGAAGCCATGGCACATGGTTCTGTAATTAACTGATTATTCAACTACTGAGGGAGCAGCTGAACTCTGACGTGCACATGATTTTTTCTTCTTTAATCCAATTTTCGTGTGGCCAATTGACGTGTTTCCCATTTTCCTTTTGTTCATTGTTTATTGCCATGTATAATGTATTGGTTGAGATGTCTTCTTGGATATACTTTACCTTTGAAGCAGTTCATGTTATGTATTTTCGTTAGGAATCTCATGATTAAACTTTTGGCTCATTTCAGAAACTGCTAGAAAGGCTGGAGTGGAAGCTGCAATAGTTTCATCTTTGGGTATATATAGATGAAGAAACTATTCTTTTTCCGGTCTTCCCCTAATGATGGAAGCAGCGGTACTGTTTCTCCATCACCTAAGAAGGAGAATCGACCTGGAAGTGAGCTGGTAGATCACGTTGCTGATAAGTCTGAGAGCAATTTCAGGAGCCCGAAGAGTTTTTTTTCTAAGTCAAGGAAGCAAGTTTATGATAACCAAAGTCCCAGTTCCAATCCCGGTCTTAGAAAGAGCCGCTCTTATACATCTGGAGCATTTCTACTTGATGATGATGGGCAATCAAACTTCTCAGTTCCAGTCAATCGAAGTAAATCTCCTAGCAGTTATTCTTCTCGGTGAGCAACTGTCTGAGTTCATATTTAACAGCTTACCATTTTGTTGCTTTGCAATTTTTACATAAATGATCAATTCTTTGACAATCTGAGGTACATTTGTTGTTTTCTGTCAGTAGCAGTAGGCGTGCACTTACCCCTGTGAGGCAAGTTAGACCAGAGCAACATGAAGTTCATGGACGGGAGAGGCCTACTTCTGGTTCTACCAGTAGCAGTAATGCTTCAACAAAGGTCTTGGATCGCTATATTGATGGAGAGGGACAAATAGAAAGAAGCAAGCCGAAAAAAGTTTCTTCTCAAAGATACGTTGGTACTGGGAGTGTGAATCCAGGTGGGAGGCTTCCACCTCGAGTCCAATATACAGCCCCTACTTCACCAACACATCCTGTCAGAGATAAACCAAAGTCTCACTCTTTTAGGGAGTCTAAACGAACCCTTCCCCACTTCCCTTGCAATGATGACTGGATGGAGAATGATTTTGGGCATGGATCACCTAGGAGACTTGCAAAAAATGTTATTGAGAGACTCGCCCAAGCTCACGGCTTCCCTAAATCAAATCCCAAGGAGGTTGATTGTGGTGTTCCGATCACCATTGAGGATATTTATGGTGGCTCACTAAGTAGACGTTTTGAATCGAACCCAGAAGCCCAGGCTGTGAAAAGCTTCTCTTTCGAGGGTTCATGTGATGATACTGTGAACAGGTATCATGAAGATGATTACTTGGGCTACCGGGAAGATATCTATGGAGAAAATGATTTTAGGGATATAAAGTCTGTCAAAGGTGATGCGGATCCAGTTGATTTGGAGCTGGAAAGAAGATCAAAAGAAGCTGAGGAGAGGGTTGTTGTTTTGTCCGAAGAACTTGAGCAGGAAGGCTTTCTCCAGGATCGTGGGTTTGATAGTTCATCATTCATCCACTTTGTCAGGAACCTAATGGAGGACAGGGTAAGCATGTCAATTGAGATCTCAGGGCTTCTCAAGTCTCGGATTGATGAGAGGGATTCTGGCAAGGAAGAACTTAGGCTGGCGAAGGCAGAACTGGAGTCACGTAGTCTAAGACTGGAGAAGGAAAAGAATGAACTGCAGTCAGCATTGGAGAAAGAGTTAGACAGGAGGTCAAATGACTGGTCATCGAAACTTGATAAGTGCCAGTTAGAGGAGCAGAGACTGCGTGAGAGGGTCAGAGAGCTTGCGGAGCAGAATGTGTCTCTCCAGAGGGAAGTCTCTGCTTTTAGTCAAAGGGAGTCTGAAACGAAAAATGTGCTGACTTATTCAGAGCAACAAGTTAGGCAGCTGAATTCAAGTATGCAAGAGTTGACCCAGGAAAATGAGCACTTACAGCAAACCTTATCTGAGTTGCAGGAGAAGTACACAGCAGCTAGACATGACTTAAGTTGTATCAGGAGAAATTTTGAAGCTAGGGATAAGGAGTGCAAGGAGCTACAAAAGTCAACGACAAGGTTGTTGAGAACTTGCAGTGAACAGGAGAAGACAATCATTGGATTGAGGGATGAATTTGGTGCTGAAATGGAGAGGCAGCAATCAGTGGACAAATTTGATAATCACATCACGAAGATGCGAATGGAACAAATGAGGCTGGCCGGAGTAGAACTGTCACTTAGAAGGGAAGTGGAATCTCACAGAAATGAAGTAGACTCTCTGCGACATGAGAATATGAATCTACTGAATAGATTGAAGGGCAGTGGGAATGAGATTTATGCAGCGACTCTCAAACTAGATCAAGAGATGGGGGGCCGTGTATGTTGTCTGCAAAATCAAGGATTATCTCTGCTGAATGAGAGCACTGAATTGTGTTCCAAGTTGTTGGAGCAAATCAAAGGGAATGCAGGCGAATGTCTAGAAACAGCACATCGGATGGAGTTCATCAGAAACGGTTTAGACGGGCATTTCCTTGTCGAATCGGATGTCAAAGTTCAGGGCTTTAGACGTGGGATTGAAAGCCTGGCAAGAGGTTTGCAGTCCGTTTCATCTTTATTGCAGGAAAAGTCTAATTCTGTAGCTGCATCGTGTCAGCAGCCAAATCATCCAACATCAGAGGTAAACTTTTCTTGAATGTGCATAATTGTAGGTAATCTATTTCTTTCATTAAGTTGTAGTTGCAAGCAAGCAAGATTTGAAGCTTTTTTCTGTCCCTGTAGGAGACATTGAAGTTTGAACTAAAGACCGAGGCTTTGCTTACAAGCCTGCTAAGGGAGAAGCTTTATGCTAAAGAGCTGGAAGTTGAGCAATTGCAAGCTGAGATAGCAGCGGCTGTGAGAGGCAATGACATCCTCCGCTATGAAGTCCAAAATGCTATGGATAACCTTTCATGTGTCAGCCACCAGTTGAAAGACTTTGAGCTTCAGGTGAATACAAATAAACTGCCGCTTGGAGATCTTCTTTAAGAACCCATATACGTGGCTTGATTCCCAACCCCTACAAATTGTATAACATTCCCTTGGTTCTGGTTTTTTTCTTCTTCTTCAGATGTCAAAGAAAGATGAGAACATAAGTCAGCTTCAACATGATCTCCAAGAATCAATGAAGGAGCTATCCCTGACAAAGGGGATACTGCCACAAGTAACGCAGGAGAGAGATATAATGTGGGAAGAAGTGAAGCAGTACAACGAGAAGAACATGCTATTGAACTCGGAGGTCGGTTTGTTGAAGAAGAAGCTAGAGGCTCTCGATGAAGACGTACTTGTGAAGGAAGGTCAGATCACTATACTGAAAGACAGCTTGAGGAAGAGAACCTTTGACCTTCTCGCAGGGCCTGATTCCACTGCAGAATTCTTGTTAGAATAGTTGTTTGCGCTTTCATTGTTAGGATGTTGTACAGGGGGGAACTGTGGTATACTTACGGTATACTTGGGGTGACGTTAGTGAATATTTTGGGGTCAGTATGCCTCATTTGCCCTGGGGAAAAAGAGCTTCTTGTTGATAATTTCTTCCAGTACAGGGTTTGTTTGCTTTATCTTATGTAGTGTTTTGGTTTTGTCTTCTCTGTTACATAGTCGTATATAGGATTTCTCAGGTCTCTGGAAAATTACCATCTTGTTTCAGTACATCTCTTTTCCATCTGATAAAAGAATTTACCGTTTCTACCAAGAATACATTATCCTACAGGGCTGAATGAACAGTTCAAGTGCAAGATGAAGGCACCAGTCCTGGTATTCTGGTGACGCTGAAGCATTGTGGTGTGCAAGATTGCTTCTAAACTGAAGAGTACAGAAGAAAACTTCGATAATGATTGAGATGGTCTTATTTTTCCACAACATCGAAGCAACCAAAATCCTACGTTGTCTTCTCCTTGTCCAGAATAACCCAAATGTCTCAACAGATCACAGAGGTGAAGGTTTCCAGAAGCCAATGGGCTGGCGTTGCTGTACAAGGAAATATACGATCATGTTACTTGTGGCAGAAGTAATTTGTTATTAAAGGAACTTGAGAACAGGGCATCATGCTTTTAGAACTATTGCTTCTAATGAATTACCTTAGCAATGGGCAACTTTGTTCTCACTGAATCGATGAATGAGAAATCAATATCAGCCAACTGCTGAAACTTCATTTCTGGTGTCTATCTATCTGAGCGGCGGCGAGTCGGACTGAGTTCGACGCCATAGTTGCTGGCTCGCCGGAGCAGGCAAAAGCACGTGAGTTAACGGTCAGCGATCAGGGAGGCACGTGGTCGGGGATCGGAGGAGTTAACGGAAGTTTTCTCGGGAAGCTTGGGAGAGTGACGTGGAAACAGAGTGGCATCGTTTCCATCGGAAATCGCCCATTTCCTGACAGTTTACAAACAAACCAATCTGTTACTATTCAATAGTATTCATTTTCATTTTGGTCCCCGTATTTGGTCAGTTCGTATGCATTGGCTCCCGATTTTCTTGTTCCTGTCCATTCTAGGTTTTACTGCTTAGCAAGTGGTAAATTGAATGTTTGACAACAGGAATAATGAGCTGATTATGCCTGTAGAGTCAAAACTATGGGGGTCTCCAACTGCAATCCATCTCTTGCCTTTTGAGTTGAGAAAAGGAGAACCAATCTTTAGAAGACACAAAGATCTAAACTAGTGGAATTGTTATGTATGCGGGATATCGATGATACGTAATCCAAGGTAGGACAGAGATGTATAATTTCTAAGTAAAATATCACAAGTATAAGCAGAGCTTATGTTTGGTAAAAATAAGCACACAAAAAATTCATAATAAATGAAGAAACTTAGAAGCATATTATAAAGGACAATTTAACAAGATGAAAAAACTGTTCGAAATGTGACACATACACATCGATAGCTGTTATCGGAATTTGTGATCTACTACCACTAAAGCAATTAACTTTCGGACAAAGCAAATGGAAAATAAAATAAGTAGTAAAATTGTTTCGATTTCAACTAATAACCTTTTATTTGTTTTTTATTATTATTATTTTTTTACTATATAAAGGGAAGAAAGCAGGGTTGATGAACAAAGATTGGCTAAAATAAGGTAGAGGGTTGTTGTGAGGTGAAACGGGAAATCCAATTGGCTAAAAACCAAAAAAGTCAAACCTTCCTAAATTTCTGAAACAAAAAGAAAACTGGAAAAAAACCCACCAACCAATAGAAGAGAAGATGTCAATACGACTAAGAGACAAAAGGAATAAAAACAAAGAACCGCTTTAAATAACTTATTGAGAAAAAAAAGTCCAACGGTGGGCGTACGGCAAAAGGGGAGAAAACTAGGAAGAGAGAAGAGAGAGCGCTTATCATATCATTAATCACGGCCAGCTCACCATTGCGATTTGATGATATGCTCTTCTGTTTATCTCTCTCTCTCTCTCTCTCTCTCTAATTAACAGCACCCACCCACCCAACTGATCATTCAAATCTCTTTCTCTCTCTCTCTATTTCTATCTCTCTCTGTTTGGTTTCTCTCAAATCTCACCCTTCATTTCTTCTTCTTCGTCGTCGTCGTCGCTGCCTCTGGTCTCTGTCTCTGTTACCGTGAATCTATTCTGCCCTTTACTATTAATTGTTGAAAACTCGGAACTTTTTTCTTCTTCTTTTGTTGTATGGCCCGGTTGTTCTTCCCCTTCCCTTCCCCGAGTCCTCTGTTGTAAGGGAAGGAAGGAAATTCTGAGATACTCGCCCCTCGCTTCTCCCTTCTCCTTGGGGAATTTCTCGCCTTTGAATGGTGGGTGTAACGACCTTGGAATCACAGAGCTAGCCGTCAAGGGTGTTTTAGGTCGCCTCTGAAAGGTAAAAATGGATGCTCTGTTTTTCGGGCTTTCAGATTCAGGGGTTCCTCCATTTTCATTATGTGCTCTTTGAATTCGACAAGTTTCATGAGGTGTGGGGGTTGATATTTTGTGATGTTGCGTTGGAATCTTTTGATTGCGTATATAATAATGCCACTGGATTTGATCTTGTGTATCTTTTTCTCTGCAAATTAATCACAATACATTTGACTTTTTCTTAAGAAAAAAAAGTAAGTGCCATTGATTTGTGAACTTGATGGATTTTGTTGTGATTATGGACGGAACTTTCAATTTCAAGGTCTAATACGTTTTCCTTTATATAAAGTTTAGTTTTTTTTTTTTAATGAACATATAGTGTTTCTATGTATGAAGATTGATGTGACTTTATAAACGTTGATTTGTTGCTTTCTCTGTAGTTTGAATTGATCAACGGTGTCTGCATCCTCCTTCGCGAATCGCCTGCATCTGCAGTTTGATACCATCTTTGGATTCTGATCCGAAAAGGAATCGTTCTTTCTGGTGGGTTTGTTGGAGGAGAATTATGTAAGTTATGGTTTCAACTGGGCTTAAGAGAATTGTTTCAAGCTGCTGGAAGCCTGCGGTGGACGGAGAATCTGTCAATTGCAGAGCTGGAGACCCGGCCACTGGACGTGCTGATGGATTGTTGTGGTACAAAGATGTTGGACGACATGTGAATGGTGAATTCTCCATGGCTGTGATTCAAGCTAACAATCTACTTGAAGATCAGAGCCAACTTGAATCTGGGCCCTTGAGTTCACTTGAATCGGGGCCTCAGGGTACCTTTGTGGGAGTTTATGATGGCCATGGAGGCCCAGAAGCTGCCCGATTTGTCAATGAGCGCCTCTTTGAGAATATCAAGAGTATGCTTCTTCTGTTCCTCTATGCAATTTTTGTCTCTCGTGATGAAGTTAGAGTAATGCTTATTTTTGTTACCACAAGCTATAAGTATCAATCAAATCCACCCACTTCAAATCAATTTCACCCAAACCCATTTGACTAATATCTGTTGGATTGGATTGATAAAAAAAAATTTGGTTGAAAATTGGGTTGGGGGTTGAGGGATAGATTTACGATATAGTATGTTTACCGTTTTTATTTTATTATATAAATTTATTTTGAGTCGAAAATTACATCTTATTGCAAAAAATATATATTTTTTCTACAATTAAGTATCTAAATTTTAGCAGTGTTCCAAAATTAACAATTTAACTTTAAGCTTTTGCCAATTTATTCCATATAACAACTCTTAGAACCATAGCCTCTATAAGTTTACCCAACAACTCTTAGAACCAAGTAGCTCTACCCACAAACCCATGTAAACCAACCTACGAGTTCACTAAAGCGGCATATGAAGCCATTTGAACTCAACACAAACTCAACTCGTTTCATTTGCCACATGTCTTTTTTACAACTAATGCTTTGCTCATATTTTTACTGATCGACGGTCAACCATGTTGCAGAATTTACATCGGAGAGTTATGAAATGTCTAGTGATGTGATCACCAGAGCATTCTTGGCCACAGACGAGGAGTTCCTTGGCCTAGTGAAGAACCAATGGCTAGACAAGCCACAAATTGCTTCTGTGGGAGCATGTTGTTTAGTAGGGGTAGTATGTAGTGGACTGCTATACATTGCCAATGCAGGTGATTCTCGGGTGGTATTAGGAAGGCTTGAAAAGACCATGAAGCAACAGGAAGAAGTTAAGGCAATTCAGTTATCGTATGAACACAATGCCAGTGTCGAATCTGTGAGAGAGGAGTTGCAACAATTGCACCCCGATGATCCTCAGATTGTGGTACTGAAACACAAAGTTTGGCGCGTCAAGGGGCTAATCCAGGTGAGTTCATGTCTAGAACTAGGTGTATGTAGCAGGGAAACTTTTGCGATGTGTGCACATGCATTTGGATCTTTCTTACTTTGTAATAGCATATAATCGAATTAAAGAGGTTCCATTAAGTTAAGTTTTCCCTTTTCAGGTATCAAGATCGCTAGGAGACGCCTACCTAAAAAGATCAGAGTTCAACCGTGAACCTCTATTAGCGAAGTTTAGATTGCCTCGACCATTTGAAAACCCAATCTTGCTAGCAGAGCCAACAATCAAAGTGCAGAAACTAACTCCTGAGGATCAGTTTCTGATATTTGCATCGGATGGCTTGTGGGAGCACCTGACCAATCAAGAGGCAGTTGACATTGTTCATACTTGTCCTCGTAATGTAGGATCTCTAACTAAACATCATGTGTGATTTTCTCTTACTGACAAAAATAACATATTCAAAATCTAGTGAAGACAAGCAAACTTCTTCATTCTGGAAATCATTTACTAGTGGTCAACCTTTATAAACTTTTAACATATAAGACCATAGCGTTAAAGAAACAAATAATTCTTTGTGCTCCAATTTTTTTTTTTTTTCAAGAATAAGAAGATATCCTTAAAAATTATTCCTTTGATTGCAGGGTGTAGCGAGGAAGCTCTTAAAGGCTGCACTCCAAGAAGCAGCAAAAAAGAGGGAGATGAGATACTCGGACTTGAAAAAAATCGACCGTGGCGTGAGGAGACATTTTCACGATGACATTACAATTGTAGTTTTGTTTTTGGATTCCCATACCATAAGTCGCAGCATGTCCGGAAGTCCAAGTGTTTCAGTAAGAGGAGGAGGAGGTGTGCCAACTTGGACATAGCTCCAACGTTTAGTCTCTCGGAATTCAACTACCATGTTCAATGTCCCTTGATGTAAGCATATGATCACGTCACCAATTCACATCGGTGGATGCATGCCATGACAATTATGTATAAAATTATCATCACTAACATCCGATATTCGTGAATTGTACGGTCTAAACACATGCTTATACCGGGGATTGTAAGCTGGCTAGCCAGATTGAATATCCGTCTAAGGCTAGGGGTTGAGATGGGGAATGGGAGATGGGAAGAACCAAGAGGGGTATTATTGAGCAATATGGCATTTGGAGTATAAAAAAGAGAACCCATTTTGTGCAATTTTCCTCCCTTTTTTTTACCAGGAGATGAGGGAGTTGCAAAGAAAGATTCATTATTGTTTCTTTCTTAGTTTCCCTCCAATTCTATAGCCAAACCTACTTAAAGGACAGAGAAAATTCAGGGAAAATAGGAGGGGAAAAAAGTTCAGTTCTGTTTAGTTCATCAGTGGGCTAGCACATATGAATATTATGTTGTATAAGTAACTCTATTCGTTCTGCAAATTTCAAATCATAGTTAGCACCATAAAATATCGTTTCGTTAATTTGTCTGATCCAATTTGTGTTACAGTTTCATAGCAAAAGTTGAAGGGGGCATATTTTCATTAAAAACAAAAGGGTGCAAATTTTTACACAGATGCGCTGAATACCAAACTGCATGTTTTAGGTGAATCTTGATATTTCTAACGAGGAAAGGATGAACGAAGCAGCCCAGAAAATGGCGACATTTACCCTTAATGGTTCCTCTGCATCTATCCTGAATTGCCAAAATAAAGGACCATATCGAGGGAAGAGAAAGAAAGGTTGCAGATCCATGTTTCTATATAAAATGGTATAGGTTCTTTACCTCCCGACCAATAATAGCAATCGCAGGCACAGTGAGTAGCTATGACACTGGACCGAGCATTGGAACTTCCAGAGGTCTTTTACACAAAAGGATAGCAGCAACCATAAGCTGTGGTAATGAGCACACAATAAGAACACCTCTTAGCAAGGCAAATCAGCCTATTCAGCCAAGTCAGAATATATCCATAGGTTACAAGGAAAAGCTGCCCACCTTATCAGCTACAGGATCCAAAAATGCACCGAAGGCAGACCTTAACCTCGTCTGAAAGAGAAAAATGCATTGAACTTCCTACAATATAGAACCTCTGGAAATATTTCCCCGGTTCTCCTCCAAACCTCGAGGAACCTGAGAGCGCCAGTGAACACTATACGAAGAGTGAATGAAATGGAGGATGTCGAATTGGAAAAAGCCTGTCTTAGAAGGAACCCTGGATAAAGACAGACATAAATCGACAGATATATGAGCTCAGTTTGGCACTAACTGGAGATTCACAAGATCGATTGCATACACAAGTCTTAAAGACATTATCTTCTAGGGTAGCGTTGATAATCTGAGATAAACAGCATCACATCAGCAAGAACAAATGACGTAAAAGGAAAAAGTTGAGACTTCCTTCACCCCAAAATCGCAAGTAATTAGAAGCAATTCATTTAAGGGGTAAAGGAGAGTACACTGTACTATACAGGTAGGATCACAAGTAACTCGTTCTGCAATATAAGGACTCAAAAATACAATCAGCATTATAACTTTATCAACTCAAAAAACTTGACTGGAACAAGGGGTATGAAATGTGTGAACCTATTGTCCATCTGGTAATCGCCCTCATGCTGCTCCAACTTCAGCCGGGGTTTTGGCAACAATAGATAATGCGTGCAATCCACTCTGCAGCTCCTCTTGCAGCAAACCATAGATCAACCTATGCCTCTTCACCAAGCTTTTCCCTTCAAACTCCTTTGAAACAACTTTCAAGTTGAAATGCGTCTCCCCATCACTCCCCCTAACACCAGCATGCCCCGCATGCTGATAAGAAACATCTTCAACATCCAGTTCAACCGGGTCCAACTCCTTCTCCAATTTTTCCTTAATTCTAGTCCCTCTACTCCCTAGACCAGGAAATTCGGAGGCTTTCACGTCTTTCTTTGATACCGAACCCTCACCCACGCTGCTGCTGCCAACCACAGTTGAATTACTGGAACTAGCATCGCCATTTGACTCCAACTTCGAGCTTTGTAATTCATTATGAGCGCTACCCCCCTCTGAACTTTGGGCTGACTCTAGCACACCCTTTTCTGCTTCAACATACAGCTCAAGAGCTTTCTTCTGCATCAACTTGAGCATATTCAACAACCCATTATTCCTGGAAGGGGTCAAACTCTGTTGAAGACCAAGAAGCACAGCGAAATCAGGAGAGACCCTCAAAACCTCTTCGACTGGCCGCCCTGAGAGACCTAGAACGAGCAAAGCAGCGAGGCCCTTGGTGAGAACGGAATCGGAATCCGCCTCGAACGAGACATTCCGATCATTGTCCAAGTAAGCCCTGACCCAGACTTGAGAAACGCATCCTTCCACTTTGTTCAGTTTTGTCTTGAACTGGGCATCCAGCGGCTTCAAGTTCTTGCCGTAGAAAAGCAGCTGCTCGTATTTGGCTTTGGGTTCCTGCACGGACTGGAAAAGCTTCACGATTTCTTGGAGCTTGGGAGGGAGCTCTTCGACGGGTTGCAGAGATGTGGAGCTCGATGCTGAGATTGATGTTGGTGATCGCGATTGGTTCCTCGTCTCGATTCGCTGGAATGAAATGGATTTGGAGATAAGGAAGGGAGATGAAAGGGTGGGTTTGAATGAGGAGGAGGAGAAGAGTGACTTGGTTGATGAAAGGGGGACTGGGATTCTGGTGGTGAGAAGGCGGAACGAAGACGAGACCGACGAGGACATCGTCGCGATTTGGGAATGCCGATTAGAGAATTTTCCCGGTAGGGCTTTGCTGCCTAGGCTGAGCGCCTGAATCAACCGGCCGCCGTTTTGTGAGCTGCTGGTTGGTTAAATTCACTTTTGGACACTCAACTTTGTACCCTTCCAACATTCGGCACTTCATTTGAAATTATTGCATTAATGGGCACTATCCACTTTGTTTAGCAACCTATCCTATTTCTCTAGACCTTTGGTACAAAAACAGTTTCTCTTGGTGAAAGTCATAGCCTGCCTGGAGAAACATTTCAATAGTATGGCGTATTTAGTGCTTCTATGCACAGAATATTATCAACGTTGATATGGTGAACATATATTGCACGAATACATTTGAGGCGATTGGTTCAATTGTAATTCTCTTATATGTTTGACGGAATTCACTAATACTGCATATGAATCCATTTAAATTCAACCAACTACACATCAACTCAACTCATTTGCCATCTATACATTGCCAACGCTGATGATTCTCGAACGGTATTAGGAAGGCTTGAAAAGACTATGAAGCAGCAGGAAGAAGTTAAGACAAATCAGTTTTCTTTCGAACACAATGCCAGTGTCGAATCTATGAGAGAGAAGTTTTAATAATTGCGGATGACAATCGTAATTAGACTCTTGATTTCAGTTGGCAATGGCAATGCTACCAGCAGGCATCGACATTAGCAGATGTCACAAATAAACAAATATCTACTCTTAAGTTTCCATGCCGTGTGTCACAAGATGCAACAGGTACAAATGAAATGTGATACCACTGCTCTTGCATTAATGCTGTATAACTCAAAAGTTTCATCCAAACAAGTTGCTGTGTTTTATTGCCTAAGTAAGAAATACAGAAGATTGGCGGTTGCATCACAGCTCATCTTATCAATGCACATAGTTTCCAGCCGAGGTCAAGCTCGTAGACCAGTACTGTGGAAGCTTCAACCTTAATCCACTGCCAACCAAAATCCGGCTAATATTTTAAGCAGAGAAGGGCTTTCTGTCCAAATATATATACATATACACGGAATCTCAGAATGTTAAGAACTGTTGCTTCCCAAACACCAGCAAAAGCTCGGCAACCATGTCCAGAGAGAGACAGCTTCACCTTTAAAAGGCAAGGAGATGAGCTGAGACTTCTCCTGTACAGCAGCTTTCCTCTCAATCCACCGTCACTAGCAAGAAGTGATGGTCACGACTCACGACAGAGGATTATGCAGGTTGCGGCGAAGTCAAGCTAGCTACTTGAGCAGTACTTTCCAAATCTTACTCATGTACACGGCTAAAGAATATACCGAGAGACCTGCTGAAATATAAAGCAAACCAACACCAGAGGCTACAAATGCCCCATGGCCTCCAACCCTGCAAAAAACGAAACCAAAAAGCTCTTTACAACTCTCAAAAAAGAGGAACTATTATCAAATGTACTAAGAATGGCAATGAATTGAAGAAACTTTTATGGGGCACAAGCACAGAATGACCAACCCTCCATCTCGGGTCGCAAGAAGTATGGTTAACGCGATCATCTGTGTAGCAGTTTTCCATTTCCCCAAGTTATTTACTGCAACAGCCTGAAACACATTTTCAAGGTTTAACAAGTGAGAGTCAGCAGCATATATATGGTACAGGGTACAACAACCAGAAAACAACAGAAGAGGCAAACAAACCTCTAGAAGCTTCGTATTTTGTGAAGCAGCCCATTCCCTGACTGCTGACATTGTTATCTACATGTATAGTGGTAAACAAACAGGCAAGATCATTAACAAGTACAAATCCCTTGAGAAATTACAGAAGCTAAATGGGTTGAAAATCAGGGGGAAAGCAAACAATATGTATCAAGCATCAACCAAAGAGAAGCAATTGCCAAAATAAAGAGCCAAATCTTATTTACCTCCCGACCAATAATAGCAATCGCAGGCACAGTGAGTAGCCATGGAACTGGCCCGAGCATAGGAACTTCCAAAGGTTGAGTACACAAGAGAACCAAGGTAGCAGCAACCATAAGCTGTGGTAATGAGCATACAAATTCAAATAAGAAACCTCTTAGCAAGGCAGATCACCCTATTCAGCTAAGTCGGAATATATCCATAAGTTATTAGGAAAAACTGCCAACCTTATCAGCTACAGGATCCAAAAATGCACCGAAGGCAGACCCTAACCTCATCTGAAAAATAAAAGAACATTTAACTTCCTACAATATAAAACCTCTGGAAAACTTTAATTAGAACTCCAACATTTCATCATCAAGCCAAATGTTACCTTCCGCGCGAGGTACCCATCAAGCCAATCAGTTACTGCCGCAGCAAGGAAGATACTAGTTGTAGCAGTTCTTCCCAACCAAGTGTCAATGTAAAAGGCTGGTGAACAAAAACTGAGTTATTTCCTCAATTGTAAATGTCATTCAAGGAAGCTTCAAGCTTCAGGAAGCCAGCAACGGTGAAACATTGTCAAAACAAAATTTTCCAGAAATCTAGGACAGGTAACAAGCTTTCCTTTCAAAGATCATCTTCTCACAGAAATATCAAACCCATTCCAACACAAAATTTAACATATGAACCCAAAGGTGAGGAAAATCAGCCATTAATACAATTGCAGGCACATTCGCAAGAAACATGACCAGAAACACATCGGACGCAGCTCTTAACCATCAACATTGTTGATTTTCTATCTCACAAATGATCCTCCCGGGAAGAAAGACGCCAATCCCACCGATCATCGCATTGAGACAACAATTTCCAATGACAAACACCAAAAGCAAATCAATTCAAACCCACCGGAAACAGCAATCTCAATTACCAACCCAGTCCAAGAAAACGGGAACTTACTGCCGATGAGAAGCGGCACGGAAGCAACGCGGCCGAGTGTTAAAATGGTAGGCAGCGTGAGAAATTTCGACGAGCATTCCTCCTGCTTCCGATGATCGGGCGACGGCGAAGAAGACGGTCGATCTAATCCGTTCACGCCGTCGCCACCAGGGTACCACTCGACGCCGTCCACGGGCGCCTTGTTACCGGATCCCATATCTTCCGCGATCACACCACCGGACCCGGAAGGCGACGACGAGGAAGAATCGGATCCAGCGGAGAATCCGGCAGCCCTACGAGCGAACGGCGGCAAGCCACAATTTCGGAGGGAGGAAGATGAGAAATGAGAAGGAAGCCCTAATAACAAACTGCCGCTGCTGGTGGTGGCGCTTATATTAAAAAAAATATCTTTTTTATTATTACTGCTACAGCTAAAAATTTGGTACCGATAACAATCATTAAAAGGAGCGAGGTGTGCGCAGGGTGGTATCCTGCGCCACGCTCTTCCGCAATTGATTGGGACCGCACAGAGCGAGAGCACGGCGGCGGCGGAGGAAGGGGGCGGAAGAGGGAGGAGACCGGCGGCGGAGGTGGTGGTGGTGGGTGAATTGGGAGAAGGGGAAGGAGGGAAAGCGGAGCGAGGCCATTTGTAGGGTTTGGCGCAGAAGGAAGCAGCGGCCATGCTCAGTTTGAGGGCTGGCATGGCGGTGGCCGGATTTAGATTTCAATTTTGGGGAAGAAGGAATGCGCTGTTAATCAGAGAAAAGCAGGTACGCACAAAAAAAATTTGGAGGAAGAGGAACAGATTTTTGGCTGGTGAGGGATCGATCGATGTTTGTCTGAAAGAAGGGATCTGGACGGAAGCGAAGGGGTTTTTTTTTTTTTTTTTGGTGTGTATGGCTTTTTCTGTTTCTCTCCTGAGACATATTCCATGTTGGCGTTGCTAACCTGCTATTAATTTGGGGGCGGATTACTTTTGAGGGTTTGACCAAATTTTTTATGGATTATTTTAGGAACAAGTTTATGTTGTCATCACCGTATAATAAGGTTCAACCGGTATCTATCATAAAATCGACTGGAATATCAAATGCAAGAAGCGGTAGTCAATATCGGTCAATGATAGTCGAAACCACAAAAGCAGTGGTCCAATTGATATGTTCAATTTTCTTCTTTTACTAAAATGACGTCGTTTTTGTGAATTTAATCGACAAAAAATAATTGTATATAAATATGATAGATTGATCATTATGTTTGTAATGTATTCCATTTTATATGGATTATATTATCGGTTGGGTTTAAGTATAAACGTTTAAATATTGGCTTTAAATTTTATATCTAAATATGAGAATTTGACATTTTGTTTATAGTCTTGTGTTTTATTTAAATATATGGTGTAAGTTGTAGGGAGGTTGTCTTGAGATATGTTATATATATATATGCATTTGCTTATAATAGTTTTTCACTTTCTCTACATATTTTATTAAAACCGATATTAACCGGCATAAATTAGTTGTACCCCAATCGGCTCATTCCACTTGCTAAAGAGCGTGCCGGCAACCAGTTTGGCAACCTTGACAAGTGTACAACTCTTTTTTTTTTTAATTTGATCGCTTATATTGCACTTCAATAAACTCGGTTAGAAAGAGGGATAACATCATGAAATCTGGAAACAAAAAAAGAGGATTCTCTATCATCCAAAAGAGCACACCTTGGCCAAGTGGTAAGCTAAAAAAACTAAGTATGATCAAACCAGAAAAAGAGATTCTCTATCTTGTGCGAAACACGTAACATAGAAAAACAATCTTTGCAACTTCATTTATCGAAGCGCCTCAAAGCACTGTTTTAGCTCATCAAATACATATTTGACCATGACAACTGAACAAAGCAACATCATATGTCGCTCCTGATAATTGTTCGAAGATGACCCATCAATGTAAATCACTGAATTTATATTGGTTGTCGGTCGACAGGACTATAGCCAGACTGCTCATAGTTGAAAAAGGACAAAGGCAACCAGAGGCAGTGATACACATGACAAATCAGAGAAGAGCACCTCTAAGGGTTGGAAACACAAAAAAAAAAAAAAAACTCAGAAACACCAACCCAAAACCACTGGCAGAAACTAAAAAACCAACAGAGAAAAATTCACCCAAACACATAACCAAAACAAAAAAGAGCATCACCCACAACACCACCAATATCCCCCCACCACACAAACAAATCAACCTTAGATGAAGCTCGAATATATGAAAACTATGGAACATCCACCGACCACCACGGTAACATAAAGAGACAACGTTACCCATTTTAGTCAATCGACAGAGACTCATACATCATGCTACGGGGACAATGACGGAGGTAAAACAATGCAATCACCCAAACTTATGACAACACAATATGGATTGAGAACGAGACAAGATGAAGTGTCACTCGTGTCCACGATAACATGAGACAAGTAATACTCACTCCGAATAGACTCGCTCAAGCGTGTTATCGTAAAAATTATCATCACTATTGCCAAACAATCCATACTTGGAGATTCACTATGTCGAGTCATTTCTATATGATTCCATGAGGCGACATATTATGTTATTCTCATATGACGTCATTTCTACACTTGCAAATTTGTAACGGATGAGTTGTCTCTACACTTTATTTTTTGCCGATTTAAGTGAATCAAGAGCACTCTTCGAAGAAGTGCAATGTTTAATTTTTAATATGTAGTTCATCCCGACAAGGTCAAAATGTTGCGTTCTAGACCCTCATCTAGACACATGTAGATTCTCAACCGTACTTTACATAGTCGTTTGGATGTGGAAATGTAATGCAGTAATTGGACCCAATTACCATATAATGCAGTAATTGGGTTAAAAATCCATGTTTGGGAGAGCAAAAAATGGTATGGAAATTGGCTTCAATTACCACATTCATGGTAATTGAGAATGCTACACCTCCCCCTAGTAATTTGACATTACCACGTTTTCTTACTTCTTTTTCCAAATTCCACACCATCAATTCCCACAAAACTAAACCCTATCCAAACGTGAATTTTTTTCAATTTTCACAAGTCAATTCCTTGGTTTTGTACAACATGGAAATTCAGACAAATTTCAACGTTTTAGAATTTCCACATCCAAACTATCTAATTATCTAAAATCTCATATCTACTAATTTACTCGACAAAGTAGAAGCAATATCTAGCCTTCACAAGACGAGAATTGATTGGATTGCTTCCAATTCCATCATTCGAGCATAATATCTTGTGTTACGCATTTGCCTAACATCCTCCTGGAAATTTCGCCTTTTCCCCCATTTTCCCTCCTTCCCGGCTGGCAAATGTTTGGAACTCTGTGCTACGAAATCATCAAAAAGTTTTCCTGAAGCAAAAATGGAAGGAAGGTCACTGCTCTTCTCGTCCCTTTACTTCTCCATCTTCATTCATCACATGTAGCTAACGTGACGCTAATCTCGCGATTTGCATGTGATCTCTCTGAATCTGAATAGAAACTAATCTCTTCAACAAGGCCTGCCTTTCTGTACAGCAGGCCCATACCCAAAACTCGCTCCATCCCCATCCTCTTCCTGTACAGCAGAGTCCACACTCTCACTCACTCTCCTCACAGTTTCAGTCTGCGCCATTTCTACCGCTCCCTGTTTTCTCTCTGTCGGCTCCCCTAATTTGGCTTCCAGAAAATCAAGGGAACGGGCCTAAGATAGGACAAATACAAGATTACCAGACGAGAAGATCTCTCTCTTTCTCTTTCTCACCCTCTCCATCCCTCCCGCTGTACCTTTCTCTTTCTCTGTCTCTCCCTCCCTTTCTCCGTCTTCGGGTTCTGCTGCCGTGGCAAGGGGGAAGAAGCTGACGGACCGGCACACGAATTGAACCGATACGCCGAGAATGAAGGCGGAAGCCAAGCCGTTAAACCCTCTCGTCACCTTCGACCTCAAGAGGTACGTACTGTAAGTAAGACGACTATTTTTTCCACCTGCTTCACTGCTACTGCGTCTTGGACTCGATCCAGCGAATTCCTGGTGCGTGCCAGGCGTGGCAGTGTAGTTTGAGCCACAGAGCAGGTCGATGTGCTTTGGTTACGTCGATTGCTGCTGATTTTGCGACATTTTAACGTTCTGGGTTCTTAGTTCTTCTCTGAGTTGATTAGAGTTCTGTTCTCCAGAATTTGTGCGTGGATTTTAATTGTGATCGGTGTCAGTCCAATGTGTTATGCATTTTGGGGTTTTGGGTGTTGCGTGGAATGTGGATTTGAATCGGTTTTTATATCTGGGTTGAGTCATTGTAAACAAAATGGGACGATGAAATTGCGGTTTTGCTGGCAATAGTTCGTCGTTTTCTGGGTTGCTTACGTCGATCTATGGCTGGTGATTTCTGGGTATATTCGAGAGAAGTCTACTGTGTTGATTGGTACTGTAGTTCGAGAATATACCTCATAATGTGATGTCTACTTGGTACGAAGTGCGTGTTTCTGTTTATTGATGGCTTACTCTTGTTTCATGAATGTGGTTGAATATGCATTGTGAGTTACTGTTTTGATGATAAGATGTTGGTCTCATGAACAGGGATGCGTATGGATTTGCAGTCAGACCCCAACATATTCAGAGATACAGACAATATGCTAACATCTATAAGGTTTTTATCTTCTTTTCTACCTTCCTATTCTTCTGCGGGGTGCTTTGAAGTGTCCCTGGTCTTGGTTGCAGATGTTATTGGAGAGCCAAGGAAATGATATCTCTGAGCTCAGGATTTAGTCATTTTCTTATAGGAAGGATTCAGTAATTTTCAGTACAGACTATCCATAAGAAATTGTCATAAAAATAGGAAATAGGGTCTGCAGTGGTTGCATAATTTCTCTTAGCCTAAGGGGTTGAATTTTTGGTCTTGATAATCGAATTATTGTTAGCCGATCCACTTTTTCATGTTCTTTGTTGCTTTTAGAAGGAATCCTTGTCAACATTACTTTCATCTTCTTAACTGTCCGGAGCCTTAAGCCGAAGCATTATTATTATTATTATTATTATTATTATTATCTTGTTGATGTTAACTCCATGGGGACTCCTAGTTGTAATGGTGGGTTACAAATGTCTAACGTGCCTGGTTTGAGCCTTGGGGGTTCAACATGACCTTTGGTTAGAAAAAAACTAGCTTGGAGCTTCAGAATGAATGTATCTTAAGGAAAGGAAGTTGGTGTTCTTTACCATCATACATTTGCTATTTTAGGAGGAAGAGGAAGAAAGGTCAGACAGATGGAAAAGTTTCTTGGACCGGTTGGCCGAGCCTGCTCAACGGCCGCCTGTAAATGGTTCTCCTTCAGAAGAAGCTACTGGGACCACGATCACTGAAGCAACAGAGGAGGAGGCTGATGATAATTTAGTGAAAGAAACTGAAGGAGACAGTCTGAGTGACGAGAAGCGTAGCTCTGACGTTTCATGTGAGGATCTTACTGAAAAGGAGGAGAAAAAGTCCAAAGCTAATAGAAGAATACACAGGATCCAAATTTGGACAGAGACGAGACAGTCCCTTCGAGTCATTGAAGATCTGATGAGTGTGCGTGTGAAGAAGAAGCCTGACCAAGTGAAGGAACAACAAGATGACACGAATGAAAAGCCAGTCTCTGTTGTTGAAGATGTAAAATCATCAAAAGGAGCGACAGAGGAAGATTCTGAGGATGAGTTTTATGATGTGGAGCGGTCAGATCCAGTTCCTGACGTTCCTCCAGTCGAGAATGTCGCGGCATCTGGAATAGGTGCTACTGTTGCTGATGCACCCCACCAGGGCGATTTGTCTTCTTGGAAAGAAGAACTGGAGGTCCTTGTTCGTGGAGGAGTGCCAATGGCACTTAGAGGGGAGGTATATGTGATGCTTATTACATTTCCCTTTCACAGTTCACTGACTTGTATTTCTGCTGTACGAGGTCCAAATAATATGTGATTTTGGGCTGTAGCTCTGGCAAGCATTTGTTGGTGTCAAGGCCCGGCGAACAGATACATATTATCAAAATCTGCTTGCCTCGGAAACAAAATCAGAAACTCATGTAGATGAACAATCAGAGAGTGATCCTAAAAGTTCACCAAAAGACCCTGCATTTGGAACGGAAAAATGGAAAGGGCAGATTGAAAAGGTCACAAAATGAACTATGCTTCAGTTTTATCTCCTCCACTCAGCTTGACACATATCACCTCATCCTCTTTTTGTGTGATCTAATTACAGGATTTGCCCCGTACTTTTCCTGGTCATCCAGCCTTGGATAATGATGGCAGAAATGCTTTGAGGCGGTTACTTACAGCTTATGCAAGACACAACCCCTCAGTAGGATATTGTCAGGTACTTGACCATGATGGTGCTTAACACCGAAACAGGAAAGTTATTTCTTCTCATCCCATGCTCAATTCTAATATCTCGCTCTTGTGTTGACTGAAATGCAGGCCATGAATTTCTTTGCGGCTCTTTTACTACTTCTGATGCCGGAAGAAAATGCCTTCTGGTGAGTATTCACACACTGTTGGTGTGTTCTTTTGTTTATGCCTAAATTTGGGTCTCATCATATTTGTGTCTACTTAGCTTAAAAGTTGACTTATCGGCACATTTGCTCCTTTTCTGAACTCTTAGGACCTTGATGGGTATTCTTGATGATTATTTTGATGGCTATTACTCTGAAGAAATGATAGAGTCTCAGGTAATTCCAGCTTTTAGGAGTTAGATGGCTCTTTTTCCTTAGATATATTTAACTTACTGTGGTCCATGTTTCATGTGAGATTTAAATGAGGTTAAAGGTGCTGAATGGATACATGGTGATATGCTGATAACACCATTCCGTTTTTTCTTCTCTTTTCTTTTTCAGGTTGATCAACTAATTTTTGAGGAGCTTGTACGCGAAAGATTTCCTAAACTAGGTTTAGTCTAGTGTTACTTCTCTCCCTGATTTGGATTTCATGGGTTAATTGTCTCATCCTTTGTAGTTTATTTTCTTAATCTTTCTCTGCAGTCAATCACCTGGATTACTTGGGAGTGCAGGTTGCATGGGTTACAGGACCATGGTTCCTTTCCATCTTTATGAATATGCTCCCGTGGGAAAGTGGTCAGTTGTTTTTGGTCTTTAGATCATAGTGTGGCTAGTGTTACGTCAGTCCCGCAGGATCAATTGTCAATTTCAGTTCTCTCTGACTGGTAGCATCTAATTGCAGTTCTTCGAGTCTGGGACGTCCTTCTTTTTGAAGGAAACCGTGTCATGCTTATCAGGACAGCACTCGCTTTAATGGACTTATATGGTACTGGGTAAAGAATGCTGTTTTTTCATTATCACGCGACATATTTGCTTCGCCTTTTCAATTTTCCTTTTGCTGTATAAAACTTAATTTTGCTCAGTTGTCAACTTTTTCATGTAGGCCCTGCATTAGTTACGACTAAGGATGCTGGAGATGCAGTTACTTTGTTGCAGTCACTGGCCGGTTCCACATTTGATAGCAGTCAACTTGTACTAACAGCTAGCATGGGTTTCCAAAATGTAAATGAAACACGATTGCGGGAGTTGGGAAATAAGCATCGACCAGCTGTAATGGCCGCACTTGAAGAGAGAACAAAGGGACTTCAAGCTTGGAGGGATACTAAGGGGTTGGCGTCGAAGCTGTATGATTTCAAACATGATGGTAAATCGATGTTGACAGAAGGAAGAAGGCAAACCAGTGGCGAATTATCTCGTTCAGAGTCTGGATCTACCAATTCAGATGATGTTCTTATCACTCCGACAGAGAATGGAGAGATGGATAGTACTCCAGACCTTCAAGATCAGGTAGCTTATATACTTTTCTATGGTCTGTATTTATTTTGACCTAAACCATCTTTATGTTAGGAAGTTCAATAAATAAATTCACTTATGCTGCTGACCTGATGTGAAGTCCATGAAAAACCCTATGTACACTGTTTCTCGTGTTTTAAACCCATGGACGGAGGTCATGGATGACAGTCATGCAATCATTTGTTTAGCATTTTCTGAGAATTTATCTTTCATATTGTTCTTAAGCAAGATGATACATGCAGGTGACGTGGTTGAAGGTTGAATTGTGCAAGTTACTGGAGGAGAAACGATCTGCTCTATTGAGGTCAGCCAATTTTCTATATCAACATAATACAAATGAATGAACTAGGCCGGGATGACCTCATGAATTCAGGTGTTCCTTGCACTGTAATTGTAACTTAGTATGTTGGCATTTGCATTGTCTGCAACCGACAGAGATGGGAAATATTCGTGATTCTTCGTCATGTAGATAGGCTTTAGAGCTTCAGGGGCAATTAGAAAAGGTCACTTACTTTTATGCATGTCCCTGTTGGTCTAATGCCCTGCCATAGAAGGTCACCTTTGGCTCTTCGAGAAGTGCAACTAAATCCATAACGTTGACAATGTTTTTCCTTTCTGAAGCAGTTTGAATAACCTATTATGATGATGGCTAAGTCACATTATGTTGACATGCCGAGGCTAACATAAGCAAGCCTTTCTTCAACTGTAATAAATATATGTCAAACCTAGTTCATGCAGGGTTATTAAAACTTGGTTGTTCAGTTTGAATGGAAGCATTCTATTTTCTCTAGCTACTTGAGAGCTATGTCTCAATTTTGTCGCTTTCTCGTTCCAAATCCATTTGAATGGCATTCATCTTGTCCCTCTGCTGGCTAACTTTTTCATTTTGGCAATGGTTGTGTGATTTAAGTTTCTTTTGCAAATATGCGTACGTACATGTCATATATCTTGATGCTATTGTTTCTTTGTTAGAGCTGATGAATTGGAGACGGCTTTGATGGAGATGGTCAAACAGGATAATCGAAGGCAACTGAGTGCGAGGGTAAAAATGACTTTGTTGTTATTTGCTTTCTATATCATTTAATCTTGACATACTGCTAGATTCCTCATTTCTTCAATTTGGCACTAAAATCAATGAACTGAAGAGAATATATGAGAGTGCAGCAGAAAGCATATTACTTGCTTAATGACTGGTCGTCTGGTCCATCATGTGCATGTTAAGCTTTGTTTTAATAATCTGCATGTGATTGACGATCTGTTGTTCCCTTTCAGGCTTAGTAACATTCAATTGAATAATGTAATCTGTTTATGGGATTTAGGTTGAACAGTTAGAACAGGAGGTCTCAGAGTTGCGGAAGGCTCTGGCGGAGAAGCAGGAGCAAGAAAATGCCATGATTCAGGTTTGATTTTCTGTGATTACCCAATTATATAATTTTTACTTACCTCTTCGGCCCAGGGCTTTCGGTTGTGGTCTGAAAGTGTGTTTGTTGCTCTTTGAGGTGTTAATGCGAGTGGAGCAAGAGCAAAAAGTAACTGAAGATGCTCGTAGATACGCTGAGCAGGATGCATCAGCTCAAAGATATGCTTGCCAAGTGCTTCAGGTAATACTTGTTCTCTATATGGTTGCTTGGTTACAGGTGTACATGTGCAGTGTTCCATTGACACTTTGGATCTATTTGATTGGACTTGGAATTGTAATACTGGTGATAGAAAATAGTTGAAAATGCACTCTAGAAAACGGGTTTCACGTTCTTTTTCAGTTTTCATTTTTTGCAGAGATTTATGACCAACCAATGTGTTTGCAAATACATGTCTTAATGGAGACAAATAATATCAAATTGTACACAAGCCAAACACCTTTAGCTTTTTCATTGGGAAGAAAAAAATGTTTCATACTATCAGTGGTAGTTTTAGATCTTGAAGGGTGATAATTGGCTAAAATCAAAGTTGGATTTGATTATATTAAGCAGATGCTGAGACGATGCAGATTTGCCCTATATAACTTCCTTGTGTCATGTGTTAGTTCGAGTAATCAATCGCGCGGATTGGCAGATTTAGATGCTGAGCTTGACCTGATTTTTCTTAATGTCTGCTGTTTTCTACTGCAATTTTGTACTTGGTCTCTTCCAGTGTTGCTACAATTGGTATGCTCTATCCTTGTGCAGGAGAAGTATGAAGAGGCGATGATATCACTTGCTGAAATGGAGAAACGAGTAGTGATGGCAGAATCAATGTTGGAAGCCACATTGCAGTACCAGTCTGGCCAACTGAAAACACTGCCGTCTCCCAGGTCTGTCGTTTAGCTCTACAAATCAGATGAATGTTACTGTTGCTTAATGTATTATACATGATACTTTCCTTTGTCGTTGCCCATGATGATTAATGTTCATCTTTGGTAGAGGTCAAAATCCAGAGAAATTGCTACGTAGCAACAGCAACCAAGACCCCGCACAAGAAACGCCTACAAGAAAGTCTGGTTTATTTGGACTTGGCTGGCGTGACAAAAGCAAGGTTCGTTCTCTGTGTTCTTGTTCTTAGAATGCTAGTAAATGTTAGAGAAGATCTAAAAGCACGTCTCTTAAAGGCAAAAAGGTTAATGTCGTATATGTTATAGCCCCCACTAAGTTGTTCTTTTATTGGGTAAGGCAACCCTCCATGCCATGGCCCCAAAATAGGGCGAACCATATGATGAATCAAGGGCGTATAATACTGCCGAATGTAGTAGGCCCTGTTTTGGTGGAGCAAGTAGCTTTATTGGAGTAGGTTATAACTAACTTTTAAGGTGAATGCTCAGAAAGGTGTTTTAATTAGTCTGTCAGCAGTCAGAACATTAACTTTTGAAATAAGGACTGGTGTTTGGTACGCAAAGTTTGAAAACGATTACTTGATAAATAACGATTATCATTACTAGAAAGCGTATTTCAATTGGTATCTATGCTAGTCTTGTTTACAATATTGGAAATCCTATTAGTGTTCATTCAGTGAATGCTCCCTCTTCTTCATATTCTTCGAATCAAACTAACTGATGTTGTGTTTCAACAGGAGAAAGCTGCGAATGCTACTAATGGTGAGGAAGCCGGAGACGGGAAGCCATCGTCTTCCAACGAGGAACAGACGTTGGCCAATGACCAAAATGGCTCCCAGGCAGTACAAGACTAAGAGTAGAGACTGAGGTTGCTTCTTATACTACTTAGGAAGTTTGGCGAACATTCCATACTGCGTTCTTTTCCAATTAGTCGGGACGACTGGTAGATATTCTTCTTGTGTGAACCGACGTCGATGGTGAATTCGAGGGTTAAGGGAGTGCCCTGAACTGGCGTGCTATAGCCCTTTTCCTCTTCTTTCATTCAGCCTCTTCTCTTTTACCAGGGTGTAAGTTTTGGCAATGTCATGTAGAGCACATTATATCCATTTCATTTTTTGATTTTTTTAGTCGTGAGTCAACTAATAATGTGTTAGTTATAGTAGTTGCAATAGAATATTTGAGGAACCATCACATAGTGCAATCAATGGACTGTCATAACAATTTCCCACCACAAATTTCCTTCCATTGTGTTCATAGCTTGCTTGCTCAAACTTGTCTGCTCAGTGCAGGAGTTTTTGCTTTGCCTGCATCATCTTGGCAAGCTCTAATATATTGTTATTATTCACTTTGAACTGACGTTATAATCAAATCGTTACGGGGATAAGATGGAAGACGAGAATGAGAAGAGTCTTTCATGTAACCACAGTAGGTTGTATGTCTCTGTATAGAAAGAAGAAATAAATCTGAACTATAGATACAAAAAGCCCCAGAGCTAGGAATTGTACAATGGAAAATTTTGGTCAAAACAGGGCTAGCCAAGGCAAGGCAGATACAGCAGGGATGAATGTAAAAAAGAGAGAGAGAGAGAGAGAGAAAAGAAGAGAAAAGAACAGATAATATATAATAGGAAACCAAAGAGATTAAAAAAGAGGGGGAAAGGTAAAAAAGACCCAATTTGATCTCCCATTCATCTTGCTCATTGCACCTCACCTTTGTTTCCCTGAGTAGACACCAAAATTCTTGAACGCAGCAGCTAATAACCTCTTCTTCTTCTCCAAATTGCTGAAAGCTCCTAAAACCAAGTCCCCAATTGCCCACATGAACTCCCTGCTCTCCAGAAGTATTTTTCTTGTCCTTCTTTCATCTATGTCTTCAACTCCTTGTTTAAAGAGGACTGCGTTGTCACAGCAACCTTATACAAGAGGGTTGAGGATCCAGATGGTCTGGAAGAAACCATCACCAATTCTCTTTCGTTTCCTACCAAACAGAAACAGCTTTTTACCATCATTCCCTTCTAGCTCTAGGAGTCGAGAGTCCCCCTCCTGCAACAGCACGGGCTGGCTGGCTCTCCGGATCATACTTCTGGGAGGCAAGGTAAGTCAGGGCAGTAACAACATCGGCAATGAGAGGTCTCATATTCGGCTGTTCTTGAACACACATTGCAGCAACAGCTAGAGCTTGATACAATCCCCTTACTGGGTAATGTCCTTGTAGTGACGGGTCAGCCATCTGTGCAAACTTCCTTCGGTCCTTAAACAACGGTCGAGCCTGCAAAATATCATTAGACAATAATATTCCACTATCATTATACTTTTTCAGCATAGACAACACTAATGGCCCTCTATGTCATCCACACAATCTCAACCATAGGACAATGAAATTCTTGTCTTAGTTGTAAATCACAACCATAGGACAAGGAACAATCTCCTACCAAATAAGCATCTGTAATTCACCAAGCTAAAGGGCATGCCTCGAAAACCTAGTCTTCTTTAAGGGATTACATTCCCGTCTAAATAATAATAACCTCATGCCAAAGAACTTCAAGTGGCCATCAAAGAATAAAAGAGTAAGAAAATAACTTAGAGGTGTAGAGAAAGGCAACATAAATCTCACCCATGCAACCAGGTTATGCTCCCCGGCAGCTCTCGAGTTGTCAATGGCTTTCCTTCCAGTGATAATCTCAAGAAGAACAACGCCAAAGCTATATACATCTGATTTTAATGTAAGCTGACCTGTCATTGCATACTCTGGCGCGCAGTATCCATAAGTGCCCATCACTCTTGTAGAAACATGCGTCTTGTCACCAACGGGGCCCAATTTCGCCAAACCAAAATCAGACAACTTTGGGTGAAAACTTTCATCAAGCAATATGTTCGAGCATTTCAGATCCCGATATATAACCGGAGGGTTAGCCTTGTCGTGCAGATACTCCAAACCCTTTGCAGCACCAGCTGCGATTTTCATCCTTGTGTTCCAATCGAGTGGCCTTTTATCTAGTGGTAGGTCTGAAAATTGATCATCGTATCAGAAAGGCCAAAATCAGCAAATACAGAGCATATTTTGAACAATACAACATTAAGCAACATTCTGTACAGATGGCGACAATAGTAAAACCCAGATGTGAAATACATAAGAAATGGAAAGAAACTTTGCATCTGAATGTCACATCAGATACATAGTTCACTTATGGCCTGTCAGCTGGCTAAATTACTAGATAAGCATGTGCTAGCCCTTTTCACTTGCTATAACCAGAAATAAGATTTGCTTCTTACCATGTAGATGATCTTCCAAAGATCCTAATGGCATGTACTCGTATACCAAGAGTCTCTGGTCTCCATCAGCACAATAGCCAATCAAGTTCACTAGGTTAGGATGATGAAGTAGGCTCAACATCAGTACTTCAACCAAGAATTCCCTGTTTCCTTGCAGGCCATTTCGATCAAGTTGCTTGATAGCGACAACCTACACCAAAGAGAAGAATAATTGGTTTGGGCCTTAACTACAAACATCAAATGCTAACTATAATTCTTAACTGTGAATATCATGCACTGCTTTACCTTGAGTGTAAAATAATAAGCTAGAGCTACAAGTAAACATTCAACAATCTGTCTAAAACATGAAAGACAACGGATCTCAGCTAACCTGATTGGTGCTATCTAATCTTCCTTTATATACCCGCCCGAAACCTCCTTCACCCAGAAGATAATCTGCCCTAAAATTCTTAGTTGCTGCAGCCAACTCACGGAATGTAAATGTATGTGCGGCAATGTGATCCGATCCTCCCTCCTTTGGCCTGGGAATTTCCTTCAACTCTTGGGTGATAATTGTCTTTATTTTATCTACACAAGAGAAACGAATAGTCAAACCCATTGCATCATCTAAACCCTAAAGGTTTATTGAATCATTCAAATAAACATTCATTATCAGTAAGACTTGCAAAAAAAAAAAAAAAAAACAAAGAATCAAAACAGACAAAACTAGCATTCCAGGAGAAATGCTTGGATTACATTCACAATGGGAAAAGACAAGAAATATACAGATCACCATCATTGGTGTACCACAAAGCATCTTTGTAAGCACCTTCAACTACTCACTGGTGGATGGAATTATTTGTAGTTTCTGATAGACATGTACAAAGAGATAGGTCCTTTGGATCGAGACTTTGCAATTGGCCCTATCCTTCAATCATAACAACATAGATAAAACAGTGATCCAAAATACATGAATACCAAAAGGCAATAATCCAGTTCCCAACTTGCAAAATTGAAAACCATGTCAAAGAATACCACACCCGGGGAAAAAAGGTAATAGGAAAACAAACACGGAACTGGTTTATCTACCAAACAATCGCCATGAATCCATAGCCAATCACAACAGCCAACAAAACCAGATGCTCCCCAGGAATCATCATCATAAAAACAAAGATTTCCAGAGAGCCCGACATGAGCTGAAACTACAAAGAAGTAGAGAAAACATGCATCAACGAACAACATAATTTCCCCCTGAAACCAACCGAACTTCCTAACCCCATTCCAGATCAACAAAATATAAGAATCAAAAAGAAATTATTGACTTAATTTGAGCATTAATCATAACCCAGAAGAGATTAAAGCCTAAAATTGAGGAAAGGACGGGACTTTCTCAATAATTTCGATGATTCACAAGTGTCATAGAAGGAAAATCAGCTGGTGACAAAACCTTAGGAAAAAAAAACAACGGATTCGTGAAATTGGAGGATATTTTTCTTTATTTGAAAAGAATATCAGAGTTTCAGCAATCTGGAAAAGAAGAGAAAATTTCAGCGCTCGATGGTATTCCAATGAAATTACCTGAAGAAGACGGGATCTGATCATCAAGCTTCTTCTTCTGCTGTTGTTTGGCTTCGTTGATATCATCAGGCTGTTTCCTGTGGAGTTTCTTGGCATTTTTGTTTGCCTTTCCACCACAGATAAACCAGCCCATGACCTGTTCTTCTCTCTTATTTCAAAGGAGGGGGGAAGTATCACTCTTCAGAAAGAAAAGGAGAGAGACAGACGGACAGACGGAGAGAGAAAGGCAGAGGAAAAGAAAGGAGAGAGATAGAATTAAGGCAGACCAAACACCTTGGGGCAGAGAGAGAAATGGAAGACACGGAAGACGGGAAGAGAGAAGGAGAGGGAAAAGGAAAACAAACCCAAAACAAAAGTGTTAAATATAAAATATTTAAATTGTTATCGCCATTGTATTTCAAGTTATACTTTGATGAATTAATAAATATCTACATTTGATTCTATATATTTTTTTTATAAGTTTGATTCTATATTATTTGGAAAGTGTGACAATGAAGTTTGATGAACTTCTAAGTTACCAATAATATTATTCTGTTTAGTACGTAGAACACAATAAAATAGAAGAATATATTTTATTCAGATCATCTTTATTGAGAGGATTTGATTCGATTATTCGTTCAGGACATAAATTGATTGGCTCGCTCAAATATGATATGAATAAAGGAGGTAGAAAATTGGTTCTTGCTGGAGTTTTGTGGGAAACGATCAAACATAAATACCATGGATAATTAACTAAAACAAAAAAAAAGGTATATTGAGTTTGTTCAATCATAAGAAATCGATGATGGCATTATAAGTCAGTGCAACCCAACCTCCTATTGTTTTTAGAGATCGAGTAGACTCTAATATGTGACTTCATAGTGAAACTAATCCAGTCATTTGGATCAAGTATCTCCAAGGCCACCTTTAAAGGGTCATTTGCAAGAGCGTGAACCAAAACCTGGCCATATGAGAGGACTATGTAGATAGATCCATATTTTTAGTTAATTGTAAACTTTGTAGAGTATTCTTGTTTATCTTCAATGGGAATATACCAAAGGATACTACTAACCAATTAATCAACACAATATTATTAGCCGTTATCGAAAAGTCATTAATCGATTATATCAAATCTTCAAAGTGGAATTGCTAGACTGCGGAACAAAGTCAAAACAGGATTCACAAGAGGTTTAGCAACCATGAGATGTTAATTATAAATAGCTCATAAGTTCATGTGATTTAGCCCTATTAACCGAAATCCATAGATGGGATTTGAGTGACTACTGTATGTTAACAATTTTTTTTAATCAAGGACGACCACCGAGCCGAGGTAATTTACCCCCAATTTTAGCCCATCAACCTACTTTCGAAATTTTGTTTTAAAAAAACCTACTTTCGAGATCAAATCATACACTCCCAACCAAACCACCGGTGTACCAAATTCTCAGTTAACCCAGAAAATCCATTGAAGCTTTTAGAGTTTTAGTCAGCAGAAATGGACAGTCGAGCTCGGAATTTGCTTGATGAAGCCCTAGGGCTGGACCAGCTGACCCAATTGAAGCCGCCGCTGGGCGGAAAAGCAGTTCTGATCGAGGACTGCGTAGAGACAAGCGGCTCCTTCGTCCTCCACCAGCTCATCAAGCGCCTCCTTACGGCAGTTCCCAACTCTTCCAATGTCGTCCTCTTCCTCGCCTTCGCCAACCCCTTCTCCCACTACGATCGCATTCTCCGAAAACTCGTACCGACCCTCTTCTCTCTGTCGCTCTGTTTATGCTTCCGTTTCCGAAAGGTTTAGAATTTTGGTTACCTCGGTTTGAATTTAGCGATTTTTTTTCGTTGTTAGGGCTGCAACTTAGGTGCTCAGAGAGAGAAAGGAAGGTTCATTTTCGTTGACATGCTTAATGTTGAGTGCCCAGGTGAGAAAAGATATGTATGGTGGAGAGAAAAGAGATGGTCTTTGAATTTCCCTAGCTTTTTTCAGCAATTGAATGTTACTTCCGTTATGGCGAATGTTGATGATTTCGTGCCACTGTTGAACAGTTGGAGAAGAAGGAAAAGCTGGGGGTAGAAGTGGATTGTTTGCCTTGTTCGCAAACATCACTAAAGTCTTGAATGCCTTGCCTGAAAGTAACAGGAAGTGTCTCACTATCGTGATAGATGATGTTTCTCTAATGGAGGTGGCTGCACATGGATCTTCGGATCATGTTCTGGACTTCCTTCACTATTGCCATACTCTAACATCAGATTATGTAAGTACATACATGGTATTTGTGTTCCGATGCTTTAAAATACGAGGGTTGTTGCTCGTTGGTTGAACTTGAAGCATCCGTTTTTGTGCTGCAGGGATGCTCGTTGGTGACACTTAATCATGAGGACATCTATTCGAGCATGGACGGGCTGGTGTTTCTGAAACAGATGGAGTATGCTGCAGATGTTTTGGTAAAGGTGGAACCTTTAGCCACTGGTTTGGCAGCTGATGTCCATGGCCAGGTAAACTTCGTCGTGGAGCTTTTCTTTTGGAGACGGAGCTTGGCTTTCTTCAGCAGCGCGTTTCCAGTCTTGATTTCATTGGTCTTGTTCATGTTTTCACTTTTCACAACAAGCTGCTCAAATCTGAATATCCTAGCTTATTTTGATGGACTGCAGATGACTGTGTTGAACAGAGGAAGCTTGAATAACAGGATGAGCAATTTCCAGTTCCGGATCAAGGAAAACAGTGTCGAGTACTTCTATCCAGGAGCTCGAGCTTGAAAGAGCCATAGGTCATTTGTGTGTAGGAGCTAGAACCCTTATCACTGCGAGACAGTTTTTAAGCTTGCAGGAGTAGATGGAACATATTCCCATGGAGGAAAAACCCCATCAGAACGATATATGATAGGATTCATTCGTATCAGATTGTTTGATTAGTAATCTTGTGCCGTTATGCCTGCTGTTATTGTCCTGTTTATGTTGGTAAGGAGATGTGTACAGTCAACTTCCTCCCTGGTTTTACTCTCAGTAATTTTTTTGCTTAATCAAGATGTACATAAAAACAGAATTCAATTAGGATGATTACAAGACAGAGGAAAGCCAGCAATTAGAAAGAAAAATCTTGGAGAGCAACAGTCTGCTGCTGTGCCTGTACTCATTGAAGAATTGAAGTAGTTGGTACAATCCTAAGATGGCATTGCCTCATTCATCCCTCTGGGATTTCTTTAATCCCTAATATGAAGTTTCTACAACCAAACAAATACACCCAAAATTGAAAGGCTGTGACACCTTCGTCTGAAATACAAACGAAATACAAATCAGTATATCGAGCTTAGCTAGCTAGGCCATGCGTCAAGAGTCAAAACGTGGGGAGGTTCTTTACTTCCCCTAGTGATAAAAATCTTACATACGGTTTAGCTTGGCCTGGATTATTTCACGCGACTGTTCTGTATCTTTAATTTTTGTATGCACGGGAGCTCCTTCGTGCAAAGAATGACCTAACATAAAATGGTGGGATATGCTACAACTCATGCTGCTGCAGAGCGTTTAACTTCATGGTCTTCAAGATTCAGTGCTTCAAGCAGCTTCGGCCATGATTCTGGGATCCCTCCTGGAAGACTGAACTCCAACAACTTCCCACGACTTCGGTAAAATTCCTCCAAGGGCCGACTCTGGATCAAGAAACAAACAGCTTGAGGTTAGTGAGACTAGATGACATATTGACAATATATTGTGCTCAAGATGAAGAACAAGCCATGTTTGAGTAATGCAAGACAATGGATATTATCATATTAATAAGGGGTTTTCAGCTATTGCATTTACCTGAACAGTTTTAGTTTAACAAGGATGTATAAATGTGATGGGAGATTCACCATGAAATAAAAAGCAAGTGGAAATGGAAACTAATGGCTCATCGTTCGGCATAACCAGTTAACCATATCTTATGGTATTGAATGTGAAACAAAAAGATAACTAGTCTAGTTCCCGCGCCATTCAGATCATGGGAAAATGGAAGGAAATTAGACCAGGCACAATTATGAGCATATCACACATTAACCAGCCATATAAAAAGAATTATTGCTACATCAAACAAACAAAAAGGAGAGTACTAAATGAGAAAGGGAAGTGAAAAATACCATCTCATTATAAATTTCTAGTCGAGCCTTGACAACTTCTTCAGTATCATCGGCACGTTGGATAAGTTTGTCTGCGCACTGTGGAGGTGGCGGAAGAGGAGCCATATAGATGCCAGGTCCACCATTATCCGCCTTGATGTCAATGCAAGCAATGTTGTAGTTTCCCCCACACTGGCTGCAGATCCTACGGCCAAGGCATTTTGCAAGGAGAGCTTCTTCCCGAAGCTGAAGGTTCACAACCAAATCAATTTCTGTGACTCCTTCCAATATTTCCTGTCATATGATCACGAGATAAAGCATCAGATTTGGTTATTCATGTCAAGGCCAAATGTCTATGCGTGTTTGGTTCAGTGTAAGTGTAAAAGGATGTTACTTGAAGTGTATTTACATAAACGCTGTTTGGTTAAGTGCATTGGTTAAAGTTGTGAAGAAAACTGAGAGAAAAGAACCCCTTTTCTAGAGTGCAATTAGTCAATTACACATACTTCCCACCACATATATTTGAGGTCCATCATTCATATGCACTTGTGACTACATGTAGATAACATAAACACTCAAATTCAGAAGTGTTGCAGAAAGATTATATATTTGTTACGTAGATGAAGATGCAGATTAAAAAACAGTTATGTAGATTGTAGACCTTCAAAGAAGCAACTTGTAGCTCCTTGTGAGTGCTAACGAAGGAGTAGGAGATTCTAGTCAGTGCTAAAGAGGTCTAGAGCATGCCAGTCTAAATCCAGAGTTATTATTAGTAAATAGCAATACAAGTGCCTTACCGCTTGTCTAATAGTTCGAGGAAAGCCATCAAGAATGAAACCGGATTCTCCCTTAGCTTCCCCTGCTTCAAGACGTTTGGATAGCAAGTTTATTATGATTTCATCAGAAACCAGTTTGCCTTGATTCACGATCTCCTTGAGCTGCATGATACCAAGGAAGGACAAAATTTGTTAACGCGCTCTGTTTTCTCATTAGATCAGAACACAATTTGGGGGGGAAAACTAAAATCCCACAGAAAGGGGGAAAGTCAGATTCGAATTGGTACAAGAAAGCGACGCTGATTGACGATCAATTATCTCAACTGCAAGAGCTAAAAGAGCAGAAAATAACCTGAGAGGCGAGTGGACCGGTGGAATTGAGCTCTTCGCGGACGAGATCTCCGGTGGCGATGTGGGGGACGCCGAGGAGATTGGACAATCGAGATGCGTAAGTTCCCTTCCCGACGCCAGGGCAGCCGAGGAAAACCCACTGGACGTTCCTGTCCTTGGGATCTTGAGGCAAGGGTGAATTCCGAGATAGGAAAGACGACGGAGGAGATCTGGCGATCTCGGGCTCGGGATTGTACGCCGAGGAAGAAGAGGCGGAGAAATTCCGTGAGCTGACGAAGGAGGTGAAGGCTCTGGACACGGCTGTCGATTGCGCCGATGAGGACTTGGACATTCGGAGAAGAGCAGCAGCAGCAGCCATGGCGGAACCGGGGGGGTTGATAAAAAAAAATTCCTGTGTTCCGGCGTTTGGTTGCAGAGAAAAACAGGAAAATTTAGAATGACTAATTGATTTGTTTTCAGAGGCGAGCTTTCGCAAGTAGTAGGGTTTGTGTCGTTCGTCTACTTTCTGCGGGTCATGGAGTTTCGGGACACAGAGAGAGGGGAAAGCACGTGCACGCCACGACGCTTTTTTTCCACTTGTAATAAATTATTTTTATTATTACAATTTTAATTCAATGTATATTTTTGCGGGGAAAATAGATTATTGTTTTCTTGCTTAGATTGTGGTCAAGTTGGTTTGGTTGTCGAGACAACCGGCCTGTAAAATTACACGTCACACAAAGCATGACATGACATGACACTTGACAGCTTCTCTTGGTGTAAGAAGGTTCTTGATATAGAAGTAGAACACCATTAAACAAAACGTGTTTGTCGTTTGTTTGTTTGCAAAAGAGCTAATGAATGATTGAACTCTAATGATACTTGATGATTTTGGAGCAAGGAAAAAGGTGTGTAAACTATAAAAGGTTAATAAAAATACGAGCAAAAGTAAACCGAATCACATAGATTTTGCATTTTGTATTTTATCCAATTCATCATCTTTGCATAGAACATTGAAGAATGTCTCACCAAAAATTAATCGTATTTGTAGGACATTCAAATGGAAAGTTGGTAATTGATGCCATCGATTGCCATCATTGATTCTTTTTGTAATAAAATTTATCCAATTAAAAGTCTTAGGCAATGATCAAATTCGAGAAAGAACCCATGGAATAAACTCGAGGAATATGCTAAAAAGTGTCGGGGAGCACCGTGCCAACAGTCGTCACATGAAAAGTCCACATTGATAACGTCAAATACAAAAGGACCGGTTATTTTTAGCTGCTTCATTTCAATTTTCCATTTCTTACATTTTCCACTTCCCAAGCCTTGTCCTTCAACTGCTGGTTAAAAAGGAAACGAGAAGAAAATTACCTTCCCACTTCCCTAATTCCCTATAATACACTGAACAAGAACGGTAAAAAAGGATTTGTCCTTCTCTATTTCTCTCGTGAAAGAAGGGATGGTTAGATGCCGTCCTCATGAGATTCCGGCGCCGAGGAAGAAGACGATACGACCCCCTTGCCTTTGCTGTCCGACGACGATGTCGCCACAGAGTCTGTTGACACCATCTTTTCCACCTCTGCTTCGGGCTTCTCCAGAAGTTGGAGCTGGCTCTGCAGCACCTGAAAGCCCATGAAAATGAATCGAACATATGATTATATACCGAAGAGGAGGCTTAATCAGAGCAACAATGAAAGTCAGAAGGGGCTTGCCTCGATCTGGCTTTGCAGAAACTTTCTCTGTGCTTCCATCTCGGAGCTTGACAGCCCTTCCAAGTCGCTGAGCCTGTCTCTTACATTCACATTACTACCACCTGCTGCTTGAAATGGGACGAACATGACTGGGGGGCCTTGAGGCAGAGAAGGCATGTTTGAAGGCCCGGCATGGAATTGAAATTGGGCCTGGGATTGTCCATCCACGCCTACTTCTCCTCCCGCTGCTGAAATGTTGTTGGCTGAAGGTCTCTCTCCCTCAGGAAATAGGGCATACCCAGGAGACCTATATACAGAATACACAAAAAACAGTGAGTTGCTTCACTACACAGGCTAAAGTACAAGATCTTTCTCTATATACTAGATGGAGGAATGTGTTTTGCACTAGACAGTTCAAGGGATCAAAAGCTCAGCCTTCCAAAATCAATATGTTTCTATCAGACTGCCTGGACGAGGTATATGGTGAATGTACTCACGTGAGCCAACAAACATAAACTTTTATCCATCCAGAACCATTTTAGGCGAATGGACAATTAAACTGTTCTTCTTTTCATGAGTTTTCTCTGTGAATAGAATCGTACCAGACTAGAGTGTTTGGAGAGGGATAGACAAATGATCTTTCATATACAGCTGCGGCGGAGGCAGCTGCTTGGAGTCTTGCCTGATGTCGGCTCAAAGCATCAGCAGCACCATCACCAGAAGAACCTTGTGCATAAGCACTACCACTGTTTGCAGCTGAAAATTCAACATTTCCCAACATATGAGCATCTGTGCCCAGCTAAAACAGCATAATGAGAATGAACCATAGCGTCTAAGTTACAGCAGCTAAGGAAGAAATGGTAGATGAGCAAAGCAGTAAACCCAAAATTCATTCCCAGCAAACTTCTCCATTATAACACACCAAAATGGTCAAGCCAAATGGCATTATACTATCAAACAATTTTGAAAAAGCTATTTTGTGCTGGGAGAAAGTGCATGAAGTTACAAACTGCAACATAAAATAATGGAATTCAGTATCCACAGTGCAGTGTGTGATCAAAGATAAACACAAAACAGTACTTATAACTCAAGAGTCAAGACGAATCCAAATACCACAGGGTAGCTGCAGTCTAGCCCTATACCTCTTAAGCAACGCAATATTATTGGTTACAACTTATAAGCAATAGCCAGAAAATACATAGTAGAAACTTGAAAAGAGAGATGAACAAGGAATTCACGATAACAGTGAGAAACATAATTCAACAGCTTAACCATAAAAATAAAATAAAAATAATTCAACAGCCGCAAGCCATCAAGAAACTGTATAAAAGAACTTGGTGCATGAACATCTTACAGTTTTGATTAGTGTTTGACCACGACCCAGGTTGGCCACCAGATGTAGTTGCACCATTTTCAGGTGGTACAACCAACGCTCTGCATGTAGGACAGGTATGCTGGCGCTCCAACCAGGAACGGAGACAATGAACATGGAAAAGATGTCCACAAATTAACTTTTTGGCAGTGGTCATCTCTTCACGGCAAATAATGCAGGTAGCATCACTTCTGTAATTCATAAGAAATAACCAATTACAACAAAATACAAATGGATGCAGAAACCGTAAGACCAGATACACTACCAAGTACAACTTACGCGTTAAGCTCTTCAGGTGTTGCATCTGGAAACCTATCATTCATATTTGAAGCTATCTTTCTGTAACGAAGGTAATCTGCAACACGAATTTTGAAATTCCTAAACGTCTCATAAAGTTCTCGAATCAGGTGCAGGGGCACACCATAGTTCCTGCAGAATAGTGAAAAGTAAGCATATGGAAGGAACCAGGAGAACGGAAGAATATGGAATATAAATTACACAATTGTTCCTTTCCCACGTTCCTCGTGTTTACAGTTCCAGGATAAAGGAGCAAACAAATCAACCTAAGCCAGACATTTCTTTTCAAAAAGCGAGGAAACAGTTAACTGCAACACATTTCCTCGTCTTCTAGTTTGGATAGGCTAAAGGTTCTGTCTAATTTCTCTAGAAAAGCCATTCGTTATTGAGAAAGAAAAAAAAAAACTTAGAGAGTACAGAAATACAACCCTCAGGAAAGCACACAAACCACAAAAGAACAACAGCAATCAGAAACTGGCAGGAGCATCACAGTATCCAAGATAAGGATATATACACCATCAAAGCATTAGCATGAGGTGAACGCAATGAAACATTAGGTGTGAGTACTTACATGAAGATCACAAGAAAGAAGCATAGATACATCGACAGGTGAAGTAAGTCTCGGATAAGTTCTAAGTAGAAGGTGTAAACAGCCTTTCTTTCCCATTGTCCTTCCATAAGCATGTCGCTCACATAGAAGACGTATTTTACAAATGTTGAGACTGTAGTGGTTGCCAGAATCATATACCTAAAACGTAGAACAATTACTGCATTAGTGAATAGAGAATGCTTGATAAAAAAAGGGGGGGATAGCCAGCCTACGGACTAATTTCTTTCGTACCAAAAGAAAACCATTAACAGAACCAATCAATCTGAGCATGGATTCATCAAAATGGATGGGGTTGACTTACTCAAACGCGAAGAATAGAGAAACTGATGCTTGACGAGTGTCTATCAAATACTTTATAGAGCTGTACAGGAACAAGCTGTCTACCAGCAGAAGAAACCCAAGAAATGACACTATCCGAACTTGAGACCTCATCGGCACAGATGGTGTTGTTTCAATGTACTCAACTCTCTTTTGAGCCAACCAATGCAAAGCCTTCACTAATAGCAAGGCTGTAACCATAGCGAGGAATCCCACTGAAAAATCCTGCCTGAAGATTGTGATTGCAAAGAGGATTTCCATAACCTCCCTCCACGATTGCTCATTCAACCTCTCCACTTCAGCTTCCCGGAGTGTACCAAGGAAGACCTTCTTGGTTAGTTGCCACAAAATACACATCATTACTAGTCCCATGTTTAGAAGAAGCACCAAACTGATCTTGGAGGTGGATAAATACACCATAGCTGGATAAAACTGGCCTCTTGTGCTGAATGCATGATATATAACCGCCAGGGCGGCAACCAGACTAAGGCTGGCATATGTCCGCAACTGCATCATCTCTTCTTCAACCTGAGGGGTATGTAAGGACACCAATTCAACCAAACAAGCAGGAAAAAAAAAGAAGCCATTGACCAATCCACAATTTGCAGAAAAAAGCATTGATGCACTGCAGGATTTTGGGATGCTAACTCTCGAAGTGAGAAAGGGAAGAAGAAGATCACCTAAGTTTTCAGCCCTTCCAGAAATTTGCTGGTAATTGGTGAAGTTCCGCAGTAGAATGAACCAGTCTCCACGATTAGGGTTGAAAGCAAAGTTGGGCTTGGTTTTTCTACGAAGGCTCTTTTGCCCTGCTATCTTCTCCGCCAGAACCCCATGCTTGCCAGAGTAGATGAAGTTGTCGGAGACGGGGGACTGAAACTAGCTGCTGATAGAAACAAAGACTACGCAGAAGATGATGAGATTAGTACGATGACGATCAAAATCAGCCCCGATTGCAGATCTGAAAGAAATTCTTTCAACAGAAAAATTGGCGATCAGGAAGAAAGGGGGGAAAATGGAGAAGGAGATGCGAGGAAGAGGAAGAGGGGATTAATGAGATGATGATGAAAGCGGAGATCAACGAAGGAGGAGGAAGAAAGAGACGTTCTGGATTATTGTTCGAACGAGCCGAACCAAAAAAAAAAAAAAAAGAGAGAGGCAGAAACTGAGTAATGAGAGCCACGTGTCAAATTCTAATTTGTTGAGAGTAGCAAAATGACGTAGTAGAGCCGTCCCAGACTCCCAGTGAACTTTTTTTTTAAAGTCGCCAGTGAACCTTTTTCTGATAAGAGTTAGGATCCGACTCACGAAAAATTCGTTTTTTTTTTTTTGACAATAAATTTCCACTTTTATTCCACTTCCAATTCGAGAAAAGCGAGAATACACACAATCAAAGGAAATCCGAAATTAGGTCAAGAATACTAATCCAGTCAACAGGGAGGGAGGATCTAGCTAGAGATCGTGCTACCCAATCAGCTTTAACGTTGAAAGCACGTGAAACTGCCTTGACCTTCACTTGAGGGGTTGTTCTTAAGATTGAGACCATTGATCCAATCCAGGCTGCACCTCTCCAAGGCCAGTTTCTTGGCTCGTCCGAGAGAGCTTTGACCATCAGCTGGCAGTCTGACTGGACAACACATTCAGTGCCATATTCTTGGGCTAATTTTAGACCTTCCAAAAGGGCTTTCGCTTCGGCTTCGAGTGGGGTGGAACAAAGTAGAGTGTCAGCTCGCCCATCACACACTTGACCATGGTGGTTAGTGACTACCACACCATATGCCGCCGGCTGGGAGTCGTTTAAGAACGACCCATCACAGTGAATCACCAAATTGTGATTGCTTGGCGGTGGAGAATTGAGTGATTGGGCTCCCCTGAGCTGAGTAGAAGGAGAGTCATTGGGGGGACTCCTCGGGCAGCTAGTCCATTCCGTGAAATCTTTGTAAGTTCGCAAAATAACGTTCGGATGCCAAGGGATCCTATTCTTGAACACACATTCATTTCTTGCCTTCCAGATATTCCAGCAAAGGAAAATAATATGGGTGAGGGCTCCTGGTTGGATAGAGTCCTTGAGAAGGTACAACCAGTTATCATAAGTTTGTTGATAATTCATAAGTTTGTTATATTATTATCTCACCATCTATGATGTTAAGAATTTGGACACACGATGAGATATATCTCATTTATAACTTAAAAGATAAATTATGTATCATAGATTGTTCAAGTACTAATTACTATTACACAACATTATATATATGAACGATTAAAAAACATGAACTGAATGATATGTTACTTAGCTCGAACCGGTCTCACAAGCTAATTGATGAACCGAGCTCCACTAGAGATCATGAACTCAATAATGAGTCAAGATCGTGTCAAACACAAGCTAAGCTCCCATTTAGTATCGTTTGTTGTTGTGAATATTGCAACAGGATTGTCACACCTCTACTGCAACCACAACAATAAGGAAATAGATAACAAAAACATGTTTAGTTCTTATCTTTAGGAAATCATGAAAATAACCAATAACATAAACGCGTTTAGTTACTTCTAATAAGAAAATAAAACTAGAAAATGATGGACATATTTTTAATATAAAGTATTGTCTCTGTAATAAATAATAATACTATACATCAATCATGTTCCTTACAACTTTGTATAAAACTTTCATGTTCCTTACAAAAAAATCATCAATTTTGATAAGCATGCAAAATCTAATATGCAATTTCATCTCGCTTCTCATTCAATTAAACTTTAGTATAATCTCTACCAAACTTGTTCTTCAAACCGGATGTAATGTTAACACATCACGATGCTGAACATGTACTAGTTATATGATTCCCCTTCTTTACTTCTTCACACATGAGATCAATAAAAACTGACTCCACAACATCACCTCATATATCTTTACCACATCTTTCCCAAAAGGATTTTCTGGATTTAAAATGCTCTTTACATATATAGTCTTAAATAAGCTTATTTATTAATTTTATCGTACGATTAGGATGCTCGAAGTTTTATGATCAAATTAAAAGACTAACTAACATTAGGACATTGCAGTACTTAATCCAACTTAACAACTACCGCCAACTCGATATCCATCAAGTAGTGGAGCTGGTAAATAAAAATGATCCATCGTAGTCAATAAAAACTTAGATGTATGTTTACAACATTTCAAGTGTTTAACATTCAACATCATAGCTATTACATTATACGGTCACCATAATAATACAATCCCTTGTATATATTTCATATTTGTTTCACCTTACAATAACAATCAATATCAATCCCAATTAACCGACCTATTACTGCAAACCCTAGCATCCTTATAAACCTTCCCAGGCCTACAGAAATACCCTTTACTAGGCGCACAATGCCTATCTTCCGAACAGACACACAACCCTTCCAAACCACACCCATCCCTCACAATCATCAACCCACTTTTCAACCCCAGAACCTGGTCCGTCCACTCGCTCGAAAACAACCCCAACGGATCATACTTCTCCTTCACCCTCAAAAAATCCTTCCCACCTCGATACTTCCTCATCGCCCCTTCAAACGCCACGTTACGATTCTTCCCCCAATGCGGCAGTGCCCCATACTTGAACACCGCCATCTGCTCTATCTCCTCCAGAACGTCCTCGAACATTCGCGGGGATGTGGGGTCCTTGCTTCTGTAGTACGTTAGGTCGAAGTCCAGCCCGTTTTCTTGTTTCCCAAGGTAGGCGGACGAATGAGCTACATAACGCATGAGGATGCCGTTGTACTGGTCCAAAACGCATAGAGACTTCGGGTCCATGGCGACGAGTGACTGGACGTCGTGGATGAAGTCCTTGACGACGGATAGGTTGATGCTGAAAGTGGTTTGGTGGAAGAACTCGCCTTTGATCCTCGAGTCCCACGGGCAGGCAGTGGTTAGACCGTCGTTTGGGCTGTCGAGGCAGGTTCCCGAGGCTTGGAGGCGGTTGTGGTTGCCGGTTACCGGGTAACCAGAAAAGGTCAGACCGTTGTTGGTTAGACCGAAGCCGGCTGAGTGAAGTGCGGATGTACGGAGCTTGCCGCTCAGGCATTTCCCGTTGGCGTCCTTGGTGGATTCTTGAGTTTCCTCTGCTCGAACGTGATTAAGGTTTGGTTAACGTTGGATTAGTTTCTTAATTGAAAAGTATAAGCGGGACGGACTAACCAGCGGATCTGAGGACGGCCAAGGCGAAGGAGAGGGTGGAGCGGAAAGGGATGAAGTCGTATTTGCCGTTGCCTGAAGTGTTGGAAGGAACGCGATCGTCGATTCTGTAGATGGCTTTGCCTTGACTGGGAAACCATGACAAGTCGGCGAACTCGTGTTTGCTTCCAAAGGTGACGACTTCATCGCCGAGATCATTGTCGTCTTTCTTCACGTAGGTTAGGGATCGCTTGAACAAGGGTTGCAGTTTGAATGTCACCTGTGCATCATGTCATAATTACCCAATTCATGAATATGGTTAATAAATAAATCATAGTGTATCATGTTCTGGTTTAATCTCTTTTGGTTAATGATCCATCCTTTTTTTGTGGTTAATCCTTGCCGTGTTTCACTTTTGATATTGTAGAAGGCAACCTACACGTTTGGCTTTGATAGATTTCTAAAAATATATATGATGCAGACTCTTGGCGAAGGTGATGGTGCAAATATGCAGTAATTGTTGCAAATGTTTTAGCAGAGGATGATTATAAAAGAAAGTGCAATAAGTCCAAAAGCGATTAGTTGGTGATGGACATATATATATATATATGCAAATGCGATGAACGAAGACAAGAATCCATTAAATTGTGTGGGAGGGGAATGGTTAATTAGCTTCTCTAAAAGTTACTAAAAGGGAGAATGTGTAAGTACCTAGCTAAGTGGATTCACCGACCTTTTCCCTTTTCCCGGCCTATTTAGTATTTACTTCTTCGTTCTTTTACGGGAAATTTATTCTACTATCTAGCTTTGCTATATTTAGATGAGAATATGGTAGGTAGGATTTCAATGCTAATGTGGGAGTCTCGTGCAATTGGAAATTGGAATATCCAAATTTTATTGACGTAGAAGAAAGTTGACGTTCAATACAATGATGGGTGCAAGCCATGTTTCATTTTTTATTGTTGTTTTTTTTATTATTTCTCTTGTTTCTCAAAATACAAAGTGTTTTCCTAATAGTTTAAGCGAATCCTACATTAACGCGAAAGATATACATGATTCATGAATAAGAAACCATCTTTAACTAACAAAGTATTCATTCTAGCATTTTCTCCCACTTTCGAAAATAATAATTTTTATCGTCACTTTAACTAGAACAAATTAATGATTAACTATAACCCTATCTCCCACTATCTATTGCGAAATTAATATAAATCGTCATTAATTCTCCTATTAATTTTTAAGAGATCATATCTTAGAGGTTTAATCGTGGATCATATACCGTTTACTAACACACCCCTTCAAACTCAAGCCACTAAGATGGCTTAGAGTTTGCACAAGCACAGGTCCAGACGCCATGTGCTTAACAGGAACATAAATAGAAACATATGGGGGTCACCGGGATTCGAACAGAAGACCTCGAGGTCACAGAAGGCTCTGATATTATATCAAGTTTCAGTTGTTTCCAATAACTCGAGTTGTTGGAAGAGATTCAATCGTGAATCACCGTTTACTAACAATAATCAAACTCAAAAGTGTTTAAAAATGTTTTTCCATACCTTGTAAATAACCCCAAGAACGCCGAGCGACACCTTGGCAGCATTGATCTCATCATCGCCCTCCATCAACCTCCTAACCTTCACATAACCGTCGGCCGCCGTCCCGGGGCTCACCACCGTCACCTCCGCCACGTAATCATGCACGGCGCCTCCTTTCCCCCACAGAGAACTCCCGTGGGCCCCAGTCCCCAGCATCCCGCCCACCGTCAAACCCCACCAGTACGGCGCGTAGGGCAACGCCATCCCCGCCTCCGCCGCCGTCTCTATCAGCTGCCGCAGAGTCACCCCGCTCTCCACGCTCACCGTCATGGCCTCCTTGTCGACGGCGAGAACCCGGTTCAGAAACTTGGTACTTATGAGCAGCCCGTCGTCGCCGTCGGGGCAGACCAGCTTGGGGATGCTGTGGGAGAAGCGGGTGGCGACTTTCATCTTCCGCCGCGCCCTCGTCCCCTCGGCCACCGCGGAGATGAGCTCCTCCTCCGTGGCGGGGTATGTTGCGCTGGATGCGCGACACGTGGACCTGTCGGGGAAGGCGCCGTAGGAGTTGGTGATGGTGCAGTTGGTGTTGTTGGCGGCGGAGGAAGAAGAGCAGTGGATTGGGTCCTCGGGAGGAGTGCAGGTCGACGGAGAGATTATCATGAGGAACATCATCATCGTGATCATGGGAATAGGTGAGGTGGTGGCGGTGGTGATCATTATTGCCATATTGGCGATGGTGGATATATCGGAGGAGAAACGTAATATATGGTATATGTGTGGTGGTGGTGGTGGAAAGATATATAGGCAGGCGGCAGGTGTATATATATATCAAGTGCTTTTTCGTTACTTTATCTATTTGTTTATGTGATGATGATGATGATGATGATTGTGTCTTGTTGTCCACTACGGAATGTGGGACGTTTTGTGGCTTCTAAGTCCAGCATATATAAGACACGTACATGTATATATATATATATGGTTATGTCTTCGGTGCACTCACTTTTTTGGGTGCATTAAATGCACCCGTCTCATAATTGTCATTCTGAGCAGACGATTCATGTGAAAACGATGACAATCATTCCTTGTGGTATGATGAACAAGAACCACGTGAATTTGTACAAAAATCATTCAAGATTCTCTTTAATTTGAATGATTCAGGGTTTCGGAAATTAGAGTTAGGGTTAGGGTTTACAATTTGGGGTTTTGGGTTTAGATTCAAAATTGAATGTTAATAGGTTAGGGTAATGAGTTGATTAGTTGTGATTTTGTGTTATATCATCATATGAGACTAATGCTACCCATTAAATTTCAAAATTTAATGTATTATGACCACTTTTAGAGGTGGGTGCACTGAATGCACCCAAAAAAAGTGAGTGCACCGAAGTAGACACCATATATATATATATATATATATATACAAGGATTGGTATATATACTCCTGAAATATTATACCGTATTAAGCGATCTGGACGCATTGAATGTATTCCATTGAATTTCATCAGCACGTCAGAATTGTCGATTATTTTTTTTTTATTAAATTGGCTTTCAGATTTAAGTTTAAAGAATATTGATGCCTAATATTTATTCATTACAAAATTGAGTACAATATCATACCATAAATTCAGTTTAATTCATAATATAGATAAAGATATCTTAATAGAGATAGCTAGGAGAGCAAATGGGGGAGCAACAAAGAGTAAGTATCCACTAGTAGGAGAGGAACATGCAGTGGAGCACAAGCTCATCCATTAATGGAATGAGCATAGCAGAACACATTATGCCACTTTGCAGTCATTCCCGCGTTTACAAGAAAGATGCATGAGTGGTGAGAACTGAGACGATCTCTTGTGAATAGACGGTAGGCACCATTATGTTTCTTTGGATTAATGAGTCATAAGAGAATTTAATTTGGAGAATCAGAGAATGTACGCAGGTTTGACAGATGTTAATCATTTGTGATTAAGTGGTTCAATCGGTGTTTATTCTTAAGTAATGGATTTTGACCCCCAAATTCAACGGAGAATGGACCAAATCCAATGTTTGGATGCATAAAGAAGTGGTGACCAAATATATGGGGTTAATGGACTTGGAATATTTTTTGGTATCGATTATAGTCTCCACGAATTTGAAAATCCTACACAAGTTGGGGAGATTTGAGAGAATGGATCAAATTCTTTGTGCTAAATAAACTAATCTTTCATAAAATCTAACATCCAAACAACAATTTTCAAAAAATTTAAATGAACCAAATCCTTGATCTAAATGAACCCTTTATTTCCCAAATCAATTTTTAAATCCTTAACACAAACTTTCAAGTTTGTCTACGAAATGTACACAAATAAATCCATCAAAATCTAACTGTGCATGGCATAAACACATAAAATAAGCAACATAAGATGTCATGAAAATCACACAATCTAGTTAATAGCAAAGATTCAAAAATCACATATCCATCAAACTCTAATTTGTGCATCGCCGTACTGTAGAGTTTGTCAGGGAAAAATGGGTAAAGTAGGGCTGGTTTTCATGGATGAATTGCAAAACGATAAAAATTGGCTAATTGTTTTCATGTAAGAAAAAGGGTCTATATTATCCCGTATAATTTTAACTGCGTAAAAACAAGTCAATTCGTAATTTTAATATCAAATTGTTTCATCCAAATTTTATGCTCCCAAAAAGGTCAATCTAGCACAATTTTCTCAAACGAGACAATTGGGTCTAATTGATCTATTAGAATTCATCATCAAAACGTCCCTTAATAAGTTGTTTAGCTGTTGCTGTAGGTCCCTAGTCCATCCTGCGCGTGTGGGGGTGGCAAGTGGATTGAATTCATGAATTGGTGGATTGGATCCAATGAATTGGACCAAATTGATTGGTGAATTGATTCATGTATCCAAATGACATCTAAACCTTAAATCATTACGTAAATTTTGAAAAGATTAGGTAATAAAATGCCATGAATTTACATACAAATTGCCACCACTAATCCGCGAGAGGGCCCAAGCTGCAAACTCTCAAACTCCCTCTCGCGGTGTTGCTGCCCAGGCTGGTGGTCTCATCTTTTGGTGAATCCATTCTCGTCTCTCACCCGCTGACCTGGAGGCGGCAAATGGCTTGATGATGTTCACTTGCCAAGGATTTCGATTTGATCGGACAAGCTGACTTCGATCTTGTTGTACCATGATTGGTTGGGTGCAAGGGGGATTCCGATGTGCTGTTTTCGCTTCAAGGGTTTGTGTGAGAACCACTCTTCTAGGGATTCTCGATACTGATCTTCGGCACTCGTGATAATTAGGGATTTAGGGTTTGAGAGAAAGAATTAGGGATTTAGATGGGAAAGAATAGAATTGGGAATCGACCAAGGCCTTGGATTAGGAGAGGATAGAAATTAGGAGTTGAGAGGAGAGATTAGGGTTTAGGATACTTTGCTTAATATTCTTCTTGATTAATTATGACGTAAACCCAAAGTACATATATATAGGAAATACTGGAAAACCCTAACGAATAACCTAGTTGGACTAAATCTCTACTGACCATAATCATAATTATCCTACCTAATATAATAATAGAAACCATATATAAATATGTTTCTGACAATCCATCCCCCTTGAGAACAACCTTGACCTCAAGGTTGTAGTTGACTTTCACCTCCTCGACCTTCCGCTTTCTTCGTTTCCAATTGCGTTCGATCCCTTGAATGCATTCTTCTCGCACCAGTCCAACTTTTCTCGACTTTCCTCCACCCACGTGGCATGTGTCACGTTCTTCATAGCCGAACAATTCGCCCTCTTCTATTTCGAAATTCACAAAATAAGAATTGGAGAATGGTTCTTCATTATGCTCTACCTCGAGGTCTTTAGAGAAATGCTCCGTAAATTCCCTCATGTGCTCGGTGGTAAAGTAGAGCCATAACTTCTTCCCACCTCCCATTTCATCTCTCTTGGGTCGGCCCATATCGATTTGAAAGAAAGATGCATGGCCCAACCCAATGTCAAGCTTCCTTGTGCTATTCTTCTTCTTCTCAACTTCTGGCGGGCCTGAGTCACTAACAAGCCCATCCACCCACATAACCATTTTCCCCAATCCTGCTATCTCCAACACAAAGCCCAAGTTGGACTTAATCCCTATCAGTTGAAGCGGCCCACTACGCTCAAGTCTCGGCCCAATTCTAAACTCATTTGCAGCTTGTTCCAACTCAAGTTCCGGCCCATTCGGCCCAATACACTGGCCCAACTTGAGTCTGGCGATCCGAGCGGTGCGGCCCAAGACCTTGAGCGCGGCCCGCCCGACTCGTTGCTGCTGCTGCTCCTCAACCCGAACCGAGGTCCTAGGGTTCCAGAGACAGAAGACGCCGCCGCCGTGCTTCTTCTCCAGCGGCGCTCTCTCCGGCGCCTCCTCTCTCGGCGGCGAACCACCCAGCCGTCGATTCGAAGACCCGCGCGCTCCCGACAACCGCCTCCCCGCCTTCTTCTCCGGCCCTTCCGTTTCAAGTGGCGACACGCAAACAACCCCCGAGGTTTGCTGCTCCTCTCGCGCGCTTCTCCCCTCCGGCCAATGCTCACAATTCCTCGCTCCCTTCTTCTTCGGCGACTCGCCATTCTGCCGACCCGACTCCAACATCGCCTGCAAACCCGCAACCGTCCGGACCTTGGTCTTCTTCTCCTTCCTTGGCGAATAGAGGAATTCCCCGCCGTGCTTCCTCTGCTCCCGCGACGCGATTCTCCTCTTCGACGACGCCTGCTTCGATCGCTTCCGTCGACGACCAGCCGCCTCATCGGCCTTCAGTCGTTTGCCGTCGCGTTTCTTCTTCTTCTTCCTCTTCCCTGTTGGCGGTGGCTCTTCCTTTATCTCGATCTTAAGCTCGCTCTCCACCAATTCCAGAACCGCGTCTGACCCTTCGTTTTCCACAGCAACGGACAACGCAGGCGGAGAATTGGTCTCCCTTGTCGCGGCTGGAACGACTCTCGAGTCATCTTCCTCGTTCGTCACCACTGAATCCGACTGTGCTGTAGACTTAGCAGCAGGGGTCAAAGGTGGAAGTGTTGCTTCTGCCTTTGGTCCGATGATGCTCGGCGTCTCCTTTGTGGTCGGCGGCTCTGCCACCAGAGGTTCATCGATCTCCTTCCTCTTCTCGAGCTCAATTGGGAACATGGGTTGTTCCAACCAAGCTTCGAAGTCCATATATGAGAGCTGGGATTCGATAACGGTGCAAGCTGTTGGAGGTGGTGGCGCTTCTTTCGTTGTCGGCTCCGCCACCGGGGACTCATCAATCGTCGGCTTCATCTCCACCGGTGGGGGAATGACCACCAATGATGGTGATGTCCAAGGGAAGGCTGCTGCTGCAACCGTTTTCTCGGCCACTGTTGTTGGTTCCTTCGATGCGGCGGCTGCCACTTTGGGAGGAGCAGCCCGCCCGGCGTTCCCGGACAGCCGCGAAGACGAGGTGACCTCGTTCCTCCTCATATCTTCCAACTTCAACTTTAAAATCCTTGTGAATTCGTTGATTAACAGCTCTTCGAATCTCGACATGGCTTTGGTACGAGTGCCTGTAACCGGGCTCTGATACCACTGTGAGAACCACTCTTCTAGGGATTCTCGATACTGATCTTCGGCACTCGTGATAATTAGGGATTTAGGGTTTGAGAGAAAGAATTAGGGATTTAGATGGGAAAGAATAGAATTGGGAATCGGCCAAGGCTTTGGATTAGGAGAGGATAGAAATTAGGAGTTGAGAGGAGAGATTAGGGTTTAGGAGACTTTGCTTAATATTCTTCTTGATTAATTATGACGTAAACCCAAAGTACATATATATAGGAAATATTGGAAAACCCTAACGAATAACATAGTTGGACTAAATCTCTACTGACCATAATAATAATTATCCTGCCTAATATAATAATAGAAACCATATATAAATATGTTTTTGACAGTTTGCTCGTTTGGGGTGGCTGCTTTCAAGCTGTGTTTCGCTCTTGTTTGCTGCTTTTGCCCAATATAGTTTGTTTGTAACTGTGCTCTTTGGGGTTTCCTCTTGTTTGGAACCAGAATGTTGGTTTCTTCCTCCTCTTTGTAACTGGCTAATTAAAGTGCAATAAAGATTCCCACTTGTCAAAAAAAAATCCGCGATAGGGCAGTGCCAGTAATCGCACATCGTGGTCGGTCATCAGCGAGGCTCTCAATCAGAACTGATCAGTAGGGTCGTTGGGCTTTCTCGGCCCACGATGCGACTGTCGGCTGTAGAAGAAGTAAACGACGGCCGGGCCAGGTAGCAACGGAGGGCGCGATCAGATAGATGGAACTAGAGGTGGCAATTAGGTTCCAAATCCATGAATCCAATCCAATCCATCCACCAAATTATCCACTTAATCCAATCCATTTAAATCCAATCCATTTGATCCAAATCCAATTGGATTAGTGGATTATGGATCAATCCATGGATCCAAATGGCAAATTACGATTTGGTACCTATATTTTTTTATATTTTACATTTTGGTACCTAAAATTTATATTCTTATACGAAAAAATCATTGGAAAATTACATTTTGGTACCTAAATTTTTTTGTTATGACATTTTAGTACCTAAACTTTTCAAAATTTACATTTTGGTCCAAGCCTTGGATGTCATTTGGATTCATGGATCAATCCACCAATCCATTTGATCCAATCCATGAATCCACCAATCCATTGGATCCAATCCATTTGATCCATGGATCCACCAATCCAATCCACGAATTCACGAATCCGATCCAATTGCCACCTCTAGATGGAACGACAGACAGTAGTCTCTAGTCTCTATTAATGCCTACAGTAGTCTTTGTTTCGCCATTTTAGATGGGTGTGGACCGGATCCCTCGAGTAGCAATATTTCTTTCTTTCGTTGACTTCATCAATCTGTATGTGTAACGGTAAATCAAAGTCGTGTCTGTAAAAATTCTCATCTATAATTATAGGACTAGGAGCCATAGAGAGAGAGAGAGATAGGTGGTAATTAATAAGAGTAGGTTCATTCGTGATCAACTTGAGGAACAACCTACCCCGCTAGTACTGGTAGGCGGCGATGCATGGCCACGCCGGCCGGTGGACATTTAAATCCGCCATTACTGCATGCACAGGGGTGGACTGGACAAAACGTCATCAAAACCAACTATACGGATATCCAAACACATACAGTACAACACTGCGAGATGATCATGAAATTCACTTTACACATGTATCATGATGCAACATTTATGCAGAATTTGCCTTAAAAAAATCCAACTTATTAATTCCCACCCCGCAAATGAAACCTAACATACCAAACATCAAATTTATTTTTAACTTTTAGAAAAGGCCCACCATTTAAATGCCAGTCAGTGATGGCTCCAACTACTCAATGGAGGAGGTGATGTCTGCAGGCTGAAGGGACTGGATTTTTTTTTTCTGCATCATTCCGAAAACATGTGCGACTCAGTGCGACACATCAACTCTGAGCCCATTCCATTAACGCCGCTCTTCCATGAATCCATTCCCACCCTTTTTCTTCTTTTCTTACCCCGTTAAACATTTTATGTTTGGTCACTCTCCGTTAATCTCCATCAACTTCCGTTAAAAATGCGGCTTCATTTAACGTTTTGTCACCATCCTAGTCACATGTGTGCTATACTATTGTATGCTGGACTTACAAGCCCACAAACGTCCATATTCCGTCAAGAAAAAAACAAGACATATATATATATATATATAAGTGAAAAACACTCCATATTCCGTCAATAAAATAAGTGAAAAACACTCCACATATGCATACAGCTAGCATATCTACCACACCAAATAATAATACCATAAAAACAACTCCAATCCAAGTTGCTCCTCCGTCTCCCAGCTGCCACAGCAATCGTAATTATGGCAATTTCCATGATCACGATCATTACACCATTGATGATGATTATCTTCCTCATAATAATCTCTCCGTCGACCTGCACTCCTCCGGAGGATCCGATCCGCTGCTCTAATTCTTCCGCCAACTGCACCATCACCAACTCCTACGGCGCCTTCGCCGACAGGTCCACGTGTCGCGCATCCAGCGCAACATACCCCACGACGGAGGAGGAGCTCATCTCCGCGGTGGCCGAGGGGACGAGGGCGCGGCGGAAGATGAAAGTCGCCACCCGCTTCTCCCACAGCATCCCCAAGCTGGTCTGCCCCGACGGCGACGACGGGCTGCTCATAAGCACCAAGTTTCTGAACCGGGTCCTCGCCGTCGACAGGGAGGCGATGACGGTGAGCGTTGAGAGCGGGGTGACGCTGCGGCAGCTGATAGAGACGGCGGCGGAGGCGGGGATGGCGCTTCCCTACGCGCCGTACTGGTGGGGCTTGACGGTGGGCGGGATGCTGGGGACTGGGGCCCACGGGAGTTCTCTGTGGGGGAAAGGAAGCGCCGTGCATGATTACGTGGCGGAGGTGACGGTGGTGAGCCCTGGGACGGCGGCCGACGGTTATGTGAAGGTTAGGAGGTTGACGGAGGGCGATGGTGAGATCAATGCGGCCAAGGTGTCGCTCGGCGTTCTCGGGGCTATTTACAAGGTATGGGTCGATTTTATTTCTGTATGGCGTGGCAGAATTTAACATAATCAATTCTCTTGTCCCATTTCTTCACTCTCATAAATTTTGGAATTCCAAATATAATATTTTTTTTTTAGTTCGATCTTATTATGATTGGATGTAAGTTCCCATCTTCACCTTATCACTGTCGCAAATTTTTAGGATAAAGAATTTCAGAAGTTGAATTCAATGTCTCTCATTTTTCCTACAAACAAGTCCCAAAATTCAATATATGCGTTGCACTCAGTGATGAAGTGAGAAAATCATGTTAAGGGTGTACTTTTATATCATGTAAATATTTAAAATATACAATAATTTTTTTGAGCAATTCGTTCCTGAAAAAAAGAAATAGTTGATTAATAAGTGTTACATTTTGTATAAGTGATCGTGATGTGTTCTTATATCCCAAATAATTGTAAAACATATTCATTGATTGTAATAATTTCAAGTATCTTTCAATAAGTTTATTCTAGGGTAATGTCTATTTTTTATCCAAACATTTTTCGGATTCTTTTATATTATCCAAACCTATTAAAATTCTATTAATTAGCCAAATCTTTCATCATGCATCAAAATATTAGCCATTTTTACGTTATCGTTAATAATTTTGTAACTCTTTTCTTAGTTAAAATATTAAAATTTTGAAATGTTGACCTTCATGTGTCTCTTCCAAGTCAGTATCATGTTGCCAAGTCAATATTACTAACAAAATTGCTAACAAAAAGTTAAAATTTGGCTAATTCTTAGACTTTCGATAAGTTTGGTTAATATAAAAGAATCTGAAAAAGATTTTGATAAAAAATAGACATTACCCTTTATTCTATAGTCAATAAAACTTCTCATTTCTGTAAATTGTATGTATGTTATGATCTGGGTTGTGAAATACACAGGTGACATTCAAATTGCAACCCTTGTTCAAACGATCCCTAACTTACGTGGAGAAAGATGACAATGACTTCGGAGATGAGGCTGTTACGTTTGGAAGCAAACATGAGTTCGCTGACTTGACATGGTTTCCCAGTCAAGGCAAAGCCGTCTACAGAATCGACGACCGCGTTCCTTCCAACACTTTAGGAAACGGCGTCTACGATTCCGTTCCCTTTCGTTCTACACTCTCTTTCGTCTTGGCCGTCGCTAGATCCGCCGGTTAGTCTCTCCACCCATATATACTTTCACCACCTCACACTTTCAACAACCAAACTTACCAAAATGCATTCCACAGAGGAAACTCAAGAATCCACCAATGACGCCACCGGGAAATGCCTGAGCGGCATGCTCCGTACATCGGTCCTTCACTCAGAGGCCTTCGGTCTAACCAACAACGGTCTAACCTTTACCGGGTACCCTGTAATCGGCTACCACAACCGCCTCCAAGCCTCGGGAACCTGCCTCGACAGCCCAAATGACGGTCTAACCACTGCCTGCCCGTGGGACTCGAGGATCAAAGGCGAGTTCTTCCACCAGACCACCTTCAGCATTAGTCTATCCGTCGTCAAAGACTTCATCCATGACGTCCAATCACTCGTCGCCATGGACCCAAAGTCGCTATGCATTTTGGACCAGTACAACGGCATCCTGATGCGCTACGTGGCGCCTTCCATGGCCTACCTTGGGAAACAAGAAAACGGGCTAGACTTCGACCTAACGTACTACAGAAGCAAGGACAGTACAATGCCAAGAATGTTTGAGGACGTTCTTGAGGAGATCGAGCAGATGGCGGTGTTCAAGTATGGTGCATTGCCGCATTGGGGGAAGAATCGTAACGTGGCGTTTGATGGGGCGATAAGGAAGTATCTACGTGGTAAGGAGTTTTTGAGGGTGAAGGAGAAGTATGATCCGTTGGGTTTGTTTTCGAGCGAGTGGACGGACCAGGTTCTGGGGTTGAAAGGTGGGTTGATGATTATGAGGGATGGGTGTGGGTTGGAAGGTTTATGTGTTTGTTCGGAAGATAGGCATTGTGCGCCCAGTAAAGGGTATTTCTGTAGGTCTGGGAAGGTTTATACAGATGCTAGGGTTTGCAGTAATAGGTCAGTTAGTTGGGATTGATATTAAGGTGAAACAAATATGTAATAGATACAAAGGAATGTATTAAATTGATTAATAAAATGGCTTGAGGCAAGTAATTGTAGAGTGGATTTCAAGTAGTCTTTTCTCATAACTTTATTCCAAAGATTTTGTTGAAGTTAAATTTCAAGTTGCTTTCTATTTAGTTATTATTTTATAATTAACCTATTCAAAATCATTTTTGTTCTTTTCAATTTTTTAATTTTAATTGTTAAATCTAGAGTGCTGAGTGTTGAGAGGAGATAAATTCCCAACTCCTACCTCGCAGATCTCTCTAACCTCCGTTGCATCCTCCAATTGTCAGCGTTGGGCTGGTGATATCCACATTCCCTTTCAAACTTTTACGTTGAAACCTTCTGCCACTATTCCACATTCACATTCTAGATTTGTCACCTTTAGTTAGTGTTGACTTTACCTCTTGCAACTGCAAGATGCGAAATAACATTTTCATATATGAACTTAATCAAGAACAATTTCATAATTTATAAATTTTTCGAGATCCACCACTGATTTCAAATGGCAGATATCTTCCAACAAAATGGTACTATTCATCAAACCACTTGTGTATATACTTCACGGAAGAATGATATTGTTGGGAAAAAGCCACATCTTTCTTGTTGTCACAAGAACTTTACTATTTCAAGCTAATCTTCCTAGTCATTTTTGGGATTTTGTTGTTATGCATGCAACACATATAATCAACAGATCTCTCATCCCTTTATTCGCCAACAAAAATGCTTTTCAAAGGATTTATCGGTCAGCCACCTGTTATCAGTCAGCCACAATTCGAGCAACCAACGGGATAAAATCTTATGGCAATAATGGAAGAAACAAAGATTTTTTAGTCCTTAATCAGACTGGCGGTATAGACTCGTGCATCAATCGAGAAAATTATGGGTTTGTATCACCAATTACTAGCATAAAAGAGACCGAGTATTTTGATAGAAGGGGTATAAATTTTAATTAGTAGGTTATCACCGCCAATTCGATGTTAAAATGACATATCGATTAGCGGGTCTAGCAGTAAATTTACGAGTTTAGTCCGCCAATTTAATAAATTTTGTATGTCATTTTCGTGCATGACGAGAATAAAAAAAGATTGGAAGAGAGAAAAAAGGGGGTTCATATACACAAGAAAATACACTTATGAAAATGTTCTTGAGTGGTTGATAGCTTAGGACACAATTATACACCATTTAAGATCCTACTGCAGCTAGAAGATCATCCATTACAAGTAACTCTCTCCCGTTTTATCTTTCTCCATTGGAATCATGTCTCTTCTTGTGTTTATAATATGAACTAAATCCTAGTTATTCTAATTGGTGGAACATCAGTTTTTCTCGCGATTTAAGACTACGAAGTAATGAATTTGTTTTAGTTTTTAGAATGATTCTCCTTTCATGTGTTTGTTTCTCATTTTCTCTAAATCTGAGTTGCAAACCTTATGTTTAAATGTTGTTGAGATTGATATTGACTATAAATGGTTTCTCACGCTTTACGATCACCGAACACAAGAACTCCTAATTACTCAAGAGAGAATTATATAATAATCAAGTGTGTTTAACTATAACCTTCATTAGAAATATGACATGTTAGAATAAGTTATAATAACGCCTTCACCAGTTGAGATCATGTTTCGTATTTCCCTAGTTTCACCTTTTATTGTGTTGAATTGCTTTGAAAAAACAAAGTGGCACCTCAACTACAACTTTTATGCGAACGACTACAGATCTGAACTAGTTGATTGAAGCCCCCAGAGAATACGATCTGAGAAGGTTTCAATATCTTTTGGGTTAATCTGTGACCATGCACTACGAATATCAAGTAACAAAGGATACTAAATTGTCAATGAGTAAAATAGTATTTTCTTGATATGATCTCAAAATACGATCAAAGATCTTTAAGGTATGAAAGTTTTCGTGAAAAAGGTAACAAAACAATGACTTATTAAAAAATATGAAAATTTCCAATTAAAATTCGATGGTTTGAAGAGAAGAATAGAGAAAAGAATAGAGAAAAGATTAGCAAAGAGAAGTGAATTAGCTCTACTTCCCCCCTTCCCCTTCTCCTCCTTATTCTATCAATTTATTTAGTGATAGGGTGTGTCAGACACAAACATTGGGGAACTATTTGGGAAAATGTTGAGTTTTTCAAAATTAGAATGTGAACCAAACACGTCTTAACACACATTCTTTGAATTTTGCGTGTATATCTTTAATTAGAATACAAGCTAACATCATATTGAAACTATTGAATTGTGTAATTCCTTCATATACGTTTGTGTAATTATATGTTATTAGAAAATTCATGGCCGCTAACCCGATAACTATCCTAATTTGATCAATCACCTATTGGGAGAGATTTATCACATAAGAAGTTTCATGTTTATCGATGGATGATAATATACTTACTAAACTGTTTATTTGATAATATATATGATAATTATTCATTCTTCAAATATCACTAACTTACATTTTTGTAAAACATGCATACTACTAAATAAATAATTATTTTTAAATATAATTGTAATCCACCGTCTACTTTTTTCATTATTATCTTCGATCTCAAAATATTCATCCAAGAATATCATAACACATGTTAATATGTATTAAATCCTCGAGGATAGAATGAAACATACAGATTGTAGTGACTTTAGTATTGGTGAGTTTATATACTTTATAGTCTTAGTGAGTGTTAGTAGTTAGTACAAAAATTAATATGTTAATTGAATATATGGTTAGGAGACTCTTACCAACACTGGATTGAGCTTTGATGGAATAAAAATTTGTACTAAAAAAATAAGTAATCAAACTAACTAGAAAATATAATATTTTATGTCCTTTTTGTTAGCTAACTAATTAATCAATAAATTTTATAGAAAATATAATATGTGAATAAAATTTATTGATTAATTAGTTAGCTAACAAAAAGGACATAACATATTATATTTTCTGAAAACAATCATTCATACATGGATCATGCATGACATATAGTTATGAATGAAAATCCAAAAACTATTGCATAACCAAGCTCGGAAGATAGTCAAATGGAGTAACAATGTTGGCCCTATTTTCCATTAGGCTCATTATTGGACTCACAACAAACTTATTTTTGTATGAACTCCGAATAACTTTTGATAGATAATATTGTCCTTATACAATGCCGCATAAGGATAATCAATAAGATCATCACGTATTTCAATATATAATCCACTCAACTTAACTGCAACAAACTTATTTTTGTATGAACTCCGAATAACTTTTGATAGATAATATTGTCCTTATACAATGCCGTATAAGGATAATCAATAAGATCATCACGTATTTCAATATATAATTCACTCAACTTAACTGAAACTCCAAGGGAACACCTCTTCACAATCTCCACATTTTCCCGACTTGAACCATTCACTTGGGTTGTAAAAAATCTCTCAAACATGAATTGTGCGCGATAAATGATTTTTTCACTAATATAATTCCGATATTTCTCAACTTGAATAATGAAAGGGAATATATAGTCAACTTACTTAAAGCAGTCTCTTAGAAAGAAATAACTACGACAACACATAACTTCAACAAAAATTGGCGTGCAGCTAGAAAACTCTCATATAACGAATGAGCGACATATAATGCATTAGTTCAATAATCACGCATTTCTTTGTCCATCAAACTACTTATTAAATGCTCAATGTTGGCGCGACCTTTGGAAGTACTTGAATCATGTCTAGGCAGAATTGGTGTGGATGTAAGGATGGTGAAGAAAGTAATTACGTAGTAGGTTTCTCAAAATAAATATAAACCATTACATTTAGATATGGATCATCCAAATCGATAGTGTACTGTGCATTTCTTGATCTACTCAATTTCTCTGAGTGCTACACACAGAAAATACACATGATATGAAGATCTCATTAATTGAGGATATAATAAAGCAACAAGTTTAAGAGAAATAGAAAGAAAACAACAAAAAACAAAGTTAAGAACATTTGCTGATAATTTTATATTGTTATAGATATTTATATTTTAGGATATTCTCACAATATTAGGCTTTTCTGATATTTCTTTTTTGTGGAATACCCCAGTTATTATTTAGTTTCTCATTCATGTTTCTCTCTTATTTTTCTTTATTTTTATTTTTTGATAGATCAATTATATCACTTGTTTTTTTACTATTAAATAAATCATGAAAATTTTATTCTTATTTTAATGAAAAAATGAATATTTCATGTTCTCATCACTAAATAATTTTCTACTCGTCATACAAAATTTAATCTATACACTTCTCTAACAGTAAAAATAAAATCTATGCATTTTTCTATTACCAAAGCATTTTCCTATTGTTTTTTTGGTGTTTTTTTATTTGTCAGGAATAATCCATAAAATTAGGAAAAACATATAAAACTGACTAACGGTACAAAATACAATACTTGCAAAACAAACCAATAATACAAATTATATAAATTACATAATTTTTTTTTTAAATAAGTCTGACATTATATACAAAGAATATTGACCATAAACTAACAATATAATCTCATATGACCTACATTATATACAAGAAGCTCAACAAACAACTTGTGTTGTTCTTCAAGGTTTATAATTGCTATTTTAGATTTCATTTGACAAGGATTTGAACATGACTATATTGTTTTGTATGGAAGGTATACATATTTCGGACAATTGATTTTTATTTTGCATTAGGGTTGTTGCCATATGTTGACTATTTAGGTGTGTCACTGACTATTCATTTTCCATTAAAAAAACAATCTAAGAAATATCAAGTACACAAAGAATAACATAAAATATACTAATTAATATGGAAAAATATACTAATAATATAATAAAATTCTAAAAAATATACTAACATTATATACAAAGAATACTAAGGTTAACAACCAGCAAGACTTGCATTATAAACACTTATTTCTCTCTCTATTGTTTTGCTAAATTGATTTGTCTGTTGTAATCGTCAAACTCGTTGGTGACGAAATCCAAGACTGTTTTTAAAGCGTGCAAAAGAAATATGTATGAGTAGTGCACAAAAGGCAGATCAGTTGCAATTGTAGTTGGGTTGCGGAAAAGCTATTTTGCTGCCCCGATTGGATGACAAAAAATCCCGAGGCGAGGTTGATAGAAATTCAATTTCTTTTAAATTGAAAATCTTAATATAATGTGAAAAAACAAAAGTTAACCCCCATTAAGTTCATTAAGTTGCCCACCATTAGATTAAAATTATCACATGTGGGTGAGATTGACTTAGTCATAAACTAAGAGACTTCACTTAGCGTTGTCCATTATAAAGCTCGTCTTCTCATATTTTTTGCCGCCACAACATACTCCAAAAACTGTAATCTCACCCACAATGCTGTAAAAATACCCCCAAAAGACCAAAACCCAAGGACGCCCATTATAAAGCTCATCTTCACCTATCCTGTCGCCGTAACAATACTCCCAAAACCCTAGTATCACCCGTAACAATATCGCAAAACCCTAGCGCCCTTCATTTTCACAAATATAAGTTTTTATATTTTTTATTTTGGAGTGTATAGTATTGTCATTGTACAATGTACGTTGTTGCACATTTTATCGAGCCAGTATGTTTGGCCCAATCATTTTCAAGGATGATTCACATTTTGTGTGTACTTCATGTCTTTTTTATTTATTGAAATATTATATTATAACAAAAAAAATTCCATTCTAGTAATCAATTAATAAATTTGTTAACATATTTCATACTCTTCATAATATTAAATAAATCAATGTTCAAAATTCATAATATCATGTAAGATGATCTTTCATCTTTAAGTTATCATAATTATTTTGAAGACTTAAACTTTCATTTTCTCTCCATTGCACACCCACATTTCAATAGCATGTAAAATAACTTTCATTTTTGTAGTCTTTGTAAAATCAACACGTATTTGAGGTAAGTTATCACAATTCGATTTCGATCTAAGCAATTTTATGTCGTGTGAAGTCAAAATTGTTCGATCATTAATAACATAAGTCAAGATGAGTGGTGAATCTTTTTGAGTAAAAATTGTCCCCTTAGGTGTATTTGGCATTGTTACAACTTGTGTTTAGGATGAAGAAATCTTATATTAAATATAATTAAAACTTGATGTTTCGACCTAGGTCATACGAGGCTGTTGATCATAACAATTAGGGACTCTGATCTGGACTCCCTCGTTCGATCTCTTAGGGAGCGTGAGAATATGTGGAAAGGAGCGGTGGCCCCCGTGATCTACATCTGACGCCCAAGTCAATACGATATAGGAATTGTAGTACGTGAGTAAGGATAGTTTATAGAGAGACCTTGTGTGGTCAAATGGAGGAAGGGAGGTGGATCCTTCGCTTGGAGGGCTTCAACCTCCTTAAATATGAGTTTGGGCTTCCTTCGAGTGATCTTTAACCCGAGGTGAGATGCCTTGCATTGAATTCTATGATATTATATGCACACTTTTTATGATTTAATGAGATGTTTGTGTCCATTCATGTTATTATCATCTTTTATTTGTTATATTGATTTTGCCTATAGTATCATCTTAAGTTGTTAGGAAACTCTTCTTAGATGGTATGTTGTTATCTTATGCATGTATGTTTAATTGTCCATGATTATGCATGCTCGTGCTTGAGCAATGTTTGATATGTTATTAGATCATCAAAACCTTGAACCAATGCTATATGTGCTCGAAGAGGCCTTAAATAGCAACATGATACCCTTACTTCTTTACCCTTAATTGATAAATTAGTGGCGTGAAACAAAAACATGCACTAACTAGTTGTAGACTTGTAGTTATTTTTGCATGTAGCGATAACTCGATTAGGAATACACTAGTGTAAAGGATATGGTGTCATAATAGAAGAGATGCATGAATGAATGTTATTGAGCTCATATGCATGGTTATCTTGATGAAGTTACCTAAAACAATAGTTATTCGTTATATATCTATCCTTATTTACTTTCTTTGTTTATCTACTTGTTTAGTTATCCATAAAAATAACTAAAACTTGGGAAATTCAACCTTTCGTGTTTACATTTATTGCATTGTTATTCAAACATGAGTAGGTAGTTACAAAGTAGTTGCTATTAAAATACCATGTGAAATACGATACTAGATATTTTAGGATTTATTACTCTACAATTGCATCAGGTGTTGTTCTCATGGACTTGCCATAAATCAAGGGTGGACCCAACATATCATACCTCCCCTTGAAGCATCTCCAATCCCTGATAATTTTGACATATTTATAAACAAAACAGCTCAAAACTCTATCCCCACTCTTGATTTTTTTTATGAAACCACTCTAGAATTATTGAAGTAAATTTGACCCAATTACTTGATAAGCGGAGGGGTTGTTGGAGGTCTACGGTCAGTTGGATGGATAAGTCCAGTTGGATTCGTTTGTGGGACGCTACTATTCCCCCCAAGCTGAAAGTTTTTGTCTGGCAAATTCTCAATTGAATCTTGCCAACTACTGAGGCCCTTATTGATAAACGAGTCCATGTGCTTCCCAGATGCCCGGTTTGTTGGGAAAGTTATGAAACGATGGAACATTTGTTTCTTTACTGCCCGATGGCACGTGCTCTTTGGGACTATTCAAGCCTGGAGTATTTGGGGGAGGGGTTGCCTCGTCATACGTTTCCATTGTTTCCCAAAAGGTTGATGGCTTTAGTTCACCAACCTAAGTTGTTTATGGCGGTCGTTGCTGTCCTCTGGCAGATCTGGCGATCTCGCAACTGGGTTGTCTTTGAGGGCAAATAGTTTGGGTTCACTGCTTTGATGCGCCAGTTTCATCAGCAATATGAGGAATGGGTACGTCTACTGGTCGATAGAGCTCCTCAGGCTAGTCTCCCTATGATACAACAACTGGGCCCTGTGGAGGGTACCAGGGTTGTTTGTATGTGGGATGGGGCGACTAGGAGTGGGTCACATTCGGCAGGTGGGATGGTTCTTCTGACCCCGACTAGGGCAGTTCTTATGGTTAAGGGGGTTGAATTTCATTTAATTGACGACCCGATGGTGGTGGAATTGATTGTCCTCCGAGAGGCCATATTATGGTGTTTGGAACACGGCTTCACATATATAAGATTTGAAGGTGATGCCAAGGTGATCATCGACAAAATCAATCAGGCTGACACCAGAGATAACCGGATGTATGCTATTCTTGAAGAAATCGGACAATATTTTGCCATCCATACCAGGTTTAGTGTTCGATTTGTAGGTCGGCGTAGTAATAGGGTAGCCCATTCGGTGGCTAGAAAAATGATATTCAAACCGATATGAGTCGTTTCTTTGATTTTCGGACCTGACTGATTTCTAAGATGTAACCATCTTTTCATTGAATCAATATATGATTATCTTTTGTAAAAAAAAATAATTAAAACAAGTAAAATTGAACGGTGGATAGACAAAAGAAAGAATAGGTGAACCACGAATAAGAAATGGCGATCTTCAACGGCCATCGTAAATGAAGTCTGATATTTGGATTGTAAATGGGCTATAAATAGCCATTCTTGGTAATCTGAATGGGTTGGTGTATAAAAAACATCAAATACAAGTTCTTTCATTTGCAAACTAAAACCCCAAAAATTCAACATAATAAATTAAGCACCCACCTCTCTCCCCCTTTCTCTTTCTCTCTCTCTCTGTCTCTCATCTCGTTTGATATAACATGTTCTTGAGTAATTGTGTTCGTAATTGACAATCAGGGTTTGTTTAATTCTTTCGTCAATCGTATAACTAATATAAATTAATTAATATTATTAAAGTACGTACGTATTGATCATATATATGGCGAGCATCACGGTGGCTGAGGTTCACAAGGCGCAACGTGCTGAGGGTCCGGCCACCGTCCTGGCCATCGGCACCGCCAATCCGGCCAACTGCGTCGATCAGAGCACCTACCCTGACTTCTACTTCCGCATCACCAACAGCGAGCACATGACCGAACTCAAACGCAAGTTCCAGCGCATGTGTAAGCCCCCCGCGCCCTAATTATGATTATTCATATATATTATCCAACATTTTATGCTTGTTAATCATGTTTTCATTAATGATCATTATGGTATACATGTGCGCGCATGCTGCGTACTATATGATCATCCATGCCAATTTGTGATACGATGATTGCATGGTTCCGGTTTGCGCGCATGCATGCAGGCCAGAAATCGACGATCAAGAAGCGTTACATGCACCTAACGGAAGAGTTCCTACAACAACACCCAAACATGTGTGCCTTCATGGCGCCTTCTTTCGACGACCGACAGGACGTCCTCGTCGTCGAGGTTCCCAAGCTTGCCAAAGAAGCCGCCGCGGCGGCGATCAACGAGTGGGGCCAGCCAAAATCCAGCATCACCCACCTCATCCTTTGCACCACCAACGGCCTCGACATGCCCGGCGCCGACTACCAGCTCACCAAGCTCCTCGGCCTCCGTCCTTCCGTCAAGCGCTACATGATGTACCAGCAAGGGTGCTTCGCCGGCGGCACCGTCCTCCGCCTCGCCAAGGACTTCGCCGAGAACAACAAGGGCGCCCGCGTCCTCGCCGTCTGCGTCGAGATCACCGCCATGAGCTTCCGCGGGCCCAGCGAGTCCCATATTGACAGCCTCGTGGGCCAGGCCCTTTTCGGGGACGGTGCCAGTGCAGTCATAGTGGGCTCGGACCCACTTCCAGATGTAGAAAAGCCCATATTCGAACTCGTCTACGCGGCCCAGACTCTCGTCCCAGAGGGCGACAGTGCCATCGAGGGGCACCTTCGGGAGATGGGCCTAACGCTCCACCTTCTCAAAGATGTTCCTGGCCTTGTCGCCAAGAACATCGAGACGTGCTTGACCGATGCGTTCGAGCCGTTGGGGATCTCTGATTGGAACTCGATTTTCTGGATCGCGCACCCCGGTGGGCGTGCTATCCTGGATCAGATCGAGGCCAAATTGGAGCTCAAGAAGGAAAAGTTCCGGGCAACGAGGCACGTGCTGGCCGAGTATGGCAACATGTCGAGCGCGTGTGTGTGGTTCATCTTGGATGAGATGAGGAAGAGGTCCGCCGCGGATGGGCTGACGACGACCGGAGAAGGGCTCGATTGGGGCGTGCTGTTTGGGTTTGGGCCTGGGCTTACTGTTGAGACTGTGGTCTTGCACAGTGTGGCCCTTTGAGGTAGTGCTCTAGCTGATTTGGGTAGCTGCTAGCTACCAGTTACCTGTTCTTTATTTTATTCTGCAGTGTGACTGAAGGCAAATTAATGTTCGCTTCAACTCTTGAAGCAAATTGTATTATTTCAGTTATATATTTCGAATTTGAACATGTGTATATAAATAAAATTTTGCACCACTTTGATTGAATTTATTCCGTTTCGCCTCCCGTCAAAATTGTGAGGCAGCCAAACAGCAATTGCCAATTGCAAAGAGCCAAAGACGAAGAGCTTTTTCTGTCTTATTTGTGGGCCGCTCTTTATAACAAATCGTTGTTGCAACCTTTGGGCCAACAACTTCTTTGTTTAGTTTTCTAGTTTTGGGCTTTGGCCCATTCTGGGCTTCTGGCCCTTTTGTGTTAGTAAAAATAGACGATCGACTTCTCAATCTCTCTTCATCTTCTCCGTTCTTTTTTCACTTCCTCTCTCAAGTCTCAAGAATCCAAAGCCCTAATCGAACTAGGGTTCCAGTCAGATATTACCATCCATGGCTTTAGTCAGCTTTTGCTTGACCAAATGTGCGCTTACCTGGTGAATTGCGCGATTGTTCTTGTAGTGCAGTGAACTTGAGCTTGGAGTTGGATGAACATTTGGCACGGTGGTTTGGATCAGTCGAGCTCTTGAAGTTCCACAAAGAACCAGGTATAAGCTGCTTGTTGCTTAGAGGTTGTATTTCATGCATGCTCAATCCCTAATTAGGCACAATCAAGAGGCATGGCCGACTAGTTGGTACCATGAAATCTGTAATGTGCTTTTCAAAACTGGGTTTTGTCTTAGCTTGTGGATGCATTTGATTTCGGCTCTGTCATATTGGAGTCAATTTCTATCTAGTCTCTTTACTCTTAAAATGTTTTCCCTTAGCTTGCTAACGAGATGTGTGTATTAGCAGTCCCTACGTTTGCCTTTGTATTGGATTGCGGCCAGGAGGTAGCAGTTTTGTAGCTGGGTTTTGACTGTGTCGCGCTATTTTCGAGCACAATCCGAGCTACATCAAGAAAAGAAAGGGCAAGAAACAATGTCGATTCCGCCTAGACATGATCTAACAACTTCTCAAGGTAAGGCCAGGAGTGAGCATTACATAAAGTACTTGATCAAGGAAGAAAAGAATTACTATGGAGCTGAAGCATTGGTCATCGCTCATCCATTACAAGAGACTTTCCTGGCAGCACGCAGATTCTTCTTGGAGGTGAGCGTTCTCGTGATTCTTTTTCTCCATTTCATAAGCGACTAGTAATTTATTTTCACCAACTTTTATCCATTTTCAGTTTGTGGGAAGTCCGCATTATCTCAGTGGAACCACCATATATGCTGCACAGTTCATGTTTGAAAAGTTCTATGCCGACAATGTGGCTGCTCCAAGTGAAGGTGAGATTGAGATTTCGAAAAAGTGTTGTCTCGCAGTTATGGTCAAGCTGATGGAGTCGAGACATGACCGCGTTCGTGAACATCCTTATGAGGTCCTGTATTCCAATGATAGCATTCACAAAGAGGTCTCCAGAATAAACGATATGGAGATTCAATTGATGGCAAGAATGGGATATGAGGCCAACCCTCCTACTCCGTTTGATTACCTCCCACGTTTGGTTGTGGAGTACTTTCCGGATGCTTCAGAGTACGAGATGAAGTACACAGAGGTCGTTTCACTATTACTGAAACAAATGGCTAGAGAAGATTTTGATGCACCTATAGCTACGAGTAAGCCATCCGCCCTAGCTCTTGTAGCAACATCCATGATAGCATCATATCCTGATCCTCCCGTGTTCAGCACCGACAACGTATTGAATGTCAACGAGGTAATAATGTAGGCAGTAGGCATATAAACACTTTCAGTTACATACTAACCATGGTGTCAATCAAGACTGTTAACTAACTGTTTTTTTGTCTTGTTACAGGTTGATTTCCAAAGGTATGTAGAAATGATGCAAGGGAATTGAAGATTAAACTCAAGTGAAGGAGAAGCTCCTGCTTGTCTAGAATTTCAGGAATTAGGCCCTTTTCCCGCTCCGTCGTTAAGACTCTATCCCCTACTTCTATAAGATTAGGTTTCACATAGTCAGAGCAGCTTCAGCCTTTGCATGAACTGCTTGCCTGGCTTTCATATCTCTTGCTTTTTCTTCTCTAAATGGATGCTGAAAACAGTTATGAACAAAACTATGTTCCAAACATAATGATGTATGGTAGACAGGATGGGTGAACAGTATTAAAAGCCGATTGTAAAGAGAGCATTATGGATATTCAAAATGAATTACCCTTGGGTTTGCTTGATTTCTATATGTGTGATCGTTGATTACACTCGAACGATTGCACTCGGATTATGAAAGTTGCATGAGAGGAAGTGAAGCAGAGATAACAAGAAGGCTCGTGTGGAATAATAGGAAAAAGCATCACTAAGAACAGAATGAGGGGGGAAATCATACAAACAGCACTACCCAATATCCCTCTCATATTACTTGCTTTCTGAGCAATCGTTAAAAACAGTGCATTGGATTCAATAACACAAAATACACACTAAACTACACGAGCAAAAGAAGAAATGTCAATTTCCAGGCTTAAAAATGATCCGCCCTTCTGTCATCGTCACTCATCCCATCTCCAGCAGGCCTGCAGTCAAGAGGAGATCTATAAACATCAATTCAGCTTTTAAAACCGCTGTTCTCTTAGTAATGCAAAAATGTTTCAGGAAACACGGCACAAAAGGGCAGATAAATGATAATTATCGAAGGTCATCATCATCAGTTCTTAGCAGAATAAGAAAGTTGGAAGACTAACCGCCAGGATGATGTCAGATTCCGAGCTTTCCTGTCCAACTGAAGGTTTTCAAGTGCAGCTGAAGCTCGATTTACTTCCTCAGGGATCTCATCACTATCAGACCTCCAATTGTAGTCGTCTTTTCTGTAACCACCGCTCATGGAGGACCCTCCTCTCCTGTCTAGATAAAATTTGAATTAGAACCAGATAGACAGAAAAATCCAGCAGGAAGGGGGTGATAAAAAAGGAAAATAAGAGCTCGATTAATTGCTCACCAGATGACGATGATGCACCCGGCCTGTTAATAAGCATGCCACAAAAAAATGAACAATTAATGAATAGAACATAGGGGGATTCACAATGCTAAAGCAAAACTAGCTCAGCACCTTCCTAAAGGAGGTAAACCACCAGCAACAGATGATGAAGAGGGCCTCCGCATGTTCCTCGAGTCTAAGTTAGACAAGGACTCATTTTCTGACACTCTCCTTCCAGACCCCCTGCCTTGAGTTAGATTCTGTTTAAACATCAAGGTAAAGAATTATGGAAGCAGTTTGTATATCTCAACGTAAAGCATCAGCAAACTTTCATCTAGAAAACAAAACCTTGGTCAGATTTATCCAATAGGCAACTGATTTAAGATTATCAATGTCAATCTAGATAAGACTATCAGGCTATCTTGCATCCCATCATCATACAGCAGGTACATGATAAATACCACTTCCAAAAAATAATTTCATCAAACCATCAGAAAGAAATCTAATGACAAACCTCATACTTCAAGAATCCTTCGAGTACATCAAGAAGCAAAGGACCACTATCTCCATTCCTGTTGAGATCGTACCCATTATTGCTACTGAATTCTTTTAATTCTGCTTTCCACGAATCCTTTTGCTGCAATTTCAAATATGGAATGCAATTCACAGCTTATGCGTTAAAAAAGAAAACTGAAAGAAAAAGCAAGATCTCAAACATCTTGAAGACAAACTAAAAGTTACTGCATTACCAAGTTGCACTCAGGTAGATATACTTTGAGAGTGTGATTTAGTTGTGCCCAGTCCAAGTACTCACACATTAGTGCAGTTAATAGCCTCCCTGCAAATGACAATGGAAGTAAAATCATAAAAGACTATTAGCATACTATCCAACTCCTCGACACACCAGAAACGAAGGAATGGAACTCAAACTGTTCTGAGTGTAAAGCAAAAGAAAACTTCAGCCTTTTTCAATTTCATCAGGAAGCAATATCAAACTGAAAGTGCACCACTTCCCAACCCCAATTTCGTACAAGGCGATCAATTAAACCTAGATAGTAACCTGATGGGGACGCGTGAAGCTGCTTTGCGCGGTCATTGCAGCTACCCAGTAATGCAGGTGGTAAGCCTTCTTCATTTTCAACTACCCTATCCTCCTCTTCAATCGCTTCAAAGACACTTGCTCTGAGTTCCGCCTATAACGTAATCCACACAATCACATGAGACCAAGGATGCAGAAATGGAGTACAAGAAAACACATTACACAAGTGATAAGCCAACGTGAAAAGTCCTCGCTAAGAGTTCCTTTCCATGACCAATTAACCTCCATCAAGGAAGGAGAAAACATATTCCCTAAACAACCAAGTAACAATTCCAACGCAACCGCCAACAACGATGTGGCATTCGAAAACTAAGCCAAGACTACAAAATGAAGCAATCAACAAAAACCCATGATTTGCCATCGTTTCCAGTCCCTCAGGATCAAACAAAAGATGCAAACTTTTAGTATTCTAAACAAGTCTAGACTCCCTATAGACGCAAGAGCTTCAATCTAAACCAAACAAGATGTCGTTTACACCACCAACTCTCGTGGACCAAGTACGAGTTCAGCAGAATTAACCAAAATTGAAAATTGGGGGAGACTGCTAGAACCCTAATACAGGAGAAGCAAAAAAAAAAAAAAAAAACTGTCGACCATTCACATTTCCTCGTTCTACTCGGTACAGGAAGAGATACTGTAAGGACCATGAAAGAACAACCCAGAAATGCCGCCGAACATCGAGATCGGAGAGGTAAATTAAAATTGCAGAAAGTTTATCAGGAACCGAAGAGATGTGAGAAAGCGAAACTAACCCGGATCTTAGCGAGAACCCCTTTCTTCTCAAGTGTTCGAGTGACGAGGGTCTTGAGGTCCATCATCTCTCTCGTGTAGTCGTCCATTTTCTCTTCTCGCTTCCCTCTCTCGCTCTAGCGCGGTTCCAGTTAAATTAGAACCAGGGGGGATGAAATAGTGGTTCTCTTTCAAAAAAAAATTAACACAGTTCTCTTTCAATTTTTAAATTCGAAAGAACGAACGAAAGGGAACAAAAAGGCCAGAGAGAGATAGAGAGGGAGAAGAAGTGTATGCTCTGTGTTAATAATGAAAATGACATCGAAAGTGAGAATAAAAAAAAGTTACAATAATGTGTGTAGGCTCCCAGTGGAATTTGATGGAGAAGGTTGGGGCGGGGAAAGGTGATTTGGAATGAAGGTTGGGGGAAAGGTGAATTGGATAATTTAGTTGGTTTAACTGTTTTAGTTTTATCGTTAACTAATGATCAATTCTGAGATTTATTTTTCGTCGATATCAAATAAAATTTACATCTAATCATTAAAATACAAGTAAATTTACATCTAATCATTAAAATACAAGTAAATTTACATGTACAAATTTATAAAATAGACTAGTCACAATAATTTTAGCCCCTTTCTAATTATCACGATCCAAAATCAACCCCTCGTTTGTGGCTACTTATGTATTTTCTTCTTCTTGTCCTGACGGGGTCTTCGTCTTCTTCTTCTTGTATGTAGAATTTTTTTAGTAAGAATCCTCCATATTCATACAACCTTACTTCGAAGTTCTTTAACGTAAACATACGAAATGTAGTTCATACCAAAAGATTATAGAACGAAAACTAAAATACTGTTCCACCTTAGCTCATCCAAATTTCTCAAAGCCTCATATTACGATCTCAAGAAGTGTACCGATTTCTTCAATACTTTTGACGGTCACTTGCCAGATAGCAGTACGACTCGTCAACTGGACCGAGTTAAACATTCCAAACTTACAATCAGTGCGACTCGCATATTACCGATGTAAAGGAGAGTTCTAATTAGTACTACTGCTCAATATTCATCACCAGATATGGACAGAAGTGTGCAAGGTTTCGTCAGTCTGTTTCTGCCTTCTAGAGGTGCTTGGCGAGGATTGATTCCACCACACCTTGCGCGATAGGGTGATAACACTCGCGAGCCTCTGCAAACAGCCTTTTCGCCAAGATCTTCTCCTCTTCGTTCCCGCTGCCTTGAACGAGAGCTGTGTAGAGCGGGCGAAGGTACTTCATCCTCCCCACTTCTTTCAAGGTCTTCTCAACTTCAGGGTAGTAATCTCTGCACTTGGACGAAATCGCCATTTGCAGGAACGCTACTTTCACCTCATAGTCCTTTGATTCTGACATCCGGTAGCGAGCATCCAAGGCTAAGACCTGCACTCACACGATCGAAGTTGTAAAACAACAGACGCAAAAAGTCCTATGGGGTTATCTGGATGATGGCTTGTGTGGATTGATTGTAGCATCAGAAAAATCCATTTAGGGAAGGATTGCAGCCCAAATTTACTGTTCGGCAAGAAACAACAGGATGGAATGCTGTGACTGATGGATTCGAGAATGATAACTAAGGTAGGAATGGGTGTGTCTTTGTAAAATCCAGTCCGCACTATCCAATATTACTGCTTTGAACCTAATTTTTTTCACTTCTTTGTAAATGCAAGGGTAATTTAGCTTCTTTGTAACTATTCCAGCCATCCATCACACACAATACAAACATTTTCACAACCCACCCACGTATCATCATTTCAAAATTCATCTATTTCACTATCCGTGTATTCTTGACAATCAACTCATCTCAACCATCCAAAACCCATAAACCGCCTCTATAAGCTAAAATTTTCGCAGAGCAAAGCTTTAATGATCCAAACTCCAACAGGGAAGTTTAAGAAGCAGCAGACTGAAAAGGAAGCGCAACTTGATGAAACTTCTAGACATATTTTCAGAGTTCAAATATGGAGGAAAAGAAAGGCATTGCTAAGCTTTAATCAGGAAACTCCTAGGCAGAGAAGGGAATGGTAGCCAGTGCAAAGGAAAATAGACAAGAAGTGTAGTAATACCTGAGAGGCTTCAACACATTTGGGCAGGTTCTCTAAGTATAGCTCCCATTCTTGCCCTCGCCAATTGGCAACTTCGTCCTCCCTTGGCATCCTTCCGAGCTTAAACTCATTTGCAAGTGAAACTATTGTAGTGTACAAGTCGGAGACTGGTTCATATGCATCAGGAGGGATGCCAGTACCTTCAGTCCACAGTTTTAGATCAACCTCCTTCTCTATTCCAGGGACATTTGCTTTCAGGAACTCAAGAAATGTACCAGTATCAATAGACTTGAACTTGAAGTTTTCGATATACTTCTTGATAAACTCATCAAATGCAGGCCTTCCAATCTGATGAAATAGGAAAACCATAAAACCCATTATGAAAATATCTCTCACATGCCAACACCAGGAACAAACAATGACTTACTAAACTTAACCTTACCTGGCGTTCAATTCGAGCAAGAAACTGAAAACCCTTCTCATAAGGAACTTGAGAATACACATTGTCTGGATCAATTCCTTCCTGGTTAGTTTTGAGCTTTGTGAACTCCGTGTTGTCCTTAAACCTCTCCATCGCCTCATTCAAACTCCTCCAACCAATTCCCATGCTCAGAATAGCTCTTTCTTCTCCTTGAACAACCTCAACAATTCTCCTCTCAGCATATCTTGTAAAACCCTGCCACCGAATGAGGTAGAATTTCATTATAGCAGAAGCAATAATCAGTAAAGGGCCACTTCGTATGCATGGACTGTTCTCTAATGATTCTGAGAATACAAGGTGCTATCTGAGAATACACTGTTTTTCCTTGTCCGAGTTTCGTATCAAAACCACCCCCATTCTGCCAATACATGCATTCACTTAAACAGAATACATCATTAAGATGCGCAACTATCAAATGACCCCTAAAAGTGAAAACTGGAATTATGAATGTGCATACAATCTTAAGATAGACATAGACCTTGAAACTTCAAACAGTCTGTAATCTCAAAGGCATACATGATTCGCATATAAGCCAAAATATCAGAAAGCTGTAGGCATTCACAACCAAGAAACTATTATAAGCTATCCAAAATCTCAACAGTGCAATGTTGGATCATCATGCATACCTCATTCAACCAGAAATGCTCATTGTTTATGTTGGTAATCAAGTTGCCAGTCCAGCTATGAGCCAATTCATGCGCCACGACCTGAGCCCCACTGGCATCCCCTTTAATCACCGTAGGTGTCAAGAAAACCATCCTGGGATTCTCCATTCCACCATAAGGAAAGCTCGGCGGCAACACCAACAAATCAAACCTCTCCCACGGATACTCCCCAAACAGCTTCTCCCCTTGCCGGACCATGTCCTCAGTCCCGGCGAACTCACTGGCCGCCGAATCCAGCACTGCTGCCACATTCTCCGCGTAAACCATCGTCCTCGGCCCGACTTCTCTGGACCCCAGTTCCCCAACCGCAAATGCAAACAAATACGGCGGAATCGGCTGCTCCATCACAAATTCCTCCACCACTCTCCCATCCCCACACCACAGCGACTCGAAATTGAGCCCCGCAGCGGAATCCACTTTCTTAAACCCCTCGCTCACGTCCCCGGCAACCGGATCGCGGCGGCCGGAATGCCTGGCGGACATCACCGCCGACAACTCCCGGGGCACGTTGAGCTTCGCGGAGTAACAGATGCGAGCGGCGGGCGTGTCCTGGCAGGGGAAGACCGAGCGCGCGTGAATGGACTGGCATTGCGTGTAAACGAAGGGATGCTTCTTGTTGAAGGTCTGCGGCGGCGAGAGCCATTGGAGGGCGGAGGAATCCGGCGAGGTGGAGTAGAGGATGAGGACGGAGGCTTGGGAGTCGAGCGCGATGGAGAGGAGTGAGCCCTTGACAGCGTCGGGTGGGGAGAGGGTGAAAGGGAGAGGAGCTAGGGTTTGGGGATCGAGAACGCCGTGAACGGTGAGGGAGCGGGCGTCGAGTGACAGCTGGCCGGAGTACGGGGACGAGAGGTTGAGGAGCGCGGCGGCGTGGATGGTGGAGGAAGGGAAGTCGAAGTAGAGGGAGAGGGAGACGTGGGTGGTGAGCGGGTGAGCGGAATCGGTGTACGAGTGAGGATCGACCGGCGCCATTTTTGCTGGTCTTGGAAAATCAGTAGGCGGAGGAAGGGCAGTACAGTACGGATTAGCTATGGCGGTACCAAAAAGGGAAGCAAATCGGACTTGTTGGTTTCTCCCCAGAAGAATTTGTTGGATTTGGAGAAATGTGTTTGTTTGTTTGTTGGGTAGCGTTCAGTGTTGTTGAGCAGGGAGGGAAATGGGAATAACGCTACTGAGCTTGTTAAGGGACTGTTTGGATGATGGGTTTTAAATTTGGAGGGAGAATATCAGAACTCAGAAGCTAGCTATGGCATTCTGTTCTGACTTCTGTAATTCTGTTACATTGGACGTTGAAGAATTATTTTTCTTTCTAATAGGAGAGCGATTAGACCAAATTGAAATTAAACCGCTAGATCAAATTCTTGTTCGCAAGCGGTAAGCATATAGTCAGGAGCTTGTTTCTGTTTGCTTGTGTGTGTAAACTAACTCATCAAACACAGATGGAAACCATTCTTTTTCCCCCTTCAACCTTTCCCATCAATGGATCAACCAAATCGTTTCAGTTGAAGCACACAAATTCAGACATTATGATGGGTCCTGAGACAACCCAGAACACGAATCGAATAACCAGTAGGGAAGAATGTTGCATTTGCATCGAACAAGCACAGCATTCCCACCGACTGGGATGATCTTGTTCTGAATCCCAATCAACAGTCACAGAGAAGATCAAATCTCACACAAAAGAAACCATAAACCCTGGGAGAGAAACGTATCTCATCTTCCAAAAACAGCAAACTGACTGTATTTCAGGACAATCATTGGCTTGTCATGTGTAGTCACAGATGCAGAATTAGAACATCAGTCATTTGCAATCAAGGAGCAAGTCATGTCTGATATAGCAGCCAAGCCATAACCAAGAGTCTACGCAGCCCAAGGCTGGTGCATAGTATCGATTATGCGAAATATATCGAGTAACCAACTAACCATCCACGACCAAGCTAGAACTCCACTCTCAAGTACACAGTTCAGCAACTCTCGTTCATTTGATTTCCACCATAACCTAAGAGCAAGACAAACCCCCAACTACAAGCCACCAAATTGCAGAAATTTCAGCACCTACTAGCAACACATTCCCACAAAGGAGATTCACACATAAGACAACTTCACATCTTCTAGCAAATGCTATCCAACTATCTCCCTAGAACTCCAATGCAAGATCAATCAAACACAGAGCATTCTGGAAGTCACAGCTGGAGTCCTAACAAAACTTGGAATTGGATTGGTATAACTATTCAAATGTCAGTTGTACAAATTTCGCCATCTGCATTCTCCAGTGCCGCGGCATAGGTTTCTTGCCCGTCACATTTTGCTACAACAATTCAACCAAACAGACAGGATACAAAATATGAGGTTCTCAGTCAAAAGGAGGAACATACACTTACACAAAAAGAAGGGGAATCGATCAAACTATTGGCCAGCGCCGCCCTGTTCTTCCTCCAACTTCTGCACATAAGCCTTGAGAACCATAACCACATCCCTTGCGGGCGCCTGCAATGTAGTCACCAAACCAATGGCCGGGCTCTGCAACGAACCCAACAACTTAGCGTAAATCTCTGCCCTCGACGGCATCGTCTCCAGCTGCTTGAACTCATCAGGCCCGTAAAACTTCCCTTCAAACACCCCTCCGCTGAAATCGTTGTCCTCCAGCTTCTTCTCCTTCTGGAAGCTTCTGTATGGCTTGAGCACGTTGGGGATCTCTTCGGTGTGGACGAACAGCCAAGCATTCATGCCGGTCATGCAAGGCTTGAGGGCCTCCCATGGGGTGCCTTCAATGGCCTTGTAGACGAGAGTGTTCTTGGCCACAATCAGCTTGGAATTCTCCGGTAACGACTGGCGGAGCTCCTGGAATTGCTTGACGGTGAAGCCCTTGTAGCGTATTGCGGCGAGGAGATAGCAGTTTTCTAGCTGGGTTTTGACGGTGTCGACGGTTTCTTCCTTCTTGTTGCGGGAAATGGCGGATTTGATAGTGAGGGGCCGGCGGCGGCGGAGGGAGAAGGTGGAGGTGGTGGCGGCGGTGGTGGTCGGGAAAGAGAGGGAGAATGGGTTTGAGGGGCGGAATTGGATTAGGGAAGGCGGGGGCTTGGAGGAAGGGAAGGAGCAGAGCGCGGTCTCCATTGTCGCAAGGGAGAGTGTTTTTCGAGTACTGACGGGGGCTTATCTTATCAGTTTTACCAAGTGCGGACCAGATCACCGTAAGGACGGCTCACACGGGTCCAGCATTTTTTTTTTTTTTTTTTTTTGCCAACACATAATTTATTTTTCGTTTTTCTTTTTATAATATTCTTTTGAAAAATATATTGGGTAAAGCCGTAAAGATGGTGAAAATATTTTTGAAGTATACAAAATACTCCCAGCATCTTTTATTTTCAGTTTCAGCTTTGAGATTGATCTGTATGATCGCAACACCATTCTTGGTTGCCCTCAAGCAAGATAAGCTCATATCTAGGCAAACCTTACGGCCACCACACACACCAACGGATCGTTTAGTGTTCAAGTTGGAACAAGATTTTGAATAACAAAGCTAGTGCACTAGAGAGAGTTTCTTACCATTCGAGTATCTTCATCTGTGCATGATAATCTCCTACAAAAAAACTCCATTAGTGGTAGCAGGAATAGGTGGCAGTTCTGAACATTGTTCCTCATCAGTGTCTTCAGTCTTGGTTTCTTCTAACTGTGTCCCCTCGATGGACAAGCTCGCCAAAAGACAACTTCTTTGATTCGGGAGCAGGAGCAGTAAACCCTATTAGAATTGGAAAGCTGAGAATTCATCTTTACAACTTGATGTACCACAATGCAAAGTCATATATACAACGAAATGACAGCGCAAGTTAGACATTCATGTTTTTAAGCATCCCAACCGATCCCCCGATACCAGAAAGTTAAGCAAAAATTGTGAGGAAGGACAAAATAATGGTTGCCACTTTGGCGGGGTACGAGAATACATAGTCCTAGCTACGAACGGCTTTCCTTCCTCAGAATATAATCTACTGCATCTTCGACGGTGTCAACAACCTGCATAAGTAATGCAAAGGATGACAGTGTATTCATGAGGAAGCAAAGCACAGTAGCTGCTTTGTTTAGTAAGTGCGTGTGTTGTTCTCCGATTACAGAAGACGTTCACTTGCCAACTCGAAAGCGAGTATTTAGTACTGTCCGTACTTACCAAATCTGCAGGAAACTCGGCATGGTTGTGTTCACCACGGAAAACACCCGTCCTTGTCAAGATAGAGAACCACGGCTGCCCAGCCTGCAAAGTGAAAACCCGGAAGAAAAACATAGCTGTTAGATGAAGCCTTCTACAGTAGGGAACTTTTATGAACCATTAGTCACATCGAACGTTCAGAAGAAGGGAATTATTCTTGGTTAATTGGCTGTCCATAACAATCCCAAAAGTAAAAGCGAGCAAGCAAATTACATCTAATTGATTAGAAAAATATAAGAGTTGAAAGAAAGAAGCATGACAAACCTCCCGGGCACCTTTGACGTCAACGAAAGGGTTATCACCAATCATGTAGAGGGTTTCAAAAGGATGTGCTACAGGCCCGCATTCTTTAAATCCACCGTGTTCGTCAGCTGGTTGAAACTGGTTGAGGACAGATTCAGCGTTCTTGAACACAAAAGGATTTGGCTTCCCAAAGGACACGTACTCCAGAGGACTGTGATGGACTCTACATGTAAGTCATCAAGAGACAAATCATCCACCACCAGAAACAAGATGTAAAACTATGACATAGTACTTCAGTTTGCCAAATTAAGCTGATTCCACACTCCATATCCTCATCTGTTAGAAACAAAGAAGTTCCACAAGGGAATTAGGGATTGAGAAGAGAAGAAATTAGGGATTTGAGAAGAATTGGGGAAGAACAAGAGATAGAGAGAATTGGGAATTTAGGGATTTTGATTGTAATATTGATTATTCACTAATCTGCAGAATAGTGTTCTCTCCTCTTAAATACAAAACAGAAATAATGAAAATAACGAAACTGCCACTCCCCTCACCCGATCGGCCCAACCCGCCGGTTTCTAACATCATCCCTTCAAAAAAAAAAAATGACAGAAGATTGAACCAATTTTCTTTTGACTCAAGACCTAGCACATTTAGTCAGGCACCTTGATGACATGAGAAAGTACCTGTTGAAAACACTCTCTAGAGCGATTCTAAAAGCCCCCAATCCAAGACGCTCAGAGGGGAATGCAGCCTGTAGCAGAAAATCATTGATGAAGCTCCTTTCATTAGAAAGCCCAATTGATGTTTATAAACCAATCTGAAATGTGGACAGTTGTAAGCGTAAGAACTAAAGAAGTCATGGTGATTGATGAAAGCTGAGAGGTCAGGACTCAGGACAAAGTTTGCTGACAAGTGAAATTAGACATGAGCTTTAACGGCAAATGCTGTCCGCTAGAAATGAACAACTTAATTTCTTAATTTAAACTGCAGGTTTGTGGAAAACAAAATATTTACATTATATTTTCTGAAGGTGAGCAATTTATTTTCTAATCAATCTAGGTTCCACTGCAGAAAACAAAACTAATAAGAAACAAAAAAAAATGCACCTGCCTGATATTCAAGATCATCAGCAGCGAAATAAAGTGGAGGTTGAGTCCCACCTTTATGCCCCACAATGCCTCCGGATCTTAAAATATCACAGATTACCTACAAGAGATAATTGGTTGTTTCACTTTCACAGCTTTCAGAGGTACAGCTAGATGGATTCTGATCAAAGAGTTAACCACTTGCATGATCAAATAAAATATTTTACTTGCACACGATTCAAATCATTTCATGTCACAGATAGGAAAAGCCAACATGTTGCTTCTGAGGTAAAACAATTCATCGCATATCTTACAGATTTTGAGATAAAGGTGGTTTTCACTGTCAAATATATAATACAGTTAGGTAATTTGTTCTCAGATATGCTAGTGAATTCAATTCCATGATTCTTTGCTATTCCAATTAAAAATTATGCAGAACTTTTGACTCCGGAACTGTGGAAGTATACAACACTACAAGAATGATTTTAGATAAAAGCCACTAGTAACTCTTAAACTTGTCACACAATCAATAAAGGAAGTAAATCCCTACAATTGTTTAAGTTTATAGATAATTGGAACTATCAAACCTCACACGGGCTTGTATTACGTTAAGGACGATGTAGTCTCATCAATTACACAAGATATATACCTGAATATCACTGCCCCAGTCTACCGGATCACTGACGACAAAAACAGCTTTAACTGATTTGGAATGAATATCACATGTTGGCACAATATTTCTGGATAGATCACTTCTGTCCATGGGTTTTTTAGTTGCCCAATACTTGTATTGAGACACAGGATCTATGTTCTCAAACAAAGATGCATAATCTTCTAATGAAAGAACATTTCTGCCACCAGAAGAAATCGGAATCATGAGAATATTAAACTGTGTAACAAATAAGAGACAGAGAACTATGCATTAATAAAGCCCTTACTTGAATCCATACTCAGACATCACAAGTGCAGGTTCCCCTTTACCAGTAGCAACAATGAGTTGATCCTCGTATCTGAAAGGCAAGTTAATTAAGGAAGAATATTCTGTTTGATGCGTATACAGGAGAGGATTTTCAAACCAGAAGTATACCTCTTCAGCAAATTTCTGAAAGGAGAGTGACCTTGTAAAACCTGAAACAAGAAACTATGCCCAGCTTCCCATCAGTCAAACAACAGCGCCAAACAGGAAAGCAAACGACAGTTCGGCGAGAATCTTAAAACAATACCTGAGAAGGTAAGATCTTAACTCCCAGAAGTTCGCTTAATTCAGAAGCTCGTCTATGTTCAGGAAGACCACCCCCTAAGACATGAAGAATGATACAGAAAGAGTCAATCATGCGTCCAAACAGGTATGAGTGACTTCCATCAGCTCGGATTAGTGTGGCCCTAAGCCCCTAACATACATTTTTTGAGTCACCAATTACATGAGTGAGTTGAAGATCCAAGTGGCTTAGATGTCTCACCATTAGTCAGGAAGACAAAGGGAACTTTCGAAGACCCTGCATTGAGAACACAGCAAGCAAAATCAGAAGCAACAACGGCCAATAAGTGGTTTAGTTTCACTAGCATACTCAATAAAGCAGTCCACGAATTCCAGATTTCTCCCTAGATTAACATTTCTGAATACTGAGCTCTAAAAACTGTAACAATTGGGCCGCTCTCGTCGATCAACAATCGCAAACGCTAAAAGAACTATGAAATTACTATTCACCAAATCCATACGAACAGCAGTCAAAAACTCAAATCACTTCTCCAGTTAGTTTCCCCCTATTTCCTTCGCAACCAAACCACGATTGTACAGTAGAGAAACACCGATTCATACATTTAGAGAAACTGCAGTACCTGAATCTCCGAGCAGTCGCCTCAGAGCCTGAGGAGAGCCGCCGATAGGAACGCGGCCACGAAGAATTACCCCGTCAATGTCAAATGCGACGCCGAAAGAGAACCTAACAATTGGCGAGAAATCGCAACGATCATCAACCAGATATTAGGGTGGAGGGGAATGAAAATAGAGATGGAAGACCAGAACAGACCGTCGCAACTGCTGCTGGTCCCGCGACTGGAGGTGATTCTGTTGAAGCCGGGAGAAACAACGTGGAGGTCGAGAAAGAAACGGCAATGGCGCCATGATTCTAATTTCGGAAAGTCTCGAACCTACCGCCCTCAGAATTCTCATATTCGCTCCTCAAGCAGAACTCTCTGCTCTCGTCTCTCTGTCCTGTCGAGGATGTGCTCTCCGCCGCTGGGGTCGTGTCGTCAGTTGTCACGCCCACACAACAGCCCTCCGCCGTCGTTTTGTATATTGAAACTGTAGGGCCCGTCTGACGGTTTCGTCAACAATATTTAAGTTATCCCGACATTTTCTACAATGTGACTCTCTGTAATCTCTCTCAAAATTCATGTAGAAAGTAACTAACCTAACCACATGATCAAATGAAAGAGGAGGCGAGATATCATAAATTTTACAAACTACCCATGACATCAGAACACATTTTTTTCATCATTTCACTATACACGTAAAAGGACGAATGTGAGATATTGGGGATGGAATATGGAAAGAACCATAAGGATGACTTGACGAGGTGGATATTTACATATTACACTTTTGTAAAGATCAAACGAACACAGCTAGCTAACGACATCGAACCAGAGGGCCCAACGGCCGATCCGAAAGCGGAGATTTTTAGTGTCGTAGATTAATATTGAGAGGGTGCATATATAAGCCCATGACTGAACTGAAGCACCAAACGCCAACTTTTCAGATGTATTTTACTTGGAACTGTAGCTCTTCTTGCTCTTAGTGTCAGCTGCGTAATTAGACTGAGTAATACAACCAGTGCTGCCGTCGCCTTCTCCTCCAACGAGATTCTTCTTCAGAGCTTCGACGAAATCTTCAAATATCCTGGCCTTGATTTGGCCTCTCTTTGGCGGCAGCTGAATAAGACTCCTCCTCTCGTCCTTCTTCGCTGATTTCTTGACTTCCTTCTCCATTTCCATTACGAGCTTGGGTGATGAGTAATGCAGAGAGAATTCACAGAGGCGATGCAAGAAAAGAAAGAGGTTGGGGGGAAAGTGGAGTGATGAGTTTGATCGAAAGAGAGAGGATCGAGGAAAGAAAGGAGAAGGGGGGGATTAAGATAAAAGCAAAAGGACAGGGCCCACCGGCCCAGGGGAATTAAGGCGGTAGAGGGCTGCATCCACAAGCGGCCGACTTCTGATGGATGTTCGGTGGGAAGAAAATGCTAATTAAATATTTTTCTCCCAAAGCCGAAAGTTCTATGACAAATTCTTAATGCGAATTAATAATCAGTGGCTGTTAGTGGGCATAGTTAGTAAAATACGGTACGGGAAAGTTACGTATAAAATACGTACGGGATTTTTACTTCGTCTCTATGCTAATGTTACGTTTAATAGTACGTTAATTGAATAAATATATAAAAATTAATTATTTTAAAAATAAATAAATATATTAATAATAGTAAAGTTTGTAATTTAATATGTTAAATACGGATATTAAACGTGTTATACGGATTTTATACGTGTTTAATACGGGAGCCATCAAATGAACGAAGAAAAATGAAACGGCTTGACAATAATACGGATACGGAAGTTTTAAACGAATAAAGTACGTACGGGTACATATACGTGTATTAAACAGAGTATTTACTAACTATGTTAGTGGGATGGCAAAAAAATATTTTTAAGAAGGCAAATGATATTTGGGCCGACGAGTCAGATAGGTGGTCTATATACCAATGTGAACATAAAACCAGTGTGAATAAATAACTAATTATGCTAAAATGAGTATGCCTCACATTTTGGGACATTTTTGTGTTAAATATAGGGCGCAAGAGAATTTTTTTTTCTCTCCGTATATATAGAAAGAATCTGCCACATCAAATACACCAAAAGCATGAAAGATAAAGTAAGAGGGAACTTCAAATGAACACCTCAAAAGTGCATTGTTAGGGTATATAATGTTTTATTTCCTCATTTCATTCCCTTAAAAAAAAAAAAAAACCCATTTCGTTATGATATTTGTGCTTTTTACATCTTGTATTTCACTTGTCTATAGCCTTATACTTACACTATCAGTTTGATGCTTACCTTAAAGTTTAAACTCATCAAGCATTCACAAAATAAAATATTTTTAGAATAGAACCTATTTTATTTCCCATTTTTTCTTTTACGATCTTCATTACAATTTTGTTTTGTTTAATCTTCATTAATTGAGTCAACGGCAAACTTCCGTAATATATTAAAATACAAATAATATGCAATAAATACGGAAAGGTCAATACCAGGTCATTCGCTCATCCCTTATTTGACTATCAAAGTTGAAATCCATTTATATTTACAAATTTGATTCCTTAACAGACAAATTTCTAACTCCACCTCCATTTACAATTCGAGATTTCTGCTAAACACAATATCATAAATGACTACATGAACCTGGCCTGTGCTTGATACAAGTAATTACTTGCAGTCTTGCACTAAGTTCTGTCATATAATGCTTTTTTGGGTTGCCATGATCTCTTTGATTTCTTGCCCGCCAGACAATCCACTTGAATAGTTAATTGGTGGTTATCGATTGGGTAATGTAATGAGTGATGTGACTGCCCTCACGGCTCACCCTTCTTCATTAAGGAAACAGAGGAATCCATTAAATAATTAACTAACTAGTATAGTAAGACTAAGGGGGAAATCAATGGCTCTCCTTGTTCTGAGAAAATCTTCAGTGCACCGGGTGTAACACGTCACCCGTGCACCGCCCCAATAAAATATTGCCACGTATTTTATTAATGTTTAAATGTCTGATATATCCCAGCCCAGCAAAGAATTACGACGGAGTGAGCGAGGCAAATCCTCCTCCACCGCCACTGCCGACGTACTTTGCGCATCAATTATCTCCCGCGATCTTCAACCCGCATCGCCTTCCCTTCTCCGAACCTCAATCCGATCTCAACCCACCTCCCATCAACATCGACTCTACGCTTCCTTCTCCACATCCGAAACGTCTACCGCGAGATTGATTGTAATTCCGAAGTTCGTAGTTGTTCCAACTTCAAGGACGGCTCCGGTCCACCGTCGAACTCAACCTTGTCTCCACGATTTGCAATAATACAACACCGAATTCAATTCTTATTTGTATTTTGATTCCGATTATTCGATCAACCTCTTTAGCCTCTTCGACGAACCCGGACGCCGGAGCCATTCCAAATCTGTGGCGGTCCCATCTACACCGTATGAAGAAGCTCTTGCGCTTCCTTTATTACTGCATATAGATGATTTATCTTTGTCGAAGTTCAAGGTCGCAGAGGATGTCGACGGTGGCGGTGGAGGAGGATTCGCCTCTCTTTGTCGCTATTCTTTTGCTTGGAATATTAATTAAGGATATAAAAATATAAAAAACGTGGCAGTATCTTATTGGAGCGGTGCACGGGTGACGTGTTACACCCGGTGCACTGAAGATTTTCTCCCTTGTTCTTGCTCTTTTTTTTTTCACCATCTTCCAGCACAAATTCGAATTAGAAACGGCCCAGAGTTGTCTGCTAATTTATGAATTTGATATCGAATCCCGTGGTTGTTGACCCTTGACAAATGACCAAAAAATGTTGCTCAACTAAGCACAACAACCCTCACGTCAACACTGAATGCTCATACACCAATTAATCATATACTAATTCAACTTCATTCTGGTTATAAATAAAAATTCCATGTCACTGACAAAGAACAAGATTTGTAAGGGATCAGTCGAGTTTTTCATTTGTTGAGAGATTCGCCAATGATTTCTTATAAACGGGGTTAATAATTAGAAGAAAACTTTTGGTTTCCAATAATTTAGATCGCGTTCGTACATCTCACTGTCTCTCGTTGATGCGGCAAAAAAGAGTGAAGGGATGCATGACTGGGAAATTGGAGAAGCGATGGCGGCGAAATTATGGCTGCATCTAGTTTGTCAACATTAATGGGGAATTGGGATCCACAATCCTTGAATTAGACCACTGAATATATAGTGGGGGACTTGAGGTGATTTGCAGAAACATACGATGGCTGTTATCGGAGGATGAAGATGGTTGGCTGCAGAAGTGTGAATGAAGTAATGCATATTATGGACACATATGGATATAAGGATATTGGATGGAATGTGGTTGAGGCCTGATTTGATAGACCATGAATGAGTTTGCTCGATTAGTTGAGGTTGGGTAATTTAATAGATTCAACTCATTAATAAAGCTGAGAGTATATATATATAAATCATTGCTAACATTTGTGATCGAGCTAGGAATGGTCAAGATAATCATATTTGTGAATAACCGTCCAGATCCAATCTAATTGGGTATTGGTAAACACGAACTCGATTTTTTTCAATAGCTGCGGATGAACTTTGAATCCAAATATTACAGGTAATGGTTGGACATGATTTTTTCACTATCAAACCAGAATTCGTCCGGTTATACACATGCATACGAATTTTGTTTATAAATTATAATTATTTTTCTCAACATGTTTGATATTTATCATACATATTTAATATTTTCATGAAATTGTGTTGTTTTAACTAATTTCATTTGTTCGAAAAATTTATCGTTGTACTTTTCACTTATGTAACAATAGTATAGGTGTAATTATTAACATATTTGTTGAAACTATAAAGATAAATTACTACTCATGGATAACCACGAATACCTGTAATCCGATCGATTAATGACCTGCGATGCGATTTTGATATTCTGTTTGATTATTACGCGACTATGAATAAAACGCGAACTATTTTTCAGGATAATAATCCATTTTCTTTACTCTTTAGAGACAAGTACCAATAAACTCACCCAAATGCCAAAATAGAAAATTCAAAATAGACAGTAGAGGAAAGAAAATAAACGGTTCACCCAAGCGGGTCAACCCGTGCCCGGAAGGATCTCCTCGCCTGCCCGTTATGTGCTCCGGCCTCCGTGTGGCTCAGTCGGTTTGTCCATTTGCTCTCTTTTCATTTTTCATAATTAGGTTCTGCTAAATCCCAGGAAAGGTTCGATCCCGGCCTTTCCCCCCGCCATTCCCTGTTGAATTCCGACTGTCACTCCTGTCCGACGCCCGTGTCGCTCAGTCTCCGATCAGGTAAACGACAGTCTCCAATTTGTTACTCCATCCATGGAAAGCCTTTTTTTCCTGTCTGTCACTTGATTCGCTAGGGTTTTTTTGAGTGAGCTTCGTCGCTCTCAATGCCAATGTCTTAATGATCTTTCTCCTTCGACGTTCCTTGTCTCTGATTGTGATATAAGGTATGGACCACCACGATGACGAATCGCGGGCTGCAAGCGGCGATCATCACGGCAAGCAGGACGATGAGGTGAGAATGACTGCTTCCGTACTGTATCAGTACGGTTGTTTTGTTCCATAGCGAACTTGTTAATTCTCGAGTAAAGTGGTTACCGTGGAGTCTTGGAGACTCTGCTTGGATATAGTACCCTGACGTAGTTGCTGATTTAGCTAGCCTGTTAGAAATGGCTGCTTGAGTGTGTCTCCTTTGTGTGTGGAGTAATTTTCTTATTGCAAGCGTTTTGAGGTTTGTTGTTGAGGTTGTAAGTGAGGTTATCGTCTTTGTTTATTATTCAAATTCTGATACCATTGAAAAAAATTCTGGTGTCTTTTTTCAGGAAGCTGTTGCTCGATTCGAGGAAATGAAGAAATTAATGGAGGCTAAAATTGCCCTTCGTCGTAGCAATTTGAATCCGGAAAGGCCTGGTTAGTCTCACTACTAGACTTCTGTAGATTCCTTGCTCTATACTCGCAGGAATATCTGCATTTAATGTGTGAAATATGTGTGTGACTATAAATGGTTACATCTGCTACTTCCCTCCCATTAAGTCATCGCTAATTTTCATCTATTTAATCCATCCATCTATACAGGTAGTGCTGAGAATAAAAGCTAGGTTCGTAGTGCTTCTGATGACTATTATGATAATAGCAATGTAGTAAGCAAATGATTTCTGTTGTTGTTAAGTATGTGGAACTGGGGGAATTGAAGGAAGAAGAAAGTTCGGAGTGTGAGGGCTTTAAATGGAGAAAGTCAAACACGTTTAGGTAGTGGAAAAGATTATAGGCCTTTGATCTCTTCAAATACCTCATGTTAAGTTCATCTTTGGCATGGACTTCTAGTAAACTAAAATAGCATGAAGGTTTTGCAGCAGAATTCACCTCGACTGTTTAAGGATTGTGTTAAGAACTGATGAATGTCTTCTATTTGTAAGCATGGCAATAATTAATCTTATTGAAACCAGTTTTGATGGGCAATCTGGCTCTAATATCTTGTATGCATGTAGTATTCATACTAGCATGCAGGCATTGATTAATGACTTGGTTTGTTTGAAGGATATGAGTATCCTGTGAAGTTAAATCATATGGAGGTCCCTAGTTTGTTTCTTCTGTCACTGGCTCTGTCTTTGATTTCTGCTTTAATGTTGTTCATTTCTTTTACTATCATTTCAGACTCAGGGTTTCTCAGGACATTAGATTCTAGCATAAAGCGCAACACAGCAGTTATAAAAAAATTAAAGCAGATAAATGAAGAGCAGAGAGAAGTGCTGATGGAGGACGTGCGAAATGTTAACCTTAGCAAATTTGTCAGTGAGGCGGTAACAGCTATCTGTGATGCAAAACTTAGAAGTTCGGACATACAAGCTGCAGTGCAGGTACCATTTACGTTCCAGATCAAGATTTGTTCTTTCAATTATATTTTCTCTTCCTGTTGTTGACTAAATGAAGCTGTTCTGATATTTCTCTTTGCTGCCAAGATCTGCTCGTTGCTTCATCAACGGTACAAAGATTTCTCTCCAAGCCTGGTACAAGGACTTTTGAAGGTCTACGTTCCTTCAAAATCAGTTGAAGACTTGGATGCAGACAAGAATTCCAGGGCCATGAAAAAACGGAGCACTTTGAAACTGCTTTTAGAACTTTATTTTGTCGGGGTTATAGAAGACTGCAGTATCTTTATCAGTGTAATTAAAGATCTTGTTAGCTCAGAACACTTAAAAGATCGGGATGCTACTCAAACCAATCTGACTTTGCTTGCTAGTTTTGCGCGGCAAGGGAGAGTGTTTTTAGGACTTCCATTCTCTGGACATGAAATTCAGGAAGAGGTACTGCTTACTCTGAGTTTTAGTTGTTCATTCCGTCTATATCAATTTTCGGGTGCTTTTTTCATTTCTCTTAATCATCATTATCGGGTGCATGAATCTGCCATGGTGATTCTAACAGATATTTGAGAAATTTAGTCTTTAGGACTTTTGAGTATGTTTTTAGCATCAGGCTACATCCCATTTTTATTCTGTGGCTGATCTGGTAAATTTGTGGCAGTTTTTCAGAGGTCTTAATATCACGCCAGAACAGAGGAAAATATTCAGGAAGTCATTTCATGCTTATTATGATGCTGTGTCAGAACTTCTTCAATCTGAGCATGCAGTAAGAGTCTTCTGCTTTGGTATCTGAGATGAGGGCTTCTCTGATGTAGTCCCTTTGGTGTTCATTTCTTCCTACAGATACCCAGACTAATTTTCTCATTTGATTATTATTGCAGTCTTCTGCTTCATTAATCTATAAAATGGTTTGATTAGCTTCTTTTTGTCAATAGTCCCTTCGCCAGATGGAGCAGGAAAATGCTAAGATTTTGAATGCTAAAGGGGAGTTAAGTGATGAAAACGCCTCATCATATGAGAAGTTGAGAAAATCATATGACCATTTATACCGCAATGTTTCATCGTAAGTCCTCCCGCCCATGCCATATTATTTGTACATTTTGAGTTTTATGTTCTCCTTTTTGGTATTTGCTGGATACAGTTTAAACATTTTACATAGCGTTTGCTAGATACAGTTTAAACATTTTACATAGCGTTTTGACATGTTACACTCTGCATTATGTTCATGTTTTTTGTTTTCTACTTATCACTTGACATTTTGAGTCTTTAACTATTGTTAGATTCTTGTTGCTATGTATTTTGTTGTCTTTGAACGAAGAGAAACCGGTTTAGATGGATGTTTGTGTTAGTATTTTCTAGTTTCTCTTTCACCCTGTTGTTCTTTAACTGCATTGGAATTAATATGAGCTAACTGATGGGATTTAAGCAATTTGAAGGATATCTGAGGCCTTAAGCTGGCCTCTTTACTGAATCAAGTGGCAGGATTGGCGAGGCTGCATATGTCTTTGTGAACATGCTTAGTTCTTTGCATGAAGTGCTTATTCTAAAATGGCATTTGCATAGTTATGTCATGTTGCGGCATAAAGAGTGCCCTACAATATTCTAGGCGCATTTAGATGCATATGGGTCCTGATAAAGTGAGGGGAGAAAGGGCTTTCTGTATATTCTTCTTTCAGTTATATCAACTGCACTGCAACTTCTTTTTTGTGGGTCTAAGCATTTACTTTTTTATGCCTTAGATAAGCAGTCCTTTCCAGTGGGATTGCTAAAGCTCAGTCATTGTCTGCTTTTGTGAAGTACTTCGAATTAGATAAGTTGAGATGAAATGTCAGACGTCTCTTACAAAGCTGTGCCTTCGGATACAGAGATGAGCTGAAGCCCTCGATATTATTTCGAGTCATTATGCCATTTTCTGATGCTTAACATGAACCATTTTGGATTTGGTTTCAGGAGAAATGCCTCTGAAGTTCTTACAATCCTATGCTTCTTATTCCACAGATTAGCTGAAGCCCTTGATATGCAACCCCCAGTCATGCCAGAGGATGCACACACAACGAGGGTTACTAGTGGGGAGGATGCCTCATCACCTGCTGCTGGCAAAGACTCCTCTGTTCCTGAAGCCCTGTGGGACGATGAAGATACCAGAGCCTTCTATGAGTCCTTACCAGATCTAAGGTTTTCCACTCAACAATGCTCATGATCATGTGACATCCACTTCTGAGAATATGTTGACTTTATAATTTTATGTAAGGTTGGGGAATAGACTTGGAGGATTTTACATCTCAGGACATTCTATAATTCCCTTTCAGAGCATTTGTTCCTGGTGTTTTATTGGGAGAGGCAGAGGGCAAGGCCAATGAGCAATCTGTGAACACTCAAGAACAGCCTGCTGTAAGGAATTAAAAATCTTAGCAGCGAAATCATATCTAGAAGAAATTTTTTCATACAAAGTGTGCATCAGTAGAATTTCTGCCTAATATTGAAAAAATAAGCAGAACTCCCAGTTCCTGTCTATGTTTTCCAATCCTGTTCACCAGTGTCTCCTTTGATGCGCATGATTGGCAGTGAGCTATAGGATGAACTAGCACGCTTGAATTTTCAATTAATTGCTTGTTCAAATTTGACAATTTTGACATATTTTCAGGAGTCAACGCTGGAAGCAGATCAAGGCCAACAAGAAACTAATGAGATTCCTGGAGAATCTGGTATTTTAAATGACTCGAAAAATTTGGATAAGGGGAAGGAGAAAGAAGATAAAGATAACTTTAAGGATGCGGAGAAGAAAGGTGAAAATGAGAAGGAGAAGCTCAAAGGTGTGGAGGTTACAAATTTGGATGCTCTGCTGCAGAGGCTTTCTGGTTGCGTGAGTCGTGACTTAATTGATCAACTGACGGTAAAGATACAAACATGTTGTCTATGATCAGTTGTCTTGTAAATCCTACGAGTTCAGTTAAGGGCTGGTTGTGCTTTATTGTAAATGGACTAGCGTGGCTTCTAGGAAATATGTGATTTCGGTGATGGCTTGTTCCTTCTCTAACTCTGTTTTCTTTCATTGACAGGTAGAGTTCTGCTACTTAAATTCAAAGTCAAGCAGGAAAAAGCTCGTGAGGGCATTGTTTAATGTACCTCGTACATCTTTGGAACTGTTACCGTACTACTCACGCATGGTTGCTACTCTGTCAACATGCATGAAGGATGTGTCATCCATGCTCTTACAGATGCTGGAGGAGGAGTTCAATTTCTTAATTAATAAAAAGGTATGTTATGGTTAAGCAAGAATTTGTCTTTTGTTTGTTGCTTTTTCAGATATCATTGTCTCCATCTTCACATGCTTATCTTTTTTTCACTAGGATCAAATGAACATTGAAACCAAGGTTAGGAATATCAGATTTCTTGGAGAGCTATGCAAGTTCAGGGTTGCACCAGCTGGCTTGGTTTTTAGTTGTTTGAAGGTGGGTATAGATTTGAACAGAGCTATCAGAATACTTGCTATATTGAATGAAGTTTCACATGTAGCTCCATTACTCAACTCAGTGATTGCAGTTAATGCCCACCTGTGACACCGCCCTCTAATGTCATTAAAAAAAGCTCTATCGTAAATGAGCCTTTGCTTTTGGCTGACATATGATTCAGCAGAAGCACTTTTTAAACTAGCAGCACGCTAGTCTGCACCATGTCGCCATAGCCAAAATTAGACCTCCAACTCCTGTAAATTGTATTTGGATGCCCCTTTTATGTTCAGATATTTCAGTGAATTGATGGCCTGTCATACATGTACTCGTGTGTATGGGGCATCACAATCATTTAACAATCACTACCTTTTTCACATTCAGTTATTAGCCAGTTGTGGCTATTGTGCTCTCTCTGCGTTTAAGCGACAGTTTGGTTCCTGCATCTTATTTTAACCTTCAGGTTGGTGCTTTCTCTTGCAGGCCTGTTTAGATGAATTCACCCACCACAATATTGATGTTGCGTGCAATCTTCTCGAGACATGCGGACGTTTCCTGTATCGGTCTCCTGAAACTACTGTGCGCATGGCCAACATGTTGGAAATACTAATGCGCTTGAAAAATGTGAAAAATCTGGACCCTAGGCATAGCACCCTTGTAGAAAATGCTTACTATCTGTGCAAACCACCTGAGAGATCTGCACGGGTGTCTAAAATCCGGCCTCCCCTGCATCAGGTAAGAATAATTTTCAAATGCGATTCCTTCACTTCGTTTTTATGGGTAGCCTGTTTAACCCTGCACGTTCTTTTTATCCTGCTTGCAGTACATCCGAAAGTTGCTATTCTCAGATCTGGATAAGTCCTCCATTGAGCGTGTGCTGCGACAACTCCGTAAATTGCCATGGAGTGAATGTGAGGATTATCTCTTGAAATGCTTTCTGAAGGTTCACCGGGGAAAGTATGGGCAAATTCACTTGATTGCTTCTCTCACTGCTGGGCTAAGCCGCTATCATGACGAGTTTGCAGTTGCTGTTGTTGATGAGGTCTGACAACTGTTCTGCTTAACTGAGCTTGTAGCCTGTTGGAATATAATTCTTATAAGATGAGTCTAATGGTTGCAAGCTATGTTACATTTCTTAATAATCATTTGAAGATTAGAGTTTGTGTGCATTTTGTTTATGATTACTTAGACAACTGCCTAATATTTCGAGTAATTAGCTTGAATTTCACCATTGCATCCAGACCTCTATTAGATCATCCCTAAGCTTCAATTAGATGAGTAATATATCTGACATTTAGACCATGGGTGAACAGTCAGCATCAGTGTTCACCAAGTTCGTACTGGCATGGAATTGTTTTAAGCTTTACAAGCTAATTTATGTTGAATGTCTGGTGTTGAACACTAATTATATCAGTTTTGGCCTTTCAGGTTTTGGATGAGATCAGAGTTGGCCTAGAATTAAATGACTATGGGATGCAGCAAAGACGCATTGCACATATGCGTTTCTTGGGCGAGCTTTACAACTATGAGCATGTGGATTCATCTGTCATCTTTGAGACTTTGTATCTGATTGTAGTATTTGGTCATGACACAGCTGAGGTATTAAATTCAGTTCCCGCTTGTCTGAAACTTTGGCAATTGAGTACCAGTGTCATGTATCTAGATGCACTTTGTCTACGTAATCAACAAATAAGTTGGTCATTATGTATTTCAATGGCTGCCTTCTTAAATAACTAAAACAATCTAATGTCACTCTTTTTGGGTTGAGGGTGTGAGCTTTGATGAAAATTGCAGTGGCTTTGGTTTACAATCTTTTCCTCGATGCCTTATTTTGTCAGCGGGACGTGCTGGATCCACCTGAGGATTGCTTCCGCATTAGGATGGTTATCACTCTCCTTGAGACATGTGGACACTACTTTGATCGAGGTTCTTCAAGAAGGAAGCTTGATCGATTTTTGTTACACTTCCAGCGTTATATCCTCAGTAAAGGTTCCCTTCCTCTTGATGTTGAGTTCGACTTGCAGGTTAGTTATCAAATGTTTCTTTGCACCCTCTTATTTTACTTAAGGTATCGTATATATGCTGAATTGATCAAATCCAGCAACTATTGTGAGTGGGGTTTCAAGCATATATAAGTTATTAAAAGTGCAGCTGAGCTAGGTTAATCGTACTCTTGTGTTTTAGGCGCCGCTACAACATTTCGTTCATTTTTACACTCTATCGCTAGCTGCTCTTTCCTTACTTTGGCCTTTAGCCCGTTGTTATTCTCGCCTTTGTGTGTTGCTTTGTATGACTGAAAATGAAGCCAACGTGCCTAATCAAGATACAACCTCCAAAATACTAGTATCTTGAAGATAAGGCAGGTTCTAAATACATCATAGAGCATATGCTAATAGTGGATGGAGTTAAATTTGTAGTCTCCCTTTTTTGTATGTGCAGTTGCTTGGGTAAAAATAATAAATACAGTAAAACGAGAAACTCCTGTAGTCTGAGTATGTTGACGATAAGGTAAGAATCAGATGTATCGTAGGACGTAATTTGTACTATCAAGATGTCAAACTTGCTTCATTGCATGCCAGTTTATGCAGTATAGCTGTGAGCACACTTTTTTGTTTAGTTTATTGGTACTTCCATTTTAAGTTGTTACTATGGCATTCATAATTCATCTGGCAATTAGTTGGAGAGGACTTCCTTGTGCCTTATTTTAGATGGGACTTCTACTAACTATTTTGTTTATTTTTGCCCAACTCTCCTGAATGGTTTCATTTTTCAATTTGAATTGTTGCAGGACTTATTTGCTGACCTGCGCCCTAACATGATCCGGTACTCATCAGCTGAAGAAGTCAATGCAGCTCTGGTAGAACATGAAGCGAATGAACGGCATGTTTCTGAAAAGAGTCACAGTGAAAGGCGGGAAAGGCGTTCCAATTATGAGAAGCCTCCCGTCAGGATACCTTCCAACAATGCTCCCTCTGCTAATGGTCAAAGGCTTGTGAATGGAGATGACGAAAATGGGGGGTTACATGAAGATGTTTTGGATAGTGACACTGGTTCAGGCGGCAGTAGCACAATTGATCATGATGACGAGATGGATGAAGAAATCCATGGTGATGACGGTGACACTGATGAGGATTATGATGACAGGGATGCCCCTGGTTCTGATGAGGACAATGAGTTTCGTATCAGACAAAAGGTAGCAAATGTGGACCTTGAGGAGGCCGCCAGTTTTGAACAGGAGCTGAGGGCTGTAATGCAGGCAAGATTCTGGATTACAAGTTTTTTCTTCAATATTTAATTCAGAGCTGATTTTCTTAAATACATTTCAGGAGACTGATACATGATAGTGTCTAATGAATCCTACAATCTCCTTATCTTCTGTTTTAAGTTTTGAACGGTCAGGCTGTGCATTAATAGGTGTGCTAGTCATTGCACGACTTCTTTTTGACGTTTTAGTAAAAGTTGAGAAAAAGTGAGTTTGAATGCGTTTTAGAAACAACTGAGTCGATGAGGTATGCGGAATGACTAATGAGGGTCCTTTTAGTAATAAAAATTGATGGGATGATGATAGTTTGTCTAATAATAAAGAAGTGGTTTTCGAGGAGTGACTATTTGGGATACAACTTAAAGAATAGATGTTTATTTCAAATGAGCAAAGTGGATTACAACTTCTATCGAGTTGAGTTAAATCATTTGTGGGGTTTAGGTCGGTTAGTTTAGTTGCTTTGAAAAGTTAGGCTTAGAAAGTGCGCTCGTTTTATCTTTTTAGTCTACTTATGTTTGTATAAGCTTCATATCTTTTAGCCAAAACCAAGACACTCATTGTTACGTTCTTATATCTGAACAGCATGACTGGACGTTGGGGGATTTGTATTTGCTCTTTATTAAGTACACTTTGATGTTCGGATCAATTTCCTTGCAAGTGTATTACTTCTGTTACTAGCATGATTAACACCAGTAGCTTTCAATGGCAAAAATTCAGGAGAGCATGGAGCAGCGGAGGCAGGACTTGCGTGGTCGACCAGCACTTAACATGGTCATACCCATGAACTTGTTTGAGGGATCATCCACCAAGGATCATCATCATGGTAGAGGAGGAGGGGCTGGAGCTGAAAATGGTGGCGGTGGTGATGAAGTACTCGATGAGGAAACTGGAGAAAGCGGCAAGGAGATTAAAGTGAAAGTACTAGTTAAGCGTGGCAACAAACAGCAGACGAAGCAGATGTATATTCCCAGTGATTGCTCGCTCGTGCAGAGCACAAAACAAAAGGAAGCAGCTGAGCTGGAAGAGAAACAAGATATCAAGAGGTTTGTGTTGGAGTATAATGACAGGGAAGAAGAGGAGAACAACAGCCTGGGGCCGCAGCAGACATTAAACTGGAGTCCTAGCAGTGGTGGGCATGGCGGCAGATCTGGTGGCCGTAGTGGGCCATGGGAAGGAAGTGGCGGAGGAAGAGGTGTTGGATCACAACGCCATAGGCATATTCATCATTCTGGCGGCGGATACTATCATGGAAGGCGAAGGTAATTGATGGATGATCTGTGGCACCTACTAAACCTTTGACAGCAATCTTTTTTCAGTTCGAAGATTACCGTCAAGCATGTCATTGGCACGTTAATCCACGAGTTATGGGAACATTGTTGTTGAACACATTGCAAGAGGGTAGAAACTCGGCAAGGTCAAGCTATTTGGCTTCTGAAGAGAAGGAAGTGAAGTTTGGAAGAATTAATACTGAAAGATAGCTTTTGCAGCAGCAGCAAGAGGAGGGTACCTGGCTGTGCTACCAGACTAATTTCGGCTGTATAGTTAGATTAGAGGGCAGAATTATAACTTGGAGACGTTATGTTGCCGAGTTTGGAATTGGTTCACCTAGCAATTATATGTATGTACAGAACCCAACCAAAATCACCTACAAGCCCGGAGTCGATTCTAAACTGATATTGTTAGTTCTGCAGCGTTCATAGTTCACCGTTCTCGTGAGGCTGAAAATGTTGTTTCTGTGCTCCCTATTTTGCCTAGTAGTTCGTTGGACTATCATATGGTTTTGCAGGAAATTATGGGAGTGAAGACGAGGACTAGGGGAGCAATCTAAGGTAAAGTAATATACTAATATTCCATTAGGGACTGTGTTGAATGAATCTTTCTTTCAAGGGAGATGATGTTTGTGGTGTGTGGAGGCCCCCAGCTAAAATTCCTTTCTTCAGTCTATTTACAGTAGCCACCTAAAGCAACAGCTGCAGGAAGGAAAAGCAATGTTTATTTATAACCAGGTATCCAATATTCTCAATCCCCTCTTTCCATTGATTTGTTGTTTCCATATTTGGCTTGTTTGTGACTGAGAATTCACAGAAAGTGAATTCCCCATTGAAAGGGGAATTCCCATTCAGGGTGGATGGGCCCAATATGGACATTTGCTGTTCGCTTGTACAACACCCATTTCTGGAAATAAATAAAGCAGCTCTTCTAGCCTTCTTCCCTGACCCACAACATGAGCATTGTTCCTGGAGAATATAACTTTTGGACAAGGAAATCCTCATGAAAAAAGCCTCTTTCCTTACAAAATCTCTTTTATATCATCGGATCATACGTCTTGCGCGACTTGTTTATGTTGATTAAAAATTAAATTTTTAAAATACATTCGTCGTTTACATTCAATGGAGGGTTTTCCTTTTATGTCTTCCCCACAAGTCACAACTAACCCTATCTCTCCTCCTTAACCTTTCTTTTCTTCTCTCATAAATTATTTGTGTTTTTGGTTTCTGTTCCCTGAGATTTTGGGGTCTTTTGTGCCTAGTCTTAGTCTCGGTGGTTATAATTTAATACGCCATCCGTTGTGGTGGCCACTTGTTTGCTCCAATAAATGGCAATCTATTATGCATAAATATGATTCCTGTTGTCAATGAGACACTTTTTATAGTCCCGTCAGCTATGAGGGTATTCTGTGGATCCTATATAGAAGCTTATAAAATACTTTGAAATTAAGTAGTAGGCCGTGTTTGCGAAACCCTACCTTATCAACAGATTCACCGAAAAATAATCTCTCAGAATCCAAATCGTTAAGTTGGTTTAACAATAGGAAACCGTTGAATCACGATTTCATCACAATCCTTAGATAATAGGGTTAAAGCTTTACCGTGCCATTGATCTCAGAGTATATTTATCCAATCTTTTCAAAGCAGGCATGTGGTCGTGGAGGATGTCATGTTGTTCCATCCCATTCCAGGTAACGTGGGTTTTCTTGTACAGTTAACTTTTGCATGTCTGGACAAAGAAAAAACCAAACTGAAGAAGATCGTTCGTTGCTTATGGCTGCTTTCTTTTTGGGATTCGACTGCCCATACCGTGTTTGGTTTGGGATTGGCGTGGCAACATATGTACGCTCCAATATACGCGGAAATAAAAAGGCAAAATACGTATACATGATAGATAGGATACGTAGATGTGTCTGAGAATGATTGGTGGCGAATTATTCTTGGAGTTTTTTAATTTACGCTATCATCATCAACCTTCTTCCTTCTATCCTTTTTTGCCATAAATAGGAGATGGTGGGTGTGAGTGGCCAGCAATTTCAGTTGGCCTTCATTTGTTTAGGTTTTATATGGCATCAGACATGGGAGCCACTTACATCTTTTCCCACTGCCCTTAGGCATCAAGTTGTTGGCACTTTTTATCAAGCAAAGGGGGAAAAAAACATTGGTTAGCACTTTGCAACGATTTTTCCTTTTAATCGAAGCGAACCGTTAAAAATCTCGAATTTTGGGGCTCTATAACGTTGAAGACATAAACTTGTTGGCTATGCTCAAAAGAGGCAACTGGCAACGAAAAGTATTCGATAAATATACTTTAAATGAGCGAATTTTCCAACACGAAACAAAGTTTGTATAACGATGACTTAAATGAAACGCAGATTTGTGTGGTTCGCTCGTTGAATGAGACGGAATTTTAAAAGAAACATGTTGTCTATCTTACCACAATACATAAGGACTTTATGCATGTCTACCTTATTAAATACTAGCAACCAAATAAGCATTTGTCACCATCGATCATTTACTACTTTGCAAATCATATGCGCCAAATCGGTCACTAGAAAATGCCATTATTGGGCCTCTCTCTCCCTCTCTTTGAGGTCGACAATTGGAAACTCTAGTATCAGGCCAATTCAGGAAAGTAAAATCTTTACCTAAGAAAGAAAGAGAGGAAAACAACAGGGAAGCGGGTAAAAAGTCCCAATAATGTGAGGTAATAAGGTAGTTACGAAGCTTCTTTCGTTCAGCCCAAAAAAAGAAGTCCTAAATATGGGAGTTGTTGGCTTGTCTTTTCATCTCCTACTTGTTTCCATTCTTATCCCTAACCAACATTAAAAATTGAGAAGAGAAAGGAACCCTACTCAGCCTGAGGTTTGTGTGTATTTGGTTTGATTTTCCATATCTCCATTGAGACGTACATTACTTACTTTCTACTTCTAGTCTCTATATTTTTACCGGTTTCAACAACAAAATGAAAACCTTAACTAACACGATTTTTGTTCATTTTCCACGTGGGGAATTTGATTTGAGGTCTACAACTCTACATATTATATTGACATTGTTTAGAGTTGGAACTTCCTAGTTTCAGGCAACTTCCAAATTAGTTGGAAAGAGAGGAGTTTTTTTTTTTTGTAATGGTGATTAGAAAAGAGAGGAAAATTGTGGGCTTTCCTTCGTGTTGTTTCACGATATCTCTATATATAGTGTGTTGGTAGAAGATTCCTCTAAAATTCATCCAATAGTTTTTATGAATAGTTTGAGTTATTAAGACCAATTAATTATCAATGTAATACAAAAAATAAAATTAGGTGATTGAGATTCTTATGACGCCAAATATGATGAATCAATTTTTCCCTCGTGTGCCATTTTCCCAGCACACAAGTCACAAAGTAGTTATTTATTTTTCCAAAGTTTCAAACAACCAGGTTTACCACCCCTATTGTTTATGGGTCAAAACTACCTCGTTTAATTTCAACAACTATGATATGACGAGCCACCAGCTAAATTCGTACTAAACCCAAATGGTGGGTAGGACTCGGACTAGGGGATGGATGATAGCAAAAGCCAAAATATAACTTGTTAACAAAAAGGGATTAGTTAAATTACTTTGTAATTAGATTATTAAGTACCATTAAGATAAGAACAGGTGGACGGTAGATATGAAATCTAGGACCCAACTGCAGCAATTTAAAAAAATAAACACGTGTGCAAGTGTGTCGTTGATGAGATGAGATAAGGGGCTTTTTGGTAAATTAAGGCAGTGGATTTGAGGTACGAGGGGAGAAGAAGCGGCCACGTCGCCTTTTGGCTTTTAAAACCTCGTACCCTTGCCGACAATCTCCCAAACACCACATACATCTGAGGACATATTATTATAATCAATGAATTTATCAACAACAACAACAAAAACAAACATCTAATAATGGAAATCCCCGAATAAAATATCACCCAAAAATAAACTATTAAATATCAGTCTAATATTATATCCTCTCCAACTAACAATGCAAGGAGTTGTGTGAAAGTTGTCATTGTTAAATAGATCAATTGTTGTGAATATTTAAATAATATTATATATGCATTGAGGTATTTAATGCATTGTAAAATAAAATATTAGATATGTATTATTGAGTGTATGTGACGTCAACTAAAAATCGATATAAAATATACTCAATTCAACCATTTCAACTAAAATATGAGATATAACAATCACTTGTTTTGAGTGGTATTTTTTGTCACATCACAGAAGTCTATATATTGTGTATGCTAAAATATAAAATAACAATACATTCTAAATAATACAAGTAAATTAAATATCTCACGAAAACAATCACAACTTACAAACGAAGTCTAAAACAAAGGAGGAAACTCAAAATTGTTATTCCCTTCCTTACCCCTCCCACCAAATATAATCTTTCTTTGGCCTTTTGCTCTTTTGTGTAACCCTTGATTCTCTCTATATCTATTTCTTGTTGTTACCCGTTTCATTGTTTTGGTAAATAACTCAAGTGTGAAAATTGCAACTAACTTATGTTTTTGTTTAGCTTGTATGATTGAGTGGTGTGATGGATATAATTCATGTATTGTTTATAATTTATAATTTTTTTTAATATTTATGTGTAGATATTATACGTATTTTAATTTATTCGTTTCAATTTCTTACAAATAACTGACTTCGTCCCTCTGATTTCATTGTTGGAAAAAAAAACACAATTGCTCATTTACAATTATATATTCAAACAGCGAAAAGTTCGCGATTTCAAAGGGTTTAATTTTGATAACCCTAGGCATTCCATTCCTAAAAATAATTCAATAATGCACTTTATATTTTTTAAGAAAAATTCACTTTATTTCAAAATTTTAATTATAAAAAAATGTGTAAGCTGAACTTACCTTGGTCGATGTTGTCGCCTAGTTATCGAGTTACCTACAAGTTCTGTGAAACAAAACTGGCTCATGTCGTTCCTGTCCAAATTGCTCCTTTCGTTTTCCTTTTTTTTTTTTTTTTTAATCAACCTTTTTCTTCCATTTTCCAATTACGATCACATATTATACAATATGGTACTTGTCCCATGTTATCTCATTGACAGAAAATCTTGATTGATAATGACATTTTAGCTTGACAATTAGGACTATTATTTTCTCTCGCTTGTTATATTATTCTTGTGGGCTAATACCACTATGAAACCCGAACTATTAACTTTGTGTCATTTGTGTCCTAAAGTATTCGATACGACATTTGTGTCATAAACTATTTTTCCGTTAGAGTTGACCGGTATTGACCGTTAGTTTTTAACAGAAAGTCTAGTCAGCGCTGATGTGGCATCTGAAGTGGAATATATAATATTAATTTATAATGATTTTTCATATAAAAAATCAAAATTCCAAAATAAAAAAACTAATTACCTTTCCCTCTCCCGTCTCCCGACCTCCGCCGCCGCAACCTGGAGTCCTCGTCGATCGGGATGGTCGCCTCGTCTTCACCGGAGGGTTTGGTTCATCTTTGTCATCGGTCGTCTCCTCTCATTCTTTCCCTCTTCTCGATTGATTAGAAACCGTCGACCTTTCGCTCCTCCCAATGAAACCCAGTTCCAATGAAACCAACAATGGCGGCATTGAAATTAGAGCTGCAGCGACGAAGAGAAATTTGAATACGGCGTAGTCGGAGATGGTTTTGGGGATATACAGGTTTCCATCGACGATTTGGAAGGGGTTCGAGCTTCCCTCCGTCTCCTCGTCGACGATTTGGAAGGGTGTCGAGCTGTAGCCCAGCATAACAGAATACCCAAGCCATAAATCCCCAAAAATCCAAACCTCCGAACCAGAAATTGAACTTCTTCTTCCTCCAACCTGGTTCGGAATTGGCTTCGTCACCACCGGCCACCACAGGCTGAAACCCCTTCTCCATCTTATCTTGTCAATTCCATCTGCCTCTCGCACCCTCCCTCCCTCTTGACATCGACCATTCTTCCCTTCTTCCTCCCTCACTGCCAAATCCAGTAAGAGAGAGAGAGAGAGATATGTGCGGCGGGTTGCGGCGCTAGGCCAGTCGAAGAAAAGAGGCGAGAGAGATCAAAGAACAGAGGTGGAGATGAATCGTATTCTCCGGTGGCTGGGCCGCTTTTGGTTGAGGATTGAAGAACAGAGGCGGAGGGAGGTAGCTAGGCCGGTTTCTTTTACTTTTTTATTTTTTTAAAAATTAAAATTTTAATCAAAAAATAATAGTTAATGATGTGGCATCTACATGGCAGCTATTGTTTTGCCACGTCAGCAAATCTGTGATGTCCGTTTGGTCAACCGTTATCTATAACGGTCAACGAAATCGTCAGGACATAAATGACACAAAACTATCATACGTTAGGACACAAATGTCGTATCGAATACTTTAGGACACAAATGACACAAAGTTAATAGTTCGGGTTTCCCAGTGGTATTAGCCCTATTCTTTTCTATATGATTGATTTAAGGCGAAACTTTAAACAAATGGGGGCAACTATTTGGTTATTTTATGCACAGTTTTCTACCTAACAATGGAAATAAGAAGATAAGATTTATGTGTTTCAAAAATTATACATACAAACTATCTAATCATAATTCTATTCAACTTAATTATATTGCGTACCCTTTAACCTTTAGTTTAAATGTAAACCAAACACAAAACACATGTGTATGCACTCTTGAAGTATATATGTTCATCAATCATTTTTGTTTTCTAAAGTCCTGGTGATTGGAAATAAGTGAAATCTTGTGGAAAATGAATTATTTTTATAAAATTTATTTAATTGAGACATTTGAAAATTTTGTTAGAAGTTTTATAGCAAAATCAAAATAAATTGAGAATGATGATTATTAGAATTAAAACCCAAAGGCGATTAATCTGCAAC